GCCCAGAGATTGATATCGAGAAGGAAATAGCGAAGTTGAATTATTATACAGAGCAGACAGATGAGCTCATAGAAATTCAAGACAACAGCTGAGTGGATAAAATTGATACGAAAAAGTGAAAAATTGCAAGACCATTTGGCAACTCTAGGCATCACTTGGAGGTTCAACTTGTCGAAAAGTCCCTGGTGGGGGGCGATGTATGAAAGATTAATTAAGGATTTAAAGAAGACATTGTACAAAACCCTTGGAAAAACGCATTTGCAATTTGAACAACTGGAAGCAGTCATCATGGACATAGAGAGGCATTTGAATAACAGGCCATTGACATATGTAGAAAGTGAAAGTGGGGAGGAGCAAGTGCTAACACCTAACATAATAATGTGGGGGAAGGATTCACATACGTTTGAAAATGTGGAGGTAGACGAAGAAAGAGTGACCAAGATGTATAAGAGATTGAAGAATGCGAAAGAGCACGTGTGGTCACGTTGGAACAAAGAGTATATCAACAGTTTAATGGAAGTGCATCGTATTAACAGAAAAAAGAGTGCATGTCTGCCACGGATCGGAGAAGTAGTACTAGTTGTTGGTGATGAAAGAAATAAAGGGCAGTGGAAGAAAGCGAGAGTAGAAGAGCTTGTGAAAGGAAGAGACGACGTAGTCAGGGGAGTGCTTTTGAGACACAAAGGACATCTCATAGAGCGACCGGTTCAAGCTATCTGCCCATTGGAGATTGGTTGTCAAGCGAAGGAGTCACAGACAGTGGAAACAATCAAAGGAGCAACTGATGCCATGTCAATGTGATAACAGTTGAAACAATCAACGGAGCAATCGATGCCAAGGCCAATGTGACAACAAGAGAGAAGAGAAGAGCTGCGGTGGATGCAGAAGTGAAGACGAGACTTTGTTTGGAAGAAGATTGAAGAGGACAACTGCGTACCGTAAAGGTTTGATAAAATTTGACTCAGGTATGTTACTTTACTCAAATTTTAGGGGAGTTTGTGTACGGTACTTTATTATTATCATTCGTTATGTTGATTAGTAGTGGACATTTTAGGACAGTTTAGGACAGTAGAGAACTGGGACCGAGTTTCAGTTATTTTTAGTTAGATCTTCGATAGCACGAGACAAGATGGCGAATCTTAGAGTTTAGCGATTTGTGTGCGGCACATTTCCGTACAAAAGAAGCCTTGAAGCCGGTGATAGAAGTTGATAAAATATTTTGTTGGGTAGATTCCCAAATTGTTTTGTGGTGGATTTTCAGTCGCGAAAAGGAATATAAACCTTTCGTTCAAAACCGAGTTTTAGAAATTAGAAAACATGTTCCTCCTTCATGCTGGAACTTTTGTCCAACTGATCTTAATCCTGCGGACCTAGCCTCTAGAGGCTGTAAAATGTCACAGATCTCAGGCTCTGAAATTTGGTGGTTTGGACCCACCTTTTTGGCAAAATCAGAAAACTATTGGCCTGCCGTTTTGAACTTTGAAACAAAAACTAAAATTCCGGAGGACGTTTCGTTTGAACTTAATCGTGAAACTAAATCTAATCCTCGGAAGGATTTTAGTGACGTATTTGTGGGAGTGTCCACAGCATCGAATTATGCGCTTGAAAATGTCATTAAAGCAGAAGACTTCAGTGACGAAAATTGACTATTTCGCGTCTCTGCTTACGTTTTTCGTTTCGTGGAAAATTTGAAACGGCGTTTATTAAAGGAAGATATAGAAACGAATGATCTAACAGTGGAAGAAGTGGAAAATGCGCGAATATCATGGCTCCGCGTGATCCAATCTCATTTATCTTCGGAGCGAAACTTTGATAAAAATTTAGTCTATTTGCGCGTCTATGAGGATGAAAATGGTTTGCTACGATGTAGAGGTAGAATTCAAGAAGCTAACTTGTCAACTCAATCTAAATTTCCGATACTGTTACCCCGAAATCATTATATTACGAAGTTACTTGTAATGCGAGCGCATGAAAACGTGAAACATAACGGAACTGCCGAAACTTTGACCGATCTGCGTAGTTCATTTTGGATTATACGTGGCAGACAACTTGTAAGAAATCTTATTTCAAAGTGTACCATTTGTAATCGTTTCGAAGGACGTGCTTATAACTCTCCACCGGCCGCTCCTTTACCGAGTTATCGCGTGACTGAAGACTCTGCATTCTCAAATATCGGAGTTGACTTCGCTGGACCCGTTTATAAAAAAAACATATACGGTTCTGAAAAGGGAATGAACAAGGCCTATATAGCGTTATTTACATGTACTGTTTCACGAGCGTTGCACCTTATCTGCACCAGCATTTTTACGCTGTTTTAAACGCTTCCAAGGGAGACGAGGCGTTCCGAAACTTGTTGTGTCCGATAATGGCAGCACATTTCGCGACAAAACTGTTCAACGACATGCATTAGCAAGAAAAATAAAGTGGAAATTTAATGTTCCCCGCGCGAGTTTTTGGGGCGGATTCTTTGAAGTAATGGTGAGACTGGTAAAACGTTGTTTACGGAAAATTGTCGGAAATGCTCGCTTAAACTACGAAGAACTAGAGACAATTTTGATAGAAATCGAAAGTGTTGTCAATTCACGTCCTTTGACGTACGTCAGCGGTGATTTCGCTGGAGAACCATTAACTCCGTCGTCCCTCGTTATAGGGCGAAGACTTATCGATGCTCCGAATGTTGAAACGTATGCTGAATATGATTCGTCAAAAACAAAACTGACACACCGCCAATCGCATCTTAAATCGTTATTGAAGCATTTTTGGAATCGTTGGTCAAGCGAGTACTTGCTAACTTTGCGAGAATTCCACAAAAACAAGGGAAAAACCGGAGCGAGAATCGTAGCTGTTGGCGATGTTGTTGTTATTTTGAACGACAAAGTTAAACGACAACAATGGAAACTTGGGAAAATTTTAAAGGTTTATCCTGGAAAAGATAATATTGTTCGCGCAGCTGATGTAAAAACGACAGATTCAGCTGGAAGATCTATTATTTTGAAAAGATCAATTACTCATTTATATCCACTGGAAGTACGAGAGGATTCGGAAAAAGATTACGGTATCGCTGCTGCTGCGGAGCCTGCAGTGTCTGAGGTGTTTGATGTACCGATTCGATTTATTGCGGATGAAGAAGCTGAAGAGCTGATAAATTAAACACTTTGGTTAAATATATGATTGACCTCCCTCAATCAGGGGGGAGGATGATTTGAATACGAGGCTAACCTCGAGCTTGACTTACTAACTACATTTATAAACGATAACGTTGTTGAATCTCTTGCATGATTTTGTGCTTTTAGTTTTTAGCTGAAGTAACGAGGCGTATTTCTATACTATTGTTTTAATTTGTGTAGTTAATTAGGTTACTTCGCGTATCGTGATATTAGGTTTAATCTCATTAGGAACGCTTTTATGTGAATTAGCGTTTAGATATTGAGAGGTTTTTTGAATTGAACGTCGTTATGTTAGGACGTATTTTGGACATGAACGAAGGATTTTGATGTTCATGATTGCGCTTATAAATAAAGATGTATCGGAATGATGCAAATAAATATTATCCTGGTATTTCATAATAGTTTGAATTTCAGTCTGAACCTTTACACATCATGATTAGAGACAGTGGTGGAAATTATGGGGGCATGGAAACAGAGCAACTAGCAAATGGGCCTTGTTTTGAAAATTGGTATAATCCCAGCAAATTCTCCAACTATCATAGGGGGTTTGAGGTTTTTGACAGAGAATCCAGATGATACCAGGGGAGCGAAATCTTTAAAAAGTACACTCTTTTTTTATAAGAGCAATTTTACAAGAACACGAGCCTCAAAATTGGTCAAAAGTTAAAAACCAATTAACAACAAGCTGAGGCTGAGCTTCTGCAAAATCAATATTGAACGACGTTTTTTCTCAAAATCGAGGATTTTTAGCGACGTGTGGGTGCTTTTTCGGCGAATATTCAAATTTGTCAGCAAATTAAGGCTGTCTCGTTCATTTTGTTGGCAAATAAGGCCTGAACACCTCCTTAGAGCGAAAAAGCTAGCAATAGCACTGCTTACACCCTATTAGATTAAGAACAAATTAAGAACAATCCAGCCTCAGATTTTCGATAAAATCAAGAACAGTCAGCCTGAACTTAATTTACTGGTTCTTATAAAAAAAATGTAGCCGGCGTGTTCTTTACACCAAGTCACAATTTTTTTTAACTCTGTCCGTTTCTGTGGAGCTTGAATTGGTTGCAACTTTTTAATAGATTTGTACCTGCATAAAAGCAAAGAATGCATATATCCCGATAAAAACAACTTTACTTCTTTTATTAGATTAATTCTATAAGAAGACGAGCCCAAAAATTGGCTGTAAAATATTAGAAGGTAAGAGAGCATTGTAAAACATTGCTATTATGGATACGTCTTTCATGAGGGGGTATATTTTTTACTGAGGTATATAGGGTATATCCAATACATCTCATGTCGTTCTGCAGTGAAATACGCATATTTTTATAGGAACTAGTTATTTGAAGTTGAGGCTGGCTTTTTTCGAAAATCTGACGCGGGCTCAGGCCTCGTTTGGCAACAAAGTGAGCGAGACTTTCTTTATTTTGCCAGCAAGTCAGGGCCTTCAACGACGACATTGCCCACCACATTTTTGTAAATCAATAAAGCTTTTGTTATGGGTGTTCAATTTTCTCTTGGCCCCCCTACTTTCCAACCTATGTCAGAGCCAATGCAAGTTTGAAAAAGCACCCCTAGATAGCAAAAATTTCCTTGTTTTGGGATGAAACATTGTTCAAAATTTCATTTACAGTCTCAGCTTGCTCTTAATTTGCTCTCAACTTTGTAAAAATGTGGGGGCTTGTGTTTTTATAAGAAAGAATTGATTGTCTCTTGTCTAAATTGGTTAATTCGGACCCTGACAACCACGAACAAATCTAACCTCAAAGTTTTGGAAGAACCAGCCTGAGCCACATTTGATTGGTTCCTTTAAAAAAAAGTGCACACGAAGCCCACATGAAGAGGGTTGGCAAAATTGTAACCCTGGCATGCAGCCAACAAATTTAACGACCTGTTGTGAATTCCTTGCCCCTGCCTTGCTCCCTTCCCGTGTGACCTGGCAAGTTAAATTTTTCCTAGTGCTGAGCTATACCTATAGTTTTAATTTCCTTGTCGATCAGCAACCACACCGCGCCAGTGTCACATATGTCGTATGAATCAGCACACTGGGCACTGGTCTACAAAAGGCGAGCTGTTCGTCTCAGCATGACTAGCGTCAGAAGATGATTTCAAAGGGCCCTGCGCTCATCAGGTTTACAAGACAAATCACAGAATTGAAGAGAGGCCATGGAGAAATTTGCAGAGTTCGTCGCATCGATTGGTCAGTCAGACGTTAAGGTTAGTACAGATATGAGCAGCGTTGTTGCTGGCAATTGCTTACTTGAACAGCTCGCTTCAGACAGACGAAAAGAGACAGTAGAGGGAATGGAGAACCAAGGACTGGATCTTGAGGCAATAGGTACAGTGTTTTTCCAATTATAAAACAGAAAAATCTGCAATTTTTCGTATTGATGATAGTAACGTGTAATCTGGAATTTGAAGGGGAAAAAATTCTTCATTTTCCCACTGCCAAAATTTTTTTTAAAAAAAGATAGATATGGATGGACAGTTTTTTGCTTGAATTAGAAATTATTTCGATTTAGCAGGCAGTTGGATAATTGCACTTTGACTGTATTGAATAGAATTACAATTAAAGCCGTCTACTAGAAGCAAGACAAAAGCGTTCTATGCAGTGCGCATATACCTGCAATATGCAAAGAAGCAACATAGCCTATTGCGTAGATACTGCAAACAAGGTAGTATTTTTGATCCGATCAACTTCGCACTGCAGTTGTCATTAACGATAATTAGCCAGGTAGTTTAGGCATCCAGGCCTGTTGAGGTGCTATGTGCAGCAAAGATGCTATGTGCTAGTCCGAAGAGCAATGCACAGTAGCAAAAAAGTGCTAGATTTGAACTAAAGCTCTTGGAATCATTCCTAAGAATTTTTAAGATGAAATAAAAGGTTTCCAACAAAGATCGACAGGATTTTCATGGAATGATCTACAGCATTCACCATTTTACAGCTCCCTAGAATAGCAAAGAGCAGCGCATCCAAAGAAATACAAAATGATTGCAAAATCTAATCTTTAAGTTCTGTTTTAAAGTTTATACCAAAGTTATAATTGAAATCGAAAGATGGAGATGAAGACAACTACACGTTTAAGACAGTTATAAGAAAGTATTTTATAAGAAAGTTGTGCTCGGTTCTTTAAAAAGTTAAGAATGTTCAGGGCTGGATCTTTGAAACCTAAGAAAGTTGAAAAATTTAGATATTCAAAGTTTCAAAAGAAATTGTGGTGTAAGAGTGAAATATTTCAACAATACAGTAATGTGCTGAACTGGAAACGACGAATACAGTATGACGTTGAGGGTTTTTGAGAAATATAGCATATTTATTGCATTTCATCTTCTCCATCACTGCGCATGCTTAGTAACGTAAAACTTTCCAATTTTACGTTAAGAGAATGTTAAGAAAGTTTTAGTGCTGAAATTAGGAAATAGATAAGAAAGTCTGAGGGCTGGGCTGAGAAAAAAAACGTGTGTAAGAGATATCCACTAGAACGAGGGGCGATTCACTCTTGCAAACAGCTAACAAGATTTACACCAAAACAAAAGGATTTCCAGAGATTTTCAGGTAAAAAAGGATTTCAACCAAAGGTATACGAGACTTTCATAAAAGATAAATTTGCCCCTCGTACAAGGGATATGATGAAAACACGTGTGATCGGCTAACAAAAGCACATACTTTGTTTTCTTATCAATGCTCAAGTGAATGATGAAAAAAATGAGCGAATAAATAAATTCATAGAGCCAGAAGAACATTTGGCGCTAATGCAGTTTCGCACCTCTTGGACATTGATCCTTACCCAAACCCTATCCTTATGCATGGAACCACACGCTGAGAGGTGCGAAACTGCAATAGCCCCGAACATTTAACATAAACATTGACTGAAGAAAAAAAATTGAAGTTTGCTAATTTTCTTGAATTGTAAAGGAGATGGCTACCCTGTTTTCAGAATGAAAACCTTGTCTTCGCATATATCATTGATTCTATATAAAACCGTAATATCACGGTGGAAGAAAGTATGGTAAAGCATAAAGTCTTTTAGTGTGCTAATGTAAATGGCTAAAAACTCATTATGATCTTTGGATCCTAAGAATGTTTTAGAAATGTCACTGAAACTACGGGAATGAATGTTTAATGATATTGGAAATGTCAGTCTGGAAGATGAGAAAATATCCATCTCTAGGCAGTGTTTAGAGTAGTAAGCTTCAAACAAGCACACAGTCATACATAAAGTGTGACACACTGGCGTTTCATCTGATACTGCAAAGCACTTGCATAGCATCCGATACTGCCCGAGTAAGTTGACGTTGACTTGAAAGCTTTACGAGCTTCATATTCGTTACCATATGTGTTACGTCATCAAAAGAACAAAATCATATTACGGTAAAAGATTTTAAAGCACCTATCGAAGGTATTGTAAATGTATTATATTGGAATAAAGAATTGTTGAAAAGGGACAAAATGGCACATATCATTATGGTCCACTTAACTTTGACATGGTCCGTTGCTAAAAATGTGACTTTTGTAACTATTGCCAGCCTGGAAAGATAACTATTAACAGGGGCCCTTAGTTATCGAACACAATTGAATGTTTTCAATTCCATTCCAGTTTGGCTAGACCCACACTAATTTATCTCTGCCACAGACTAAGGCTCTGCATAAATTGAAACAAGAAAAACTTTTAACATAGATTTTTGAACACATCTAGACTCTCAAGACGTTATTCCATGCATCCTTATTCTTATCTAAAAGAATGATCGCCCGTTACGGACAATGCTGACATATTCTTGTACCTCAAAAACGGGCAAAATTGTGCCTCAAAAACATGAATTGCTTTCTAGCTGTAAAAAGTCATAATTTTCTTATAAAAACACAAGCCTAAGAATTGGTCAAAAGTTAAGAACTGAGGCTGAGCTACTGTAAAATACAATTTCGAACAACGTTTTTTTCTCAAAATCGAGGATTTTTAGCGAAGTGTGAGTGCTTTTTCGGTGAATATTCAAATTTGTCAGCAAATTAAGGCTGTCTTACTCACTTTGTTGGCAAATGAGGCCTGAACACCTCCTTAGAGCTAGCAATCGCTAGAAAAAGCTAGCAATCGCACTGCTTACACCCTATTAATTTAAGAAAAAATTAAGAACATTCAAATTCTAAGATTTTTCAAAAAACTAAAAAAAGCCAAAAGAAATGTATAGAAAGACATACCTTTCTGGCTGTGTATAAGGCCCTTGACAATCGACCCTCCATTTATTAAAAGACACTGACAGGCTAGAATTTATTGTAGCCATCTTGTCTTCTTGAAACGGTAATTCTCATCTCGATCGTCTGGTCTTCTTTCCTGAACTGAAAGAGCTCAGAGGCTTCGAGAGAAACAAATACTTGAACATATTTGATTATAAGCGTTAATTAAAATCGACTGAAAGGAAATTAATCTGATTTAAATCCAAGAACAGATATCAATAAAATTGAAGTGAGTGTTAATTGTGTTAGTTTGACAAGAGTTTATTGACAATACGTCACAGTAACCGTTGAAAATAATTTGATTTTGTGATCGTCGAGAGGCAGTTTCTTCTCCTTCGCCATCCGCAGAGCTATGAGGAATAATGTCGACAACACAACAAGGGGCGAAACCAAAAGATTTTTTCGGAAGGGTACAGAAATGACTTTTGCCAAAAAAGGGCGTGTCTGACTCTCTAAGGGTGTGGTCATCAGATGAATAATATGATATGCTGCTTTTACTACTAAGGAAATGATTATACGTTATAAATAAGGCTGAAATTAAACTAAAGGAGGAGAAAAGATTTTTATTGTTTTCCCAACAAAAATTTGTACCGACGGACAAAGTTGCCCCTGAATCTCTCCCCATTCCCCCCTATGGTGACGCTTCTGAACACAGGTCTTTGCATGAAACATTTTATAGTAAAGGTACTAACAAGAAGTTAGAAAGTTTTAGTATTGGTCAAGAAATGTTAAGAAACTTTTTAAATTTCTATATTTTTGAGGAGCAAAAGGATGTCGTTTTTTCATGCCATGTTATCAATCAATGTTATACCTGAATTTCAATGCTAAAATCATTTAGTCTAATTTGCCTTTTAACCATAAAACTCACTATTAATGCGGACACTCCGGCTTTTTCTTCTTTGATGTTGGAATTTTGACAGTATGGCAGTTCTTCAAGATGCAGAGTCCAATATTATCGGCGAAATCAAAGGAGTGTATGACACGGGACAGTGCATACAGGAAGGATAAAATCGGGTGTAGAAATACGTACATCAAAATCAAATCAAATTAAACTCTCTCATTCAGCAACAATCATAGAAGCTTTAAAGGTATACAATTGCTAAGATTATAATAGATACGCCAGAAATTACATAATGCTAGGATAGTTAAATAAACATTGCCAAGGACACTGAGGAAAAACCCAAACAGTTTTCGTGCCCAGTGCCCTTCAAACTAAGTTTTCAGCATCAGACAACATTATGAACTTCAGTGTGCATTTTCGCCAAACGGTGTGATTGCAAATATTTTGAAATTCAAAACAAAACAAGATCAAATAAATAACAACTTTTTACATGGCATCAAATTAAGGGATATTTTGTACCTAAAGCGACAGATCACACGACTCAAAATCTCTCTTGACATTCCAGATTTTGGGCAGCCTAAAAAATGGTATGAGAATGGTATCGTAAGATTCAAAGGGTCCAGAACAGCTGAGAATAGAATAATATTTATAACAATTAAAACGTGGAAAGAGCTTGGTTTTTAACGAACTTTTACTTGAAGAGCAAAAAAAGTCAGTGAGTCTTCTCAATGATTCCATTAGAGGCCTTCTTCCTTATTTGAAGACCCCAGAATTCCCAAGGCCTCCGACTCCGCATCAGATTCTATCTTAGGACGTTGTCTTTTAAGTAAAATGCGCGTACTTCGTCAAAAGGGCGTGGCTTTTTAGGGCTTTCAAAAAAGCAGTGCTTATGTGAGTGAGACGTGAAAATGTTTGGCCATCTGACAAAAATCGCGATTCATAAACTAAAGCAAAATCTAAATGCATTTTAAGACCACTTGTTAGTAAAACTTTTACAAATAAGGCGAATCAATACAACCGACAATGACCAAAAGGGTGCCGGGGGCGAGAGGGAAAACACCCCATTAAATCTCTTACACCCTTGGGAAAAATCCTTTTTTTTCATGTCCTTAAAAGACACCGTACACCGTATAGAACACCTTTCGGTTAGGGGTACCTGCCCATATTGCCCCTCTCCCACAACTTCTATTATTCGATTGTAATTGTAGTCTAAGCTAGTTTGATTGCTGTGATGTTTTAGCTTCATAGTCAAGATTATCATGACATTTCCAATTGTCAAGGAATTAAAAAACGATTTGTGTTATTCTACATTACAGGCCGTAAACACATAGCACAAAGGCACGGCATTGATTCCAGCGCAGATGACATCATGATCGAGAAGCGTAAAAAACGACGAAATAGAACGACGTTCACAGCTTTCCAGCTCGAAGAAATGGAGAGGATATTCCAAAAAACACATTACCCTGATGTTTATACAAGAGAGCAACTTGCATTAGCTTGTGATCTGACAGAGGCACGTGTTCAGGTACACTCTTTTTTTGTATAAGAACACACTTTATAAGAACACTGAGGCTCAATATGCCCAAAAAATAAGAACAAGGCTAGAACATGCTCAGCTTCAGATGATAAATATAAAAAAAATCCCATTTTGAAATTTATGTCACGTCAACAGAACAATACTATGCAATTTATAAACATAAAATATAAACATAAAAACAGTTTATTTTTAAACTTTACCCAGTAAAACGTCTTAGAAGTTATAAACAGTATGTAACTTTTCAAATATTTGCAAAAAAATCACTATTAAAATAAGAAAAATTTTAAGAACACTTGAGCCTAAAATTCTCAAAAATTCTCAAGAACATCGAGGCTCGGCAAAAATTATCTGGTTCTTATAAAAAGAGGGTGTTGTGAAATGTCATTTTGTTCAGAATCCTTGTCTCTGGCTATCATCTACAGGATTACGTTTTAAGATAAAGATTTTACCTTTCCTGTTCATGAATGAGAAATTTGTGACTAAAAACCCAAACAATTGGCGCCTTCTAGAGTGGAATGTTATGAAAAAATGTTATAAATTTTGAAAACGCAACTGTGATGTAGATACAAATAAAAATATGCACCAAGGTACCTATATATTGTGAATTTCAAATATAGTGCTCTGTAAAAAAGAAATGCTTGGACTGGCCCCTCGTCGATAAAAACGACGGCAATTCATTCCATGAAAATCTCGTACACCTATTGTGGGAATCCTATAGTTTTATTTGGAAATCTCTTGAAATCCTTATGTTCTTGGGCAATCACCATTTACAAGGGTGAATTGCCCCTCGGATAGAGACCGTACAGAAGCTAAAAATACATACACAAAACCATACATCAAACCCGAGGCACTTTCTATCCTCTTCACTCAACAAGACCCACATTCATCATCGAACACCTTTCAACCTTCACCTACACTTCTCACTTGTGTCCTTTCACCTATCAACTTTAGGAGTTGTTAGCCCAGCTGGGGCTCGCGGTTTCCTGCACGACAAAACGGCGCGCAAATATTCCACCGCATACCAAACATAGAAATGAAACAGTGAATCTTGACAAGTTGCAGCCTGTCTCTACGTGGGAAATTTTTCTTCTTTAAAAATGAATAAAGTAGGAGCTTTTCACGTGAGAAAAATTGTCCGCTACTATGTCATTTACTTCACAACATGCTTGGACAAAACGTAAAAAAGCATTTTGACATTGGGCAGAGGTCAAGCCAACAGTTGTTCCTTCCTGGGCGTTTTTTGCTATAGGCAATGGTAACACTCAAACAGTGGCGTCGTCACGGGGTGGACTGGGGTGGAGAATGCTGCTTGAGATAGTTGCTTGTTCAAAAATTTCAAAATAGATGAAAAATACTAAAAAAGAATTTTCCAAGAGTCTGAAGGGCGTGGCCGAAAAAAATCGTTTTTCTCCACCCCAGTTAATGTTACTTTGATATAGTTTTTGTGTAGGGATCAGCTAGATTTTGCCACCAGTCTTCGCGGGTTCCATTGACCGAGGACATAGCGAAAAATATTCCTGTATAGAAATTGTAACGGTTTGCCAATCCAGTGTAACAATACACTAATTGAAACATTGAGCCAATATCAACTGAAGCTAATTATCTAAAGTTGCTGCTGATGGTTTCAAGATTGCTAGCTAACATGATCCAATTTGATGACATCACAATTACAAAACTCAGCATTCAAACGGCTTTCATTCTGGAAAATATTCCAAGAAGATTACACATTTCTTCCAAGCCAATACTAAATATATCAAAGTAACAACAAAACGACCCTCAATACTAAGATTTCCAGTTGCGTTTAGTTACAAAAGCAGTCGGTATTGCAACGATACGATTGTACCCGGTCAAATGCGGGTACAATATTTCGACTTCCTGACAAATTTTAAACTTTTTTTATTTTTCAAACCTTTTAAATTTTTATGAAAAGCGTTTTCTTATTTTAAAAAAACTCTTTTCATATAATTTCAGCTGTTTAGACAAACTATTAATGATTTAAAAAGTTTTGTTTCTCTTGAAAGTTCCAACCATCGGACTTCGATCATTTTCGTTGATATTTGTCATTACATATGAAGGCGAACGGCCTACACAACTCTGGAATTTGCCCACCCTTGTTTATGTATATTTGGATCACTTGCATTCATTAGTACACACTGGCTAATTTTTCAGTCAGTGTACACCAAATGCCAGGCTTGGGACAAACACAATAATTGGTAACAAGTAGACGCTAGGTCTTTAATACGTGTAAACAGAAACACGACAGCGTAAACAAACGGTTTAACAGTTTGCCGAATGTGTCATTGTGTGATGATAGTGGCAGCTTTTGGCGCCTCCTAAGCCAGGCACCGGAGGTGTAATATTTGGTTGCTAAAATCTGCAAACATCAAAGAGATCGGCTAAAAGAAAAAATATCGAATTCTAACTTGTTGACGTCACCTATCGTAGTGTCCTTGCCTCTTGTTGCATTCATCAACCCCGAACCAGGTCGAATTTCTGCACGAAAATGAGAAATTTCCTGCTCAGTCTAATTAGATTGAACTTTTGCCAGAATTTATCTTGTAGGTCTTCGACCTTTACACAGTAACGAAAGAATTACATATAGCCTTTGTATTTAAATGATACAAAAGTTCAAGCAAACATCATTTTGTTTGTAATATAATTCTAGTGTTGCAACCTTGAGCTCGAAGATTTCAAGTTTCAAAGATCATCGTTACCAACACCATCGTAATAAATCATCATCACTCTACAATCAGCAATCACTAATCAGCAATCAACGATCACCAAGCAACCAGCATGCAACATTTTATCAGCAGTGCTACACAACAGCAATCTATACACTACATTTAAGATAGAATTTAACATGGCACATTAAACACGGCTTGAGTTAAAAACTATTTTACACGATAGCAACAATTTACATAAGGTTCCCTACATTGTCAATGTTCAGTTTTGCTACTGACGTCCAGATAATCGAGGGACAAATAACTCCAAGAAAATCTCGTACGCCTTTTGTCGAAGGGGCAATTCACCCTTGCAAATAGCGTACGAGATTATTCCTAAAACAAAAGGATTTCCAGGGATTTTCAGATAAAATAATAGGATTTTCACAAAGAGTGTACCAGATTTTCTTGGAGTGATTTGCCCCTCGCCTTTTGTTTCATCTGAAAATCCCCAGAAATCCTTTTTTAGGGAAAATCTCGTACGCTATTTTCAAGAGTGAATTGCCCCTCGCAGATAATAACCAAGGGTATAGAGCTGGGAGGCTGTTGTTTTCGAGAAATCTTTCGCGAGGCCCCTCCTTGTTCTTTTTAAAGCCAAACGCATTTTTAGCAACTTTGTCTCACCCTTTCCTCGGGTGAATTCTGTTTTTAATCTGCGGTTCCTAACAATTAGATAAAAAGTTGAATTCAATTTTTTCTAGGTATGGTTTCAAAATCGTCGTGCAAAATGGCGAAAGAGGGAGCGATTCCACGACGTGTCGACATCAATCACAAACATTCGATCTCTTGCCCCTTCGCCCTATTCATCATCAGCGCTTCTTAAATCGCAAAACTACCCCAATACGTCAGAGTGGGTAGCTCAGGCACCTCCAAGTCCCCTTGGGCGCCCTCTCAGTGGTTGCAGTAATCAAGCATACGGTTCAGCCGGATATGTACAATTGCATCATCCCCCGTCTCTTTACTCGTACCCGTATTACCAAACCAATGCAATGAACAGCTCCCAAGTCAACTGTCGTGAGGCAGCCAGCCCTCCTTATTCGAATGGCAACGCTCCAATGCTGGCGTTACAATACACAGGGTACCATGCCATCAACGACTACCAGCGAAATGTTCCTTCGCAGCAGTTCCCCTACGCAAGACAGCCAACGCACCTTAGGCACATGTCCGATTCAAGCAGCGGAGAACTGAACGTTTCTGATGAAAACAGTCCGGACGATGTTTTGACTGTTAGACTCAAGAAAGAAAACAAATATCGATGAAATTTGTAATTTATCGAACAAAGTAATGATGTATTTGCTTGTCTTCACAAGAATATCTTACCAAAGGGCATTTCAAAATATGTTAAAAACTTGAGAAAATTTTGCCTCCTCCCAAAATAATTGAAGTTAGGCCTTTTTTCAAAAAGCCAAGCTCATCTTAGCTCATCTTAGCATCAAGCTCAAGCCCCCCTAATATTATGCCAAGCACCTGCTAAAGTGAAGTCGATAACCTGTTTTTGCATTTCTGGGTCGCGTTATTCTGTCGGCCTTTTTGCATCATATAAATTGGAAATATCATATAGTATTTTGCCTTCCATCTTTATTTCCTAATCTTTCAAGGGGTAATGCTGAGTTCTGAATTGAAGGTTTTTTCTTGCAAGCCAAGGCACACTTTTACACCCTGGAGTTGAATTAACCTGGACACTAGTTGTGCATTTCCCTGAGTTAGAAATTCCCGTTGCACAAAGAAGCAGTTTCTTCGATTAACAATTTGCAGGACAACCGCGGACACAATTCCCACTGGCAAACTGGCCAGTATTGAAAAGGGAAAACGGGATTCCTCAGCAAGGAGGGCGCAAATTCGTCCATCTTGAAGAGTGTTACAAAACGGTCCTTAATATCTCAGGACATCTAAGGCAAAATCGCCGTTGGTATCTTGGCTTGCTAGAACAAGAACCTAGTAAGCATCAGTCCTCTGCTAAATCAAACCACGTCAAATCACCTCGACTTACTTGGATAAATATTGCAGATGCAGGAGTTATACTAGAGTGGCTTTAGACACCTGTCAATCAACCATTGACCAATCAATAGACGCGTGAGTGGCATTACGCTGATTGATTGAACAATTCTGATTGACAGCCGGTTTAAGCCACTTTGTTAGAAAAGATAATTAGATGAGCAAGAGAATCATTAGCTATGTTAGAGCCACAAACTTGATTTAGGTAAATATTCATAAATCTTATTGTAAATTTAGATTTGTAGTTTATTATTAGTTTAATGTAGATTAAGCAGCAAATGAATGGATGTATCAAAATGATTTTTCAGTATATAAATGGAAGAACCTCGAAAAATGTACTTTTTATTAGCTACATTTTCTGATTTCAAGGTATTCTTTTCCACCGGTAATTTGAGTTGCAATAGATTGATTCCTCGTCAATTGTAAAAAAAAAAGATTGATTGTAACATCACCTATGGACTAGAAACACTAGAGAGCCACGGCAAATTTCCAGATCTAATTTTCTCCTATAATAGCAGTGACAGTTAGGTCCACTTTCAAAGCTGCAGTAAAAGGGAAAAAGCCCTGGCCCCCTACTTTTGCTAGCCTTGACCCCCCAGTTTCAAGTTCGTGGCGTAGGACCTGTGACCAATGTACTTTCAATTTTATGTTGAAATTTTTCTGTCGCAAAAAGTTTGGTGTAAGTTGATCAAATAGAAGTTTTCCAGCTCGATTTTCGAAGTGCAAAAACACCCTTCACAAATGGGTTATAAATATCCATCGCTATTGAACGACACACAGTTAAGATGGCAATATCTTCATAAATTGGCCTGACAACTTATTTCATAGAATTAAGATTTTGCTCTATAAATTTTTTGGTAAAATGGCAATTTTGATCGTTAAATCTTTAATTTACTGCTCGGTCAGGTACAACATTGTTGAACATTCTTTGTTCACAATGATGGTATCAACAGTAAAAACACGAGGGTACTAGGTACTCCGCAGCGTCCAACAGGATGGCTGGATATGATGGAAGAATTGAGCGTGATGTCCTTGCATCAGCTTAATGAAAAAGCATTGATCAATGCACAACAGATATTGTTTGTTCAGAGGATAGCCAGAAGCAGGGACCGCAGAAGCGGAGAGGCGGCTACGGGGGCTTTAGCTCCCCCAAATAGTTCTCAAAATTGACTTAAAACCATAAAAATTGCCCTGCCCTTGGCTTTCAGCATGTTCAGCCCCTCAAACGATTTAGCCCCCTAAATCCGTAATATGATCCGCAGTCCTTTGCCAGAAGTTGTCTGAAACTGAGCTGAAAAACTCTTGAATCCTATCCAGTCTAGTTTATTAAAAAGTGACACTGTTGACATGCCTAACTTCTCCATAATTCGAATACAAAATTTGAAGATCAGCCCAATTCATTTAGTAAGTTGTTGCCGAGGAAAGGTTTTTGACGATTAAGATCAACATGTATTTCATGGCAAGGGGTGGATGGCTCTGGTTATATAAGCAATGCAACATAAGAAGTTGACACTTACGTGTAAAAAGCTTTTCATTGAAGTAAAAAAATCTTATATAACAATATTCGCTTCTGTCGTAAGGCCACTCCACAATGGCGCAAGAATGGTCGAAAACTATCGTTGTGCAAATTATTTGTATCTCAAAGGGCGAATAGGAATTGATCCTGAGTAGAAAAACGACTCGGAGAACAATTTGGATCATGGTTTCCAATGTTTTCCATGGAAAACTAGCCCTGGAAATACTTCAACTGTTTTGTTAGCAACAAATCTCAATAAATCAATAAATTTTGCAATTTAGGAGAGCAATCATTATAAACTGTCTGGAAGAAATTTGAACTGCAGAATCTTGCTCAGCATCAAGTTTTATGCCTTTTACTGTCCCTAAGCTTAAACAGAGAAAAATGCACAGAAAAATTGTCTTCTATGTCAAATCAATATTTTTAGACGTCTTCTCCACTTTCCTTTGCTACTAAAACACTGTCAATAAAACCTTTTTTAAATTTTACAGCGATTTTGTGGCTGCATCTAACTTGCTGAGCAATTTTTGAAACTTATAGTCCACTTTCTCGTATAAATTTTGTAGCGACTCGTATCTCATTATGCAACTTTTATTCTTTAGATATGAGCTATATTCTACAAATAAAAAACAATTTTAAGCAATAAATGCATCTTCAACTATGTTTGCTATGAAGTACACCTATTTCACCCAGTTGTGCTGATATTTAGAACAAGGTGGTGCAATACTGCAGGTAAAGAGTTAAAGAATTGCATGATACTCGTTTTACTTATCGTGTAATCCAGTTAAATAAAATTGTTGTGTCGTTATTTTGTATGAAATTTCAGAAAATCTATCGTTCGAAAGTCGCAAAGTCGTTGCAGGCCAACAAAACAGAACTGTCTCACTCTTAAAGAAATAAAATGACAAAATTCTTCATAGTCTTTTTATATTCATATTTATATCAAGGATCTTTTTACGTTTCTGTAAACTTTCTGAATTCAAATAGCAAGAAATTTTGAGATAGCAAGCAAGTCTGGGAGCTTGTGAAGAAAATCTGTGTTTTTACATCATTTTAACCATTAATCGAGTAGCCGAGTTGTTAAGGCGCTCGACTGTCATGCTAGCACTCCGGGTACGGCTCGCGGACTGCCCTCAGTTCACTCGGCTGAAAATGAGTACCTAGTTGAAACATACTAGGGAGGTAAAAGCGGCGTGGAAAGTAACTGGCCATCCTACCACACAATGCCGTGGCCTAGGACGATGCGTCCCTAACAGTGCATTCCCCAGTAAAGTTTGAGCGAGCGATGAAACGACACATTCATAAAGGAAACAAGAAAAAATGAAACAACGGTTTTTAGTTCATAACAAATTGGTTAATAATTGAATCAACTTTCTTATTGAAATGAAGCACAAGTAGGCAGATTGAGCATGAATCAAAATAATAGCACATCGTTATTTTTGCAAATTTTATGCAATGGAAGTTACTTTAGCAGCTTTGCTCCTTTTTGCCTTTTTCTTTAGGCTTCTAAGCTTTTTCTTTTTCTTCTTCTTGTTGGAACCATTTGTAACACAGAGTGTAATTCCAACTTTCAATTTGAAATTGCTGGCCAATTGTGGAACTGCATCTGATTCATAACCAGAGATAGACACTTTCCAGTCGGCATAGACAGAGGGATACAAAGCTGTTCTCTCCAAGAGATCCAGACATCTATCTTCCTCCATATTCACCGGACAGATTTCGGGCTTTGATGTATCATAAGGGTTTTGAAACGTTTCTTGTCGGCAACCTTCATTGCTACCACCCTCGAGGTATTCAAACTTCAAATTCTTGCTTGGGATGATCGTATATGTTTTGCCATTCGGCACCAGTTGGTTCCTCCCCTCTGATTTTGCTTCAACATTGACTCTCCTTCGTATTCCACTCATAGTTGGCAAGAAAATTTCAAACTTCTTCACCGTGATAACAGAATCCTTATCCCCAGTGTCAATCCACTGATTCTCCACCAACCAGTCACTATTTGGGATTTTGAACCTTACTTGTTTGGCAGCATACAAATTAGATATGTCGAGGTAAGCCTTGTCAGCTTCTGTTGCTGCACTGATTGGTACTTCCCTAAATCCTACTTTTTCCTGGCAAGGTCTTACCTGACGAGAGACAAGATTAGCAATATTCGTGTTTAACCCTTGACAAAGGTTGGGCCTTGTTCCGCCTTCTTTATACTCCAAAATGTCGCAGTATGCCTCTGTAGCCTGCCAAATGTTGATCTTATACGATATATAGGAAATCAAGCCAACAATTCTCAAATTGTTGACAGCGTTGCTGCTTGAATCCTGTTCAGCAGGGAGCTGCTCGTACCCGGCTGTTATGCTTGAAGCGGCATCAATGGATGTAGCAGCCCTCATATAAGTAGCTAGTGCCTCAATGAGCTCAAACTGAAAATCGTATATCTCTGCATAGGTTTCGATCATTCTCTCTGCAAGCAACTTTGTTTTGGGACATAAGCCAGACGCCCTTACAGTTGCCTTGACTGGTTCAGCAATCAGCGTTTCCGTATTCATAATAACATCACAGGTGGCTTCAATAAGGTCAGTCCAGGTTGCTGTCATGGCTGTCAACTCTGGCCTAGTAACCTTTGGATCATAGGCCGTATAGTCTCTAATGAATTTTTGCTTCTCTGATTGAAAAATGGAGGATGACTCTTCATTTCCAATATTATCGACGACTTTTTTTACAGACTCAAGAAATTTGGCATTTTCCTGAAACTTGCCTGATATCTCAACGGTCTTTTCAGTTAGTCGATCAAAAGAGCGTTTCACTTGGACAAGCTCCCCTGCTATAGTTATTGAATCAGCCAGTTTGGCACTGCGATCCATAAGATCACCCACGCTTGACCCTCCGAAAATCTTCTCAAGAGGATTCATTAACACAGCAGCAGCTAGACCAACTTGAACGGTATCTTCAGCTATCTCCAGGGCGATAGCCGCAATTGCTCGCTTTATAAGGTCATCAAGGTTTGCCCCTAATTCTTGACTCAGTGTCGAAACACTTTTTCTAAATAATTCTAACCTTCCATTAACGAAATCTACATCAGCACGTGCTTTATCTCTGTTGAAGCTTTCAACCTTCTGGAAATACGTCCTGACGCCTTTAAATCTGTCGTTGGTTGTTTTAGTGACTTCGCTGTTAAGCCAACTAAACAGGGAAGGAAGGGCATTTTGTGTGTCTTGGACAATTTGCAATATTCTGTCAATTTCAGTTAGCTCTAAAAACGTTTTATAATCAATCCTGGTATTCAGAATTTTTGTCACGTGTCCATTATCAGACACAACTTGAGACTTTAGGAAAAGCCTTATCTGAGCAACTACTCTGAAGAGGGTGCAGATGCTCTTTGTTTCGTCGGAAGGATGGCCGACAGTGGCTCCACAACCTTCTTTCATCGTTGTTAAATCTGGTGTCAGAGATATGAGCTCTGTCAATGGATCCGTTTGTCCGTTTCTAACATTTTTGAAGAATGTTTTCAAGTTATCAATGACCAGCTTTTGAATGTTTTCGTTGGTTCTTGGTTTTACTCGAGCGAATTGTTCTGGGTCGTTATGTCGCAGAACGAGAAAATGGATGCGATAAGCGTTCCATTTCTCACTGCTCCTACTTTCATCTTTTACTTTCTCATACGTGTCAACTATGTCCACCAATTCTGGTAAATGTTCACAGAATATTTCATCTCGAGGCTGACTCAAGCAATCTCGTTCGATTTTATCTCGAAGTTCTCTTGCAGAGCGTCCTGTTAAAGCCTTGGCAAAGTCTTGTGGCCTCTCAGACAGTCCAACAGCAAGATCTCTTTTGGAATTTTGATCTCTGGCAGTGTACGATTCGCGACCTGAAGGATGCAATCTGAGAATTTTAACACGTAGAATGTCGGCAATGGTGATAGAAACTTGCTTTTTCACTTGATTGGTTTGATCACGGCACAGATGTTCCATACCACTGTCACCAGAATCATCGGCATAAAGAACGTTGTTGTCAATAAATTTCTTTCGAATTTCGTTAAGCTTTTCATCACTTTTTAATTGGTTGCTTCTGATGAAATCTTTACAGATGGTTTCAATATCTACTTCACTGCTTGCAGATGCTGGGAACAACTGAGATGTTAGCATAAGCAACAAAAGCGTCTTCATGACTGTCGCCTAGAAAATATCGAGAAATTCTTTATTCTGCTAAGTCAAAACAAGCGCAAATATATAGGCAGAGTTAGATTTAATAAATACATAAATGGAAATATTCAAAAAATGTATCAATGATCAATATAGTCGTGGAATAGCAATGAATAACCAGTTAAAAAAGACATTCTTAAAAAGGATTGTTGAAACATATTTTGGCACCAAATTAATCCCTTGGATAATTTTATGTAAAAACTCTCAGAACATTTCTGCAAATTTTCTCTATTTTGGATAGTTAAACCGCAAAAATGGCTGTTTTACATTTTTAAATGGCTGATTAAGAACAGCTCGCCTGAACATCAGGTTAATGGTTCCTAAAAGAAGTGTGCGAAATAATAAAGATCCTGACCTCATAGAAAAAAACAGAAGATATCTTTATCTCTCTTGAAAACTTCAACAATGTTATTGAATAGTTAGTGCTCAGTGCTCACTGGTTTGTCAAGAACGAGGGACTTTCAGGCACACCTTTTCTTCCTCTCACGTTACGTTCGTTCCACACCTAGAATTAATAATGTCTTACCTCTGGTCGTTACGAAATTAACAATCAGAGGAGTGGCGGACCATGAATGGTTTAGTATGTTATGTTTCTGCTTTTCCGTATTATTTTAAAATACTATCTCAGTTTTTGTCATGGCTCACAAGTAGATAAATGCAGAATTGACTTTAGACCTAGCCGGACATTAAGCCGTTGCATATAAAAAATGCAATAGCGGAAAATTCAGGCAAATAAACACACATAAAGATGATGACGTTGCTTATGTAAGAAAGCCAATCAATATATGCATCAGAGGATACAATTCACAGTTGTGTAATTGTATTTTCAATCTTTCAATCGATTCAATCTCTGCAGACACATTTAAAAGTTAACAAAGAGACTCAAAGACTCACCAAAATCAGGAACTGGTTCTTGCCAAATTCAGTTACAGATTTGCGAACTTAAATACTTTTTTTAGTGTAATCAAATGTGGTAATCCGAACAAAGATCATGGGGACCTATACGGTTCATTTGAGGTGTTTGCTTACCTTTGAATCGAACAGAGCTTAATGAGTTTGTTTTTCTTAAGGAAGGCAGAACCTAGAATGCATGGTGGGAACACAGGTACTTCGCGCAGGGGTCGAGATGCATCGTAGTATACATTTTCACCAATATATCCCCATTGAAATTAAACGAAATACAAATTCGATCCTGCCGAGAAATGGAAGGAAGGTTAAACTTTTTTGTTAACTCTGCTCTAGCTACTGTGAATCTTTTGCACTTCCACAGTGCTTCCTCCGCAGTGGCATAGAAACAGCCTTTATGATTCAAATTACATAACAGAAGTCCTTGAATTAGACCGCCTTGGGGATATTCAATTTGATACGTTTCTTGATAGGGGCTTTACGATGGGGCTGTTTCACGATACATCTAAAAGTTGCTATACAAGTAGATAGCTTTCAAAGCTTTTTAACTTTTATCAAGTTCACTTTGAGAAATGAAGCATTTTGCAAATCAACTTAAACAACGACAACACTGTGAAAATGTTTTTTGTGCTGCATGAGTTCCAACAAACACATCCGCTTCGTTTGCAACATTGATAAATCCTATCTACTTCTAAATGATTACTATAATCGGTGCTTATAAACTTTTCAATTATTAACAAATTTGGAGATAAAACAGCCCACTCATTGATACATTTCTATTTTTCGATTCGTTTGAAAATTGACTACACTCTTTTTTATAAGAACAATTTTATAAGAACACGAGCCTCAAAACTGGTCAAATATTAAGAACAAATTAAGAACAAGCTGAGGCTCAGCTTCTGCAAAATGCAATTTTGAACAACGTTTTTTCTCAAAATCGAGGAGTTTTTGCGATGTGTGGGTGCTTTTTCGGTGAATATTTAAATTTGTCAGCAAATTAAGGCCCTCTCACTCACTTTGTTGGCAAATCAGGCCTGAACACCTTCTTAGAGCATTATATTATAAAGTTCCATTACCTGTGAATGGGTACATGTTAAATCAAATCTATCGTACAACGGTCAAACAAATTTATTGATTAACTCGTAAACAATGAGATCAACCTGTGTAAGCGTACGTATATTGGGAAAATAAGCAAACCTCGTGAATTTATTGTCTTAACTTGACAAAAAAAACAAAAATCTTTCATGATCCTTTTCAGATATTCTAAAGTATAACACACTTTTTATAAGAACCAGTAAATTTATTGTCTCAACTTGACAAAAAAACAAAAATCTTTCATGATCCTTTTCAGATATTTTAAAGTATAACACACATTTTATAAGAACCAGTAAATTTAAATTCAGACTAATTCTTCTTAACTTTTTCAAAAATTTGAGGCTGGATTGTTCTTAATTTGTTTTGAAATTTACAGGGTATAAGCAGTGCGATTGCTAGCTTTTCGCTCGAGAGAGGTGTTCAGGCCTCATTTGCTAACAAAGTGAGTGAGAAAACCTTCATTTGCCGACAAGTTTGAATATTCACCGACGAAGCACCCACACATGGCTAAAAATCTTCGTTTTTGAGATAAAACGTTGTTTAAAAATGCCTTTTACAGTAGCTCAGTCTCAGCTTGTTCCTAATTTGTTCTTAACTTTTGACAATCTCTTTACTGTTGGGAACATGCCCCCAACAGCTTCGCTAACTGCTGATTACGTAGGTTAGCTAATAACTTTCGTAATTAGTAGCCAGTTTAGGACGTATAATTAGAGTAGATTGCTTGCTGCTCTATTGTTAGCTAATTAAGGATCGTGCAGAAGCTTCTAGAAAGTTCTCGTAATCCCTGAAATAGAACTGCCTACAAAGAAATCTTAGCTTTGTTTCGCAGTTAACAATTCGCGAGCTTCTCGTTACACATGTTAATCAGATTGAAAAATTAGCTGGGTGATTTATTATCTATGGAAATAAGTAGCCATAGACAGATCAAAAATCATAATATCATATATCATAATATGATATCATAAATTATGGGAAGATTTCAAGAATTCGGCAATATTTCAAAACCTGTGGCACGAATTAGCGATGATAAGTCTTATTTAAAGGGCATTTTAAAAGCTTTCGATAAATGTAGTTAAATTTGCCGATGTCTATAACTTTTGTGACTTCATAGATAACATCATTAATATAATTTTTTATTTCCAAAAACTGGACAGACAGTGGGCAATAGCAAAAGAACATTTAAGATTGAATCTTCTCGGTGGAAATGAAGCCAGTAGAACGATCAAGTGTCATTGGGCAGTTTATAAATAGGTGTAAGGAGAAAGTTAATAAATAGGTGTAAATAACTCACCATTAAATTCATTCAATGGTACACTCAAAATATTGGAAGTTCCTCTTGCTTGATACATTATGCTTGCTTTTATTGCTCGAAAATTCAAAACATGTTAAAAAAATTCAAGTAATATATGAAATCCGCTACTGAGATCCCAACTTTTATCACAGAAATTTAGTATGGAAAAGATAAGGTCTTGAAAGTAATCTTTTGAAAGTAACAGCGAAAATTGTTTCTTATGTTCTCATAAAAACGGAAGATAAAGTTTCTTTGAAAGAGCAAACAGAAAAATGGTCCAAGATCAAAATATCGACAGATAGCCAGCCTTTGGTTGAATTTTACTTTGGTTTTCTCAAATGTTGCTGATACTTGGAAAGGCAGACATAAGTTGCAGAAAGACACTCCGCACTAGAGTGGACCCAAGTTAAAAACGATATGGCTGCATCTCAGATGCATCCGCCGACGAAACTTATTGCTATGCAACACCTGCCGCAGTAGCTGGTAGTATGTCAAGTCGCTCTGTAAGTCAGAATCTTTTGGAAAAGATGGTATGCTTTGTTTGTAACAAGAAAAGACCATCGGACGAGAAAACGTTCAATGAGAAGGGACTGGGAAGATGAGGTCAGAGGGTCTGGATGCAATCGGGTGCCCCTAGGAAGAGCAGCCTTTTAGGTTTTTAAACCTTTATTATTTATATTATACTATTGTAATAGCTGATAGGGCATCGTGCCTAAACATTTCTATGATATGATATGATATGATATGATATGATATGATATGATATGATATGATATGATATGATATGATATGATATGATATGATATGATATGATATGATATGATATGATATGATATGATATGATATGATATGATATGATATGATATGATATGATATGATATGATATGATATGATATGATATGATATGATATGATATGATATCATAGGATATGATGTGATGTGATATGATATATGATAGGGTATGAGGAAAGGTTCGCCCATAAACTACTAAAGTAGAAAAATGCATACTTGAAAAACCAGAATCATCGTTTCTATGTTGCAGCTAATCGATCACAGATTGCTGTTAGTGGAGATTCGCACAGATAGATATCTTTGGGTCGTCCCGATAGTTCAGCGGTAGAGCACTTGACGTAAAAAGTCAGGGGTCGTGGGTTCGAGTCTCGCTCGGGTCGGTTATTTTCCCGCACTCTCTATTAATTATCTTCAAAAATCCTGTTGTCTGTAAACAATCTCTTAAATGTTTAATAAACACTATCGCGAGTAAAGATATTCAAAAGTACCACTGATGAAAAGGCTCCACGGCATTTCTGAATATTATCAATGAAACAATGTAAAAAGCAAACAGATCTCGTTAACAGTCTTTTATACATAGCAATCTTTTCATCCAATTCGATAATTCTAAATTTCACAACGTAATGCTACAAAACTTAACCAAGAAGAGCACGTGACCTGTGTGGGGAGAAAACACGTCTTAAAAATCAATTGTACGCACTAGTGGGCTTGCAAAACTCGTCTTCAGTATGAGAATCATCGTAGTGCATCATGTCACGATGTCTTCTAAGCATGCTGATGGCAGCCTCGTTAATTGTAGCTGGCTTGATTCCGAGGTCTTCAAACGACATAATATGTGAGCTGATTTGGTCACTAAGGTAGTGCTAGAAACAGAATTATAATTTTTGTTTGTGTCAATAATTCTTGCAAGGATTGTAAAATGATATCAAAAATGAATATCTCACATAGAATATTTATTTCCTTGAATAAATGGATCTATTTTACGAAAAGCCGTGAAAATAACAAAAGTAGCTTCTTTTAACAAAAGTAGCTTCTTTTACAAAAACAAGAAACTGTAACAGGTAGTTTCAAAGTTGATATGAAGATAAGCCTACCCTTGTTACTTTATCTCTGGTCATTCGTGGATCAAATATTGACTGTTCAAGAAAATATGCCACCATTCTAAAACAAAACACGGTATTATACTATCAAAATAAGGCTAGATTACGAGAATTCACATCAGCAGAACATAGCAATTCTGCATACCCCATTAGCCAATCAGAATTCAAGAATATGACAACAAACGTGCCTCGCAGCTAGATTTAGGCCTATTTTGGACGTTTTTAACACTACCTACAAAAAAATCAACGTGTAAAATGTGCTGAAAGATAACCTTCATTTTCTTTTAAAAATTGAATCTTTAATGAATTTACGAAAAATAAAGAATCTGTTTACGAAAACGACACCATTCATCAAAAACACCACATAATTGACGGCAATTTCAAAATATTAAACGTACCATACTATACTTATAACATATTATCAAAAATTGTGCTGTTCCCCTATTGTATTTATGCTTAAACTTATACAAATAAAGGTTCGCAAAGAATGGAAATATTTTTCAAAAATAATTTAAAGGGTGAGAATCTCAAATCCAAGATGTGAGTCCCGGATGTGGGTTGAATGAGTATTTCGGTTTGGCATGAAAGCTCATCTTCTCTCACACATGTTGGTTGAAAACATCTCTAGCAAAGAAGATCATATTGTTTCACATATGTTATTTGAAAGAAAATGTCACATTTGTTTTTTTAGTTGGTGATGTTAGGGAAGGCCCACAATCTTATAGCGAAGCCCTAACAAGATAAAGGAGGGGGAGGGGCTTCGGGAGAGAGGAGAAAAGATCAAGCTTGTTAATTTTGACTTGAATAAAGAAAGGTTTAAAGAGTCAAGGAAGCAGAAAATGAGTCAGGAAGAGAGTAGAGCGATCCAAAGTTCACAAAGATCTGGGAAGAAAGGATGGGTGGCGGCACAAAGACTTGGACTAATAGGATGCACTTTAATGAACCTAAATACATCAATATAAATGACTTACTTGTAAATATTTTCAGGAATCTTGTAGGGTCTGAATGGCTTGCGGATAATTTTGTAAACATATTCAACGATATCATGAAGATAATATTCTTCTGGTCTGATTGATAAAAAAGCAAAATATTTCTCATCATATTAAACAATAAAAGTATGACAAACATGTTTAGAAATGAAAGGCATTACTTGATTCAAACAGTGGATTGGCCTCACAGGAAGAAGGAAAAAAGAAGAGAAGGGAAAAGAGGAAGAAGACAAAAGGGGATCTGATAAAAGACGGAAACATTGTCAACATCGAATAGATAGAAAAAAGGTTAAACATTGTGATTACAGTGGCGGACACTTGGGGGGGGGGGCGACCGCCCCCTCAATACTTTAGAGGAAAATGGTATTTTGTTATAAAACAATGGGGAATGTGACGTCATCTTATTAAAACAATAGGCTTGCCCCCCCCCCCCTCAATATTTGCTCAAGTGTCCGCCCCTGATTGAGAAGAAACAAGGCAAACAATATGGACAAAACAAGGCAAAAATATAGAGAAAAGAAATTAATTACGCTACGTCTTGGTAAATAGTAGAAAATTTGAACATGGGTGCGAGTTTCAACTAATCTTTTGTCTAAAGTAGTTGAAATTTTATCAAGAGAGAAAAGCTGGAAAGGAAACCTAGCAACAAAATAGACAAATTAATATTATACGAGCAAGATAAAGCGGTATCTATGCATAAAATTTCCATCTATTTCGTTCGCAGTCTGTAGACTCCATTAAATACAATATCGAGTCTTCTATCAATAAAGGCATTATAACATCACGAATGAGATACCTTCCCAAATTAGATTTCTAAAGAATGTAGCAAATGGACTGCTTGAAAAATTATTTCAATTTCAAAAACTTCTCATTGCCACAGAAAAGGTAAAGACACAAGCTAACAGTTTTACACCGGCAGTAGCAAAAATTCAGATCTTAGAAAGTTCCCTGACCAAATAGGCCTAAATTATTCTTAGGCAAAACCTTAGATCTAGAAGATGGATCAAGTAAACCAGCCCGACATACCCATAAAGCTCGTAAGTCTTTCCTGCAGCAGATTCATCCAGCGCTGCATTCACAATAGCTTGAGCAACGTCTGCAACCTATGGAGCGAATTCAGAAAGAAGTTTACAAACAGCAGTTGCCTCGCAAGCGTCGAGACAGATGCCTGGTATAACATGGCTAGAACTGCCAGTTACTGATGGGTTGTCAGTTAAAAACATATATTCATAATGGAAACTTGAATGAGTATGACTACCATATAAAAGTTACTAGTATCCAGTCCTGTTTGCTTTTTTTGGGGGGAGGGAGTGTTGGAGCGTACCCAAATACTGTTTTGCATTGGGATGTGCAACCCACGTAGATCTTCTTCAAGATGAAAAAAATTAAACTATATCAAACAATAGGAAATTATGGAAAAAATGTTAATTCTACTGGTTTGCAACTAGGTAAAGTTCCTGCCATCAACATAAACACAAGTGGAACTTTGAAGGACTTCTTTAACTCTATGTCAAAAATGTTCAGTCATAAACATTGAACAAAAACATTGAGCACACTCTGTGGAACTCAAGTTGTCTCACTTCGGAAATTTTCAACGTTCAAAACTTGTTTTGTGGAAAGAGCACTTAATGGACAAGAGAGAACACCCTGAAATAGCCCCAAAGAGCACCAAAATTCATTACATCTGTTGCAAATTGACGGAGGTATTACCAATTACAGTTTCAAGTTTGCTATCGGTATATAAAGTTTTGAGCCAGGAACCAAGCTACTGTGATTCTACAAATACATTTCATGACGTCATCATCCAGAACCCTATTATGAAAATTCAGGATTTCAGTTTCTGAATTGGCGGTTCTTCTTAGACATCATAAAATGACGATTTCAGAAAGAGAGTCAGAATAAAATAAAACTAACGAGATCATCTGACTGAACAAGTAACACCTGTCATGGGCAAACAACATCTGAACATTGAAGAGCGGCTTTGCTAGGCCTATTGAGAGACGCAAAAGCTGAAGGGTTGAAGTTGCTTAAAATACAGAGTTTCCTGATTTCATTGGATAAATTCAAAAGGTGTAGACCACAATAAGATTTTGAATTGCCTACCAATACTGGTCTCTTCTTTGTTTCCATGCCATTATCAATAAGAGGCTGACCAAACGGGAGATTTCTGAGGTCTGGAAAAAATTGCAATCATATAAACAATGGTTTTTATACGAGGTAGAAAAGGAATCTTTGCTTCGTGCCAGACTGTTTCTTCCTGTGTTCCATTTGGTAGCTTGCTGTTAACGACCAAATCCAGCAATTTCAGCAAGAATTTTCTACATCTTCTTTACCAGTACTTTAAATAGGCCGAACATAAAAGTACCCTATGAATGCTGTAAAGTGTCCGCACTTCCTTTCACTATTCCAAGAGAAATAATTTTGGTTCAAACTGGATTCGGGGCACTTTCTGTTAACAATGCATCACAATACTCCAATTCGTTTATAACTCTACATTTTAAAACTTTTCCCTAATACTTTCACTTCTCAACTATTCAGTTTGTTGCTTTCCTAATGCAGTTTATTCAGATTACGAAACCTTTTTGCAACAATGTTCGGCAAGAATTCATTTTAGATTACGTTTTGCTTATAACACTTAAAACAATTTAAAAATCATTGAAACTTTGTCCAGTCACTTAAACAGTAGGCAGCAGTGAGACCGGAGTTTTTTTCTGTTAACGAGGTTCCCATAACTGGGTATTACTTGTATGAGGATTGAGGCCTCGAATGCAAGAATGAAAGCTTGGGAAATAATTTTTCTCTGACAAATTTCAAGCTGTCCATGAAAGGAGGTTTCCGTTAATGCTTTCGAGATCTAACAGTGAAACATTTTATTTGAACTGATTACTTACATGCATACATGTTGAGAAATTTGTCTTCGTGTCCATAACATTCTGCTGGTCGAAGGATTGTTGCCTCTGGAAATTCTTGCTTGACTGCGCGCTCTCCTTGTGCCTGAGATGAAACATATTTCATCAGAAAATTTTCTCTCCACAGTCGTTTGTATGGTGAAAAAACAATTGCATTGTCACACAAAATATTGACTCGAAAAAAGAAATTATTACCAGTTTCTTACCCCTACTCTCGGTATCAGAGTTTCTAAGAAATATGAAATAGTGAAAATTCCATCCCATCCCATCCCATCCCATCCCATCCCATCCCATCCCATCCCATCCCATCCAATCCCATCCCTTCCCTTCCCTTCCCATCCCATCCCATCCCATCCCATCCCATCCCATCCAATTCCTTCCCATCCCAACCCATCCCATCCCATCCCATCCAGTCCAATCTCATCTTATCCCTTCCCTTCTCTTCTCTTTTCCTCTCTTTTTTATTTAAGAAATTTAACTACGGTAGAAATTGTGTTTAAAACAAAGGAGAGTTGTGCATTGGTTGTATCCGAAGACCCTTTGGTCGGATGATATTGCCGTTGTCAAAGTAAGACAAATATGGGTGACCGAGGATGACAAATGAAACATTGGTAAACATAGTTGCAACTGGGCCTAAATAGAAAAATGACATCTATCTTATGTTAGCCTGCGTGCAGACTCTGTTGACAAAATTGAAAATAGGATATTTTCTCTTTTAAATTTCCGAGTCTGCATGCAGGCTATCTTATGTATATGAAAAAGTAGCGAATCAGCAGAAAGTTGCCTGCTTGGATTACTCCGATAAGGCCCTGTCCAATGTGGCAACTCTGTTGCTTTCTTGTTGTAGCAAATTTGTACCAGTCATGATGTCTCTCGCAAAGAGTGCAAAGTGCCTGCTGTCATAATCACACATATAGCACGCGCTTCGCCTCTCACCTTGGTTTGCAGAAATTTTGATGGAGAATTCGTTGCAGCGTTCAGTGCAGACACGTGAATGAAACGTTTGACGCCAGCATTTTTGGCAGCTTTGGCAATCGCTGCAGCACCTTCTACATGAGCATCATGGAACGAGAAATTCCTGAAATATGATGGCTGCAATTAGAGTTTAATGATGATTAAATGAAATTTAATCAGAGTTAATTTAACGAGGGGCTTTTGCATTAGATGTTACTCCTGAGTTTATTATTGACTGTTATTCATATTTTTGGTCTCATGTGCCACGCTTTCTCGTGGTCCACTTGCATTTGCGTTACTCGTTTATTGGTATTGCGAAGTCGTCTTGGCCTCCGGGGGTTTAGTTTAGTAATGCTAGGGCAAGATTTATGGCTCGTGGCCGTTTTTATTCCCTAGGTTATTCTTGGGGGTATTTAAGGTTTTTTGGCATAGTGTTGGTTTCACTTTGCTTGGTGAAAGGCGACGAATAGAGTGTGCTGTTTATTTTCCCGGCCCTCCCTCCCTCTTTTTTTCTCTTGATGCCTTTAATAAAATTTCTCGTACCTTTAGGCATTCCTTTATGCTGTTAGCATTTATTTGGATGCTATTAGGTAGGACTGGTGCATCGGCTGTTAGTGGGGAAAAGTCTTTTCTTGTCCATTCCCTCCCCTTTATCAATTAAATTTGGAGGTTATTATGGAAAATTCCAAAGTAACCGCTTCCTGTTTAAATCATTGGTTGGTTTAGCGATTTGCACCGATGCACCAACGGCCCATCTCGCTCTCGATGATGTGGGAACGTAGCCTCATGACTGATTTTCTGATGTCTAGGGCATAATTTCTAAGGGAGCTTTTTGCCCGTCATTTTGTTGGTATTTTATTCACGAGTTAGAAAATTAAAGTAGGACTACACATAAAAATGTTCTCAAATCTAAGAATGCACGAGCAACTTATAAATGTTCAAAAATACCATAAACAGAAAAAATAACACAAGATATCTTGGCGTGATTAAAATTGTACAAATATACCAAACTCAATGTTACGGATAATATGAATTCTCAGTTAACAATTACAGGAACTTATGAATTATCAGTGAAAAACCAACTAGGTTCTGCACCATCGTTTGGCTAATTCTTGCCTGTTATCTTTGTAGCGTGTAACCTAAATAATTTAATACTTCCCTAACAGCACTTTAAAACTTTTTCTAGGTAATTATATGCCAAGGTGCAAAATATCTGTAGTTGTTTATGATATTTCTGACTTTTGCATTATGCAAGTACTTACTTGGTTTCAAACTCTTTCCCTATAAGATTGACAACAACGTTTGAAAACTGCACGCATTTCTCAATTGAAGGGACATCTTTAAGGTGGAAATTCTACAAATCAAAGAATCTGAATAAGTAAAACCAAACATCAAAATTGTTAAATGATTCAGCATTATCTTATCAAAAGGAAATCATCACACTTTCTTGATACAAAACTGCTCACTAATGAGTTTTTTATAAGAAATTGCCATGGAGCATTATCATTCTGACAAAGCACAGTTTTTTGTCAAAATTTCTTCTTAGCAGGCAGTGTGAAAATGTCTGCTGCAAAGAACCATAGTTCAAGATAAAAATGACATTCATAAGATACTTTAGAGTATCTCCAGAAAATCTAAATTGATAGATGAAGTTTGATGGTAGATTTTTTGGGACAGTTGGGAGTTTGAATTGCATCAAAAAATTCAATAAATATTAACAAATAATAAATCATTGAACTCAATGGGGGAGATGCTTTAAAAATATCTAAACTCTTTTAGATCAATACTTTTTTGAATAACAACCAACTTTTCTGAAGATATTTTTTTGAATTTTAAAGAAACAAGGTTTGAAAAAGTCAGCCGATTTGACAAGAGGCAAAAATTGAAAAACTTAAACTTACATTAAACATAATTTGTCCAATATCACCCATTGGCTTCAAATGTCTAAGATAATCCTCCATGCATCTGTATGGAACAATAAGCTGGGTGCCACATCGTGCTAAAGAAAAGAACATTCATATTTTTATCAAAATATACTCAAGAAAAATAGAGGGTGAGCCAGAAGATCTAAAATAGGGGGTATTTTTTTGCAAATCACACAAAAAACTATGGTCAAGAGAATTATAACGGCAACATACTTGGCACAGTTAAAGTCAAGCCATATGCAAACAAAATATATTGATGCAATAATCTTCGACATATTGGACATATCAGATTCCCCACAAGGAATTATAAAGAGATGACAGTCTAATTGTAACCAGAATCCATTATTTATATATTCATTCCTTTATTAAAAACATAACAAGTCACTTTCCTTTAAAACACCAGTGTATATACATCAGTATACAAATTTATTTAATCACACAGATTCATAAGAAACCCAATGCATACAATTCATACCACAAAAGGTATATATCTTTGAGTGTTACACATAAACTTCAGTTGGTAAAAATCTGTTGAACAATTGCTTGTTTTTTCCAGATACATATCAAATTTTTAGAAAACCTTAAGTTAACATCAAATGTGTTAGCAGAATCCCTGTAAGCAGAATTCTCCAACCAATTCAAATCCCTACAGATATACTCTCTTTTCACATAATGAAATCAGAGCGGCATTTTAAATGACCCCATCAATTTAGTATGAATTGATAGAGAAAGGAGACAGATCAGTTGCAAGAATTAGGAAACTGCCTTCTAATCGCATTGCTTTGGGACATATCATAAAAGTAGCCATATGCCTAAATGCTCCAAGAATAAACTACAGCTAAAATTGACACTTAAGTATAAGCAAACCTAATCTATTGACAGTGTATCTCCCAAGAAACCCAGTTGAGCCAAAAACAGTTGCAACAACGCCATTAAATGATGATCGACCTCCAGGACCTCTCTTCGGATGAAAATCTTGAGAACTTGCATGTCTCTGAAAAAGCATTTTTTCAATGTTTTATTCACAAATTATATGAAAAAGGCATTCAAAACATATGAACTTGTAACCTGACTTTGATTTAATTTAATTGGAAGGTTACCCTCCAATCAAAGAACTTGTTTTTGGGCCTTGCTATCTCATTTACAACAAAATTCAGATTCAAATTTCAGTGACAACTAAATTCATTTGCAAAATGTCACTTTCGTTCATTTTTTTTGCAACACTTATATTTGTGTAACATAATGACTACAGGATCATAAAAACAATGACTTGCAAACATTTTTAACATTGGCATGTTTACAAACTGTTTTAAAATGATGACCAACCAATACCCTTTCATAAAACTCTTTTTGTTACAAGAGTCAGTAATTCGACGGTCAGGCAGTTTGCTCTTACTTTTCCAAAACTTTGAGGTTGAATAACTCTTAACATAATTGGATTAAGCTCCTCTCGATTGGGAAAAACTCCTCGTTTATTAGAGATTTAAGGGGGTTTCCCAACTGGGTTAAAATTATACTTTTAGTAAAATACATCAGCTTCAGCTTGTTCTCAATCTGTTTTTAACTTTTGACCAATTTTGAGGCTTGTGCTCTTATAAAATTTTTCTTACAAAAAAGAGAGTGTATTGAAAACAATTAAAAGTTTGATTTTTCAAATCTTTTTTAAAATGACTGTTGTGGTTTCCTGTGCTTCCTAAGCAGGTGAATATTTTATAAAACTAATTCTAAAACCTCTGGAAAAAACTTATGAAGTGTGAAATATGTTTATGATAACACTAATTCACCCTAAGAAAGAATTTTGAAATTTGAATGTGTTCATATCAAACTGTATGAGTCCCAGCGTGCAAAGTATTTTTTGTTCACAGGGAATTATTTTTTGCTGCTTACCCTTGTCCAGGAACAAATCATGTTGCAAGATAGCAGGTTAAAAGCTATAGGAATTTTTAAATAGCATTTGTAAGCCTCAAGGTGAGGTTGTGTGAGTGAATCAATCTATATTTGCAAAAATTCCCGATGGGACTTGAGGAAAAAATTAGTTTTGCACATACCCAAATTTTGCAGTTTAGTATGAGTCATATTATAAATTTGATAAATGAAAGGTTCTTAAGAGCTTAATTGTGAAAATGAACATTGTTCACAAAATGCACCATTCATTTCACAAACAAATTACAAAGGTATAAGATACACATTTCTACTAAAATGTTCCTAGCCATGGAGATATCAATTTGTTGCCAAGAATTAACATACCTTTTGCACAGCTGTCTCTGATATAATTGGCACATAGACATCAAAACCTTAAAATTACAAAATAATTATGCTTGAAATGTTTGAGCCATTGTGTAACATACTAGCTAAAATCTTAAACCTGTAAACTTGATGTACCAATAGAGTGACCTAAGTTGAAAAACTGCACAGAAGTGGATTTTAATGGACAAATTTATTGACCAGAAAAATGAGAGTAGGGGAGTCACACATGAATAAAATTTATCAGGTATTATAAATTGGAAATAAATCTTGTTTTACAAAAAATGCAAATACCAATCAAAAAGGTTATGTTATTACGGTAGGCTATATTCTCATGAAAGTAGAATGAGTACCATAATTTCATAGCCGTGAGAAAAGACTAGGATAAAGAAATGCGGATAATATTTTGGTTCTGCTTTTAATTAACGATAACTTCTTAAAGTGCAGCAACTTGAAAAGTAAGGAGATTTGAGAGTATGGATCATTGACCTTGCATGTAATGGAAATAAAACCATAGCTTAAAAGTTTCCTTTAAAGAAGAACAAATAATGTTTACTTACGCACTAAACTGCGTGCTCTTGCAGCCAACATTGTGACGATTTCTAATCACATCGAAGAACAGTACACCTTCTCTAGGTGGGCTTTGATGTTGAAGGCCTAGCAGAAACCTCGATTCAATTCTTTCTTGAATACGAGACCCCAATAATGGCGCCGAAGCAAGATGGCATTTACAATTAAGTCTGAAGTGCCTCTCACACCTTAGTCAATCACTCAACTAACGACAGGGCAAAAGTGGGTAGGGAAGGGGGAGAAATAACAAAAGACGAGCTGTGCTTACAAGGAAATAACAAGGATATAATTTGATACGGACAACGGATAATTCTGTTTGCAATCTTCACACTAAGTTTGGTTTATTCCATGGTTTATACTCGGATTATTCTGTTTGCAATCTTCACACTAAGTTTGGTTTATTCTATGGTTTATACTCGGATAATTCTGTTTGCAATCTTCACACTAAGTTTGGTTTATTCTATGGTTTATACTCGGATAATTCTGTTTGCAATCTTCACACTAAGTTTGGTTTATTCTATGGTTTATACTCGGATAATTCTGTTTGCAATCTTCACACTAAGTTTGGTTTATTCTATGGTTTATACTCATGTCTAACATCTTTGAATAGATTAATGATGCAATTTTGTTTTGTGATAACTGATCTCTAAACTTGAATAGTAAAACAGCTATGTCGCACATCATTTTTTCTGTAAAGTGTAAATTTTTCACAAAATGCTTCAGTGCTAACTGATATGCCAATAGCTTCGTTGTTGTCCGAAGGAGTGCTTTCTTGCTCGGGGGATGTTCTTTTTCACTCACAGTACCTATTAAAAAGTTTAGCTTTAGGTTTTCAAGGTATTTTAAATACGTTGTCAAGTACAGAGAAATTACCATCTATCCATTGGCAAATGAGCCAAAACTTGGAGACAGATAGAAAAATACCTCCAACAAAAAATAAATAAAATTGTAAACGGAAATGGTAATTGAATTATTTTGTCTTGAATAACCCATCTCGCTAAAACAGCCATGCAAAAGTCGCTTATTCTGATATTTTAAGGTGTTGAAGTTCAAAAAATGTGCATAAGTGGAACTCTTAACGGGACCTCTCTGAAAAAGAACTTAACGTTTTCCCTTCAACTCTTAAAATATTCATCTCTCTTGAAAAGCACATTCTCCTTTGCGGAAGTTTACTGTATGGCAATTTCTGCATGAAAACAGAAATGATAGCAGTCACGATTTTAAAAAAGAAGCTAGGGCACTGTATGCCTGTTTCTTTGTGAGAAGGCTTTTCAGCTGAAGATAGTCAATACAAGTAAACACACATTTTTAACCGCATCTAATCATGCCAACTAAACCTGCAATCCAAACCATCTATTCAAATTACTTTAGAATAATACATGTTAACTTTAAGTAAGCCGATTGGCTTTTAATCTGGTCCATTAGCTATTCGTTGTCTTTCTAATTTATACCACGTTCAACGTGTTAGCTTTCTTCAAAGTACGGCCATTTTTTACAATAATTTTCTTCTTTTGTTTTTTTGTCTTGCTCTGCTTTTAAAGTATTCAAGCTTGTTCTTCGTCACTTTCGTCTTCCTCGTCAGCTGTTTCCAGCCACTGTAACCAGTTGTTGACCTGGGACAAAAATATGTTCTTAAAAAATGACCTGAAATGTGTTCTTGAGAAAGACAAAATCACTGCCTTGAAGAATGAAAAACACAATCAGTGGTCATGTAAACCTTCGACGGGATGAATCTCAATGAAGTATCTGTTGATTAGAAAGCATGGTTGGTTGAAATGCAAGGAAAGATTGATAATATTTTCTAGCAACTTGTCAATAATCCTGGTACTTTGTCAATAACACACATAACCTATTCTACCAGCAAAATTTAACTGCTATTGATGAAAGAGGCACATTGTAATAGTCAATAGAACAGAAGGGTGTGAAGAGCACTGCCAAGATCACGAGAAGAGGTATTCTTTGAAAGTAACAGGGTGAGGTATTCAGGAAAAAAGACTTGAAAACTTACCTGGAACAAGGCCTTTCCCTTGCCAGGGTATTCATCGTTTATGTCTTCTCTCCATCTCAAAAAGGCATCTTCTTCAATCATCTCCAAATCATAAAAAGCCATAAAAAGCCGCAAAAGCATTCCTGAAATAAACAACAGCCAATCAACAACACTCACAGGCATAAAACTAGTACAAATTTATATTGCAGCCCTTCTTTACGGTTAAATACGATTCCTGCAAAAAGTATTTGAAACTCTATGTAGCTGAACTATTGTTAAAAAATTGACAGTACCTGGTAAAAGAAAAAGGCAAGACCCTCTTCCATTAAAATAATTTTACTTGAAGAGCTTACTAATTTAACTGTATGAAGATCTGACATCTAAATTAAACAAAATTGTTTAGAGACAGGGCTTCCATAGCACGTCGCAAGATGTAGTACAGTGCAGGAAGACTACAAGAAGTAACTGAAGGCATGTATGACCTTTAAACGACACTTCATGTCCCTGAGGTATCTTATGTTTTAGCTTCTTGGATAAACTTGAGTCTGACAAATCATCAAGAATTACCAGTGTATCATCGACAGAGAAATGTATTCATACTTCTAGCATTTCAAACGCAGATTTATTTCCTTCATAGAATAAATGTGGCATTGGAAGAAATAGCTTATAATTCAACACTTTAGAAAATATTTGACAGGCAAAGATATAGCCAGATACCTTTAGGAAAGTTGTTGAGGAAGCAGAACTGTTGCAAGCCGTACACAGCTTCAATCTGAAAAACCAAAACAAATATGAAACAAACTCCATTCCCAACGAGGATCTCTAAAAAGTTTATAATCTATTTTCATACAATAGGGCTTAAAAACAAATGCCCCAAGACTATAATGTAAATCTTTACCACGCCTTTTCAAATATTTTGAAGAAATTTCCTTACAATCAGTGCTTTTTAATTGAAATGATAATTTTTGTAGCGACTGAAATGCCAAGAATTGTATCCAATTAACGAACCATATTCGGTTACAGGGTTACTTAGTCTCACCTGCAGCTTGCTGTGTTCATCAAGGAATGATTTGATAAGCGGCGAAAATTTTTTGATGGATTCTTTCTCTTTTTCCTGCAAATCTTTCTCGGGTATATGATTGGTGTCAACACCAGCAGTCAAGGTACAGTCCGCCAATACATGCTTCAGTATACTTAAAAGGTAGGGCAACGTTAATAAAAGAAGTGGACAATCTAGATGAATGATAAATTCTTATTGTTTTCAAAATACGTATTTACTCTCGGTAACGAACAATTGGAAGCAACTGCAAGGTAAACGCATTTATGCTACATTAGGCTCATATCCAGTATCAGACCGTCCTTTTTTCATAATACTTTGGTGAACTTTTTAAACTTCCAACGCAGATACGAGCACGAACAAAGAAATAATTTGATAATCGTTTAATGCTGCTGCGAAAGAAAAACGAAATGCAAATCACCATGAAAAATGGCAAGAAATAACTGGAACGAAAGTTCTCTACCGAGCTACCATTTTTGGGATTCTTTAGGATTGAGTCACAAATGTCCTATTATAACGTCTTATAGCTTTGATTACATGTGAAAAACGATAAAAAGGAGTTATTATCAATTATATATTATCTGTTTTACAAATTACTCACCATAGTAAAAGCGACTGAATGAACATTTTTTTATCTGCCATGGCGTTTTCCATATTTTCCTAAAAAATAGAAGTTACAAATAAGCACAGTCTTAAAAAATATTCTTGAAAATCAATCTATACGTGTCTAAAGTAGCAAAATATTTGTACAAGTAGTTATGTGAAATACTAAGCTGGATTTAAAGGGGCAGTTTACTAAGCCCTCTCCAAGCTTTCAGTTCATCCAAATATCGATTATCGCAGTTTCTCGAGTGTTTTTAAAAAAAATCGTTGATCAAATTGAGTCAGTAATTAGCAAAGCATTTGGCATCGATTTAGACACAGTTTTAAGTATGCTACATACTACATAATACTTTTTATTCTATACAACATTCTATGTAGCAAAGAAGGATTTTTAATCGAAATATTACCTTAATCCATGACTGTATTTCACCAACATCACTCTGCGTGTTCAAAACTTCGGACAACTGTGCTTGGATACACAGAACGGGAAACAGAAATCCCACATTCTAAAGTGAATACATGGAAATATATATAAAAATTACTCGATTTCATAAGTTTTTCATAAAATGCTCCATATCGTATAAGCAGAGCTTACATAACGATACATATAGATTTAATTCGTAATAAAAAAACCGCAAGTGCAACAGGAATGCGGAAGCAAGCCTTTATTTTGCCTTTGTACATTCTCAAGAAATGGTTCAACGACAGCTTTCCTAATTCAAAAGTCTTGTAAAACAAAAAAAAGCTCTGAAAACAAATCGCTAGAAAGAAATAGGCCCGGATAATTTCGGTGAGCACCTGGATGAATTATACAATAGGCTATTGTTACATGCTCCAATCAGTGCTTGTTTTATTCAAGGTTGGTGAAAAACATAGCTGAACAGAGAAACGATAGGGAGCAAGAAAATAAATGCCATGGCAAAGAGCTAAACGGAACATTGCGCCTTTAAACAGCTGCCTCTAAGGTTCCTAACAAAAATATCAGTCACAACAAAATCAAGCTTTGGCATATTTCACCTCCTTTATATAAAACACATAGGTATTTCTCGTATCAAGGCAGCAACTAATTCCCAAATTCAAATCGGAAAACTTGACAGCGTTTTTGTGCTTTCTAAATGTCAATGAGAATACAATGAACTCACCGATTCTCTTGCAAATTTCAGCAAATCACTTTCTGTTTGCATATCAACTACAAAGAAGGAGAACTAAAGATAAGACAAGAACACGTAAGGGCAAGGTCGATTGAACAGGAGACAGAAACAATCGACGTTTTGATAGGATTCGAATTCCCTGAAAGTCAACTTGAGTAAACAAACAGGTTGAAGACAAAACCAAAACTTTAGCCACACTCGGAGACTCAAAAAAACAAAGTGCATTAACAAAACATAAACCTAATGATCAGAAAACTTTCGAAATCCTAAAACCAAATAATTCTGCAAAACACATTGAGTTTTTAAAGAAAAAAACATGAATACACAAACCAGGTAGTGTGCTCATAACATCGATTTTATATTCTTCAACTTTTTCACTGAGCCATTTCTTGAAAAGACAAAAATGCAACACAATTATATATATTTATAGTTTCACCTAATTTGTACCCCAATATCTAGGTACAGAGAGCCTTTAATAGCTGGTGCGGAATAAACATTCTATATATAAGTTGTTTCACACGATTTTATTTGAAAGTAAACCAAATTTTAGAAACTACAGTCGAGTATAGCTCGATCATGAAGGTTGGGGGATGCTAGAGGGGAAATCCACTATACTCATCCCTTTAAATGTCCATTCTAAGTTGGTTAGGAAGGGAGAAGCTCCATGCTTTGACTTGATCCTGGAACCAGGAACCAGTAAATATGTTAACAACCATTGCACCAGCAGACAAATATATCTAAATATATTTATATAAATTCAAACCAGCCATCTAAGAAAATATCTGTTTCTTTGCAAAATGTTGTTTTACCTCTCCTTTGTCGGCAGCCAACTTATGAAGGGCCTTGAAAAATCCGGGAAACAGCTCGCCATTGATAAAGAAATCACGTAATTCGACTAACGACAGCACTTCCTGGAAGATGAATTAATTTTTTCACACGCTGAACTACAGAAATGGCGTTTCAAAAGTTTAGAGGGATAGGGGACAGTGGTTTTTAACTTTACAGATCGTAGAAATTATATATAACTAGTAACAAAAGCCAAAATCCAAAGATTTTGATAGATGTAAGGAGCTGATTAAGAAACCAAACATAAGGTTAAAATTTTTTCACCAACCTTGCTCATCATTAGTACTTTCAAATTACAAAAACATGAGAAACATTTCACCGATATGTCATGACATGTCATCAACATATTGAATACATCAAATGTGTCGTTTTAAATAATATCAGCAATGATTGGCATTAACTAGAAATGTATCTGAATCACACGTGGTCTCTAAGGAAATGTAAGACAACAAGGATGAGTTCTAGCTCTTTTGCTACTTACCTCTTCAACGATTAATGTTCCGATTGTCGAAAAATAGTCCACTCCATTTTCCACTCTATTGGTCTTAACAAAATCAGCAGTTGCAATCAAGGCCTTTAAAGGGACAAAAATTTATCAATTCATTTTAGCAAGAAATCAGGTTCAATTATGAGACCTTAGAAATGAAAGATATCCCTATGTTATGGTTTTTCGGATCTTTGAAACATAAAATCTGCAAACAGGCATCAAATTGACAAACTACAGGCCAGTATTTCAAGACTAAGGTTCTCATAAGAATAAACATATTCTCTAAATGTAATATGTGAACATACATTTTGGAGTACATCCGTTGAAATGACGTCATTCTTCTGCAACTCTACCAAGAGCTTACCAATGAAATTCCAGTATTCGGTATCTCTCGCTAAGGATTCCTTCATAACTTTGTTTGCCAGCATTTTGCTGTACCTAAATAAAAGAAAACCGATAAAAATAAGTCTGATTGAAATGTGAATAATAGAAATAAATCCAGAAAACTAAGAAAGACTGGGTAATAGAGGTTGTAACTTTACAAAAGACTGACTGAAATAGAGCGTTGGCTTCATAGAATAAAATATTTATATAGGTTAAAGGCAAATTCTTGGAATGGCTGGCCATTGAATATAATATGAATTAAAGGTTTTGCTTTTTTGAGTAAGTAGATCGGTCGTTCAAGTAAAACTGGTCATTTTGAGAAAGTAAAAAGTTTCAAAATAGCAAATCTGGTCGTTTTAGAATGTAAATTTATGTAAATTTTTAATTATATTGATGAAATATTGAATTTTTCGTTAAGTTATATGGCAGACAGTGAATAACGGTAGTAGTTCGAATTTTTTAATAAAGGACTTCTAACCCTAAGAGCAAACGTTAAACTTGCTTTGACCTGGTGTTGTTCAAGACAAGCAGTCGTTTGTATATAGATGACCATTCAGCAGGATTGAACTGACATATTCCAAATGAGATCCAATCCAATATAAAGCAGACAATTAAAAAAACAGTTATCGTTACTTACGATTGGGCATTTGTGATAAGCTTCAACGCCTGAACGGCATTATCGACATTTCCATTTGTTCCGTTTTGCTTCAGGGTGAGCTCTACTCTTCTTTCATATTCCGGTTTCGAAAGTAAGTTCTTCTTCGTCTTTGATTTTTCCTGTTTGTCCTTGATAACGAGGTTCACTGCATTGGTTGATGTTTTCGATGGCGATTTATCCAGTTTTGTCTCCTCCTCCTTCTTAGGGGTCGCAAGTGAAGTAGTTGGACGCAAACTTATCTGGGTTGAAAACAAAATAGGCTTAGTAGAATCCCGTCACATGGGATGAAAGAGTAAACAATAGTTAATGTTAAGAATGTCAGAACAAGCGGTACGAGCCCATAATGTTAACGTAAGTATAAATATGACAAAAAGGCAAAAAATACTACATTAAATGCAAACAGAGTGAAAATTTAAGCAATCTAGTACCTTTTTAGATACTGTTATCTCGATAACCAAATGTTGGAACTACAATATCGATACGACTGTGCATAAAACTTGAATAAAAGCTTTATGTCATTCGAGTAAGCACTCGTTTACAAACAGGTCATGTTATAGATCTAGCCGTGCTTAATTACGCGAATGTTTTTAGTTACTTATTCTAAGCTCGTTTACCTTGCAATACGAAATAAAATTCAACATAATTCAACAAATCCAACATACTAAACAAATTATTAAACTTGTTAAGCATTTTTCTTTCGAGGCATAAAGCTAGACATGGCTAAAAGAAGATAGCAATCAAAAGCTAATTTAGGCCCGTGGATAACTGATAAAACACACTTCATTGTGCTCTGCGGTGCTACGTTTGACGTAAGTATTAGCACATCAATAGCTAGAGGGGGCACCTGGTTGGTAATGAAATAGTGCCGAAAGAGAACAAGCGCTCTTTTGGCTGAGGAGACAAACACCTTCCTAAGAAAATACCGCTTGCTTACATTTCCAGCCTTCTGCATAGTACTTCTTGTGAATGGGAACGTTTTGTTATCCGATTGTCCATTGACCACTTTGTTTGCTTGGTTCTGCTGTGAAACCTGGTTAAAGTTGCCGTCAACAAAACCTGTGCTTGACGTCACTGGCGTGGCGGATGAGGTTTTTGGAAAAGGATCAATACTCCAAGGTGAGCTTTTGGGAGCAGTTGGTTGCAAGATGTCGTTGAAGCCATCGTTGTCAAAGAAATCGTACTTTTTCGGAGGTGTTTGCTGCATCTGTGGTAGGTTTGTAGGAAGGGAAGCCGTTGCGTAGGATTTAATTTGCTTCGGAGCAAGATGCTGCGCAGCCAAGGTGGCGGGGGTACTAAGTGCTGATGATGTTGGCTTGTTTTTCAAATAGCTGGGAATAATAATAATAATAAATAAATGTTAACTCAGGGCCTTTTACACGATTATGTATTCAAATAAAGACCAATATTACGAAACTGAATCTTGAAGACAATCTGAGATCTTACTAGCAATATTCACTAACCGAATAAACTAAGTTAATGAAGCTTTTAAACTGTAAAGATCATAAATTCTTTATCAAGCAGATAAAATAGTTCTTAATCAAACATGCTGGATACAGAATGAATCGGCTATACGTACTGAGGCTCAAACAAATCCTCCCTCTTTTCTTTGATTTTCTTCATCACTTGCTGGTTCTTTGGTACGGGATCTTTGCCAAAAATATCCTTCTGTGCGTCTTGAACCAGCGTCAAGTCAGCCATTCTAGGACCAAGACCACCAGGTGGGAACATGCCTGGAGGCATCATTGGAGCCATCGGGTGTCCTGGCTGGCCAAACAAGGCTTGAGGCGGTGGCATACCAAAAGGCATCGGTGGGGGAAAGGGAAGGTGCATGAAATTATGTGGAGGTTGACCAGGTGATGTGGCATATGCTTCCCATCTTAGTTTGGATACTGGCACAGGTCCAGCTTCAGAGGTTTTCACTCTCCTTGATATCCAGGCATGGTTGCGAAGGTCCAAGGTATCTTGTAGCATAAACCGGATCCGGGACGGCAGTTCAGGGGAATCTGCCAACATCTTCATCCGATCAAAATATTGATTCATGATGTTCTGTGGATTTTTAGAAGAATCATAAAAATAAATTTCAAAACATGAAAAAGATTTAAAATACCAGGCCTAGCCTAGTTATACAGAAAAAAATGAAAAATTTCTGCTAAAAAAACCCTTGAATTTTGAAAATTTTTTCCAACTTGGATTTTTGATTGGTAGAAGATAAAGGATCACTAATTGACCAACACCAGGATTGAATCTAAAACACCATTTCTTTTCTTACGTTTATCTCAAAATGTTTAAACTGCATTTTGAAAAAAAAACACTATGCAATGACCTCAAAAATAAAACTACTCTAGCTTGTATTATTTAGGAAGATAACAAAGCTATGCTCTTGTACCAAACTGTTACATTCCAACTTCATTAGGTACATAAAAATCGATTAATATAATGGACTTGACACTACTCGATTAAAACCTACAGGCGAGTCAACCTTCCATGGTTCACAAAAGGCCAGCATAAAACCACATATTCGAGAGTGCAAGTGAACATTTATATCGCAAAACAACATACTTCAGCTTTAGGCACATCAAGCCTTTTGCCAACGGTTGTCATTATTTGACAAAGGCACTCGATGTCCTCTGACATGTCCACAAAGTTAGCTTTCTTTTTCTTGGCCAACAGTTGTTGTATGCATTTGTGAAGGATCGCCTCATGAAGCATTCCCAGCTTTCCAAGCTCGCCTAGAGAACATAGACAATTTTCTATCAGTCAGATGAACCATGGAGATAAATTTGCAATCCTGGAGGCGTTTCAAGGAGGTGTGCTTGGATTACTGGATGACGAGAAGCCTAAACTGCTCAGGAGGCCACATAAAATAAAACTTTTCATATCCTAACAAGGTATGTTTCTTTTCCTTTACACATTGAGAGTTCAGGAGCTAAGTTGATGGCCCAAGGAGAGATCGTCCTTTCTCTGTATTTTCATTTTTCAAATGTACCAAGATTTTACAACAAGTTGCATCATGAAATTTCAACAAATAGGTCAAATCAAATCAAATCAAAATCAATGTATCTTTTACTACAGATTTGAAAACAAGGTTCATGGTTTGGAAACCATTTTAGGAAAATACCATGTCAGTGTATAACAGAATGTTGGCCTGCATCAAACATGCAAACAGACTCACCAATAAACTTGATGTTTCCAAGCATCTTCCTCTTTGACAATGCCTTTTCTTCCTGCTGCTCAGTCGTGAGCAGCCCTTCTTGCTTGTCAAAGACTGCAAAATACAATTTATCTATTTACATGTTTAATACAAAAAGGAGTCTGATTCCTTTGATACAAGCAATTTTAATTCACTTACTCTAGAGAATCCTATCCAATTTATAATGACACATCTTTATTAACTTTAAAATGAAAATTATGTTTTATTACCAAAGCTTTCGAAACAAACCTGCTGAGGCATCTGCTCTTGATTCAAACTCCTCTTGGCATTTTGAAAGCAACAAACGTCTAAAACTCTGCAATTAAAGAGAACAGCATATCAAAGTGGAAACTTGAACTTTTTCTTAGAAAGTTCTGCAATTAGATACATATTGTGAATAAAATGCAAACAGAAAACAATTTTGAACAGAATGAAGAAAAAAGAGACTATCATAGAAATAATTACCTAGAAAACAAAATGAAGAATATATACTAGTAATAAGGGAGATTTTTGGCTAACAGGTAAGACACAAGGGAAAAAACTGTTTTGGGAGGAAGAAGCTCACATCAAGTTGTAAAGCAAATATATAATCAAAATTTATAACAAATTAGACAGTAGAGTCAAATTAGTGACAAATAATGAAGATAATGAAGTGCAAGTCATGAATTCTTACTGTAGTGTTTGAAGAAGAAGAATCATCAAAATTTGGTGCATCATGGCTGAGCCGTAAACAGAGCTGTGCATAAAGGCTGCTGTACTTTGGTTCCTCTAACGCTTTCTCAAAAATCTGAAGAAAAAGGAGAAAGGTCCAAATTTTAAACAAAAAAGCTATCAAAAAAATGAAACAATGATTCACAACTTTTGATGTAATATTTTCTACAAAATAAATATCAAAATCTTCACAAATCTTTTCCTTTTATGGATGCCACGCAATATTATAATGACTTATAATATATACATATAGAACAAATAATATTGATTTTTGACACCTAAACATACAAAATGAACCAAAGGGATTAAGATAGACATTAGAAATAAAACATACATTGAAACTCACCAAAAGAATAATCCCTTTAAGAATTGTTTTGCTGGTTAGACCAAGATTTAATAGCTCAAAAATTAAGCGATCAAATTTTTCTGGTGTTAATTTATTGAGAATACTGAAAAAGAAAAAAGAATATTAAGAATGAGACATTGGTAAAAGCAGATATTAGCCAAAAATTTTATTTCGGGTGGCAAGAACTTAATAGCTTCAAGCTGGCTTAATTATTGCATTTTGATTAAGAATCATGGATATGATGCACAAAAAAGCAAAATTGTGATAAAGGGCTATATTTATTTGTATAAAAATGAAACATATATTCTTCTACTTTTTATGTTACTTGTGTTGTATTAACAACATGAACATATCAGTTTCATTAAAAATTACTATTTTCCAGAAATAATAATTCATGGTTTAAAATTATGCTTTACCTAAACATTGGCTTTGCATGAATAAAATATTAATGAATCCAGGACCATGACAAGCTACAATGCCACGGTGGGGGCATCTAAAACCCATTTTCTGACAAAGCTGATGAGCAGGGCTGGAAATTTTTAGCACAAATTCATTGCAGGAAATTGCTGCTGTTTGCTAGGAAATTTTCACTGTAAAATCTCCATTGTTTGATTTTAATATGAACATTAAATTTATGTTACTCTCTTTCTATGGAACGCTGTTTTCTTGTGAAATACATACAACTGTATAATTTTTGTTCTGCACTACTAACAAAAAATGAAGATTATCTTTCAAAATACAATCATCTGGTATTATCAGTGTCTATTATACCAAATTTCCAGCAATTCAGGCATGATTTCCAGCTACTAATTTAATTCAAGTAAGCTAAAACAAAGTTCATTTTTCGTTTTGCATTAGCCATTCTAGATAAGTAAAAACACTTGAAGACAGCAAATCTGAACATGTGAACACACTTGAAGGTAAACCTGCCCCAAAACTGGGTGGAAGTGTCCATTATTATTCATATTTTCTACTGGCATTTGCATAAATTTTTAATCGCTAGCTTAATTGAATGTAACTGTTTTGAGCTTACATCTTTGCGTCTAACACCAACCCTGATTTAAAACATAAATTTTTACCATTGAAAAATAAAATAGTATTCTTACATGTTGTTTGAACTACTAGCTTTGATGATAAAATTGAGCAAAAAACACGAAACCCACAGCAAAGGGTAGGATACATCAATGCATCAATAGTATCTAGTTTGCTAGTACTGATATGAAACTAAATCAAAGTTATTATAAATTTTAAGATCTACTAACTTTAACCTTGAAAACAAACTATGAGTATTGTTCTTGATCACGTTTTCCTTTATCATCTTATAAAGTATAAACGAGATGATTGCTGTTTGAATAGCTATGATTAAAAATCGAGGACCAACAATTAGTTCTTTGTTAGCATGATAGTTTATTTTTAGGACAAATGTTTGAAGGAATCAAGCAAGTGAAAATATCACTTTTAGTGGCTGGGGACTTTGTCAAAGTTTCGCAGGAAATCTTAGATTTTTTATTTTGCTGCCAGGAGGAAAATTTGTTTTTCAAGCCCTGCTGATGAGCCATTCTTTACTAGTAATTGAGATGAAAACTTTGCCAATTGAGCACTCATTTTTGAAACAAATTATTTTGAAGTAGGATGTCAACCCACCCATGCCCCAAGTAGCCATGGCCTTGAAACAACAAAATAACTATGGCTCAAAGTTTGATACTGTTTATGCCTTGGCCTTCCTGAAACCAATTCTTTAAGAGGGTATTTGAGCTTGTCACAAATTATTACAACACAAATGTCTGCCATTCTGAAATAGAAGATAACAAGAAATAAAGACAAATATAGAAAACAGTCATATAAGGGAATTTAATGAAAAAATCAGATAAACACACCCTCTAACTTTTCTGAAAATAGCTTCGTTTCTGTCTTGTACATCTCGCACAACATTAAGAGGGACCCAACGACCGGTATTGCTGGCTTTTGCTGAAACTGGAGATCTAGATGCAGGCCTATCATCTTTGAAAGCAACATCACTTTTGACATCTCTCTTTTCACTACCAGACTTATAAGCTGAAGATGGTGCAGTACGTAAATAGTTCTGTGTTACTCCATACCGGTGGGGTGCAGCCTCCCTTTTGTTTGAATGAAGTGAGATCCCGCCCCTTTGGTCCAGTGCGGCAGATTTTCAGGACAACAAATATTGAATTTTCTACAAGACAATCAGAAAAATTAATGCTGCTGGGTACACAGGGGAAAAAAAGTAAACAAAGTATATAAAGTTAAACTATGGAGGATTATGACAAAGCCAAAAAAGGGTGGAAAAATGAGGGCCAAAGAAGACGAGGAAAGGACGAGGATGGGGAGAGAAGATAAGGGGCATGATGCTTTAAATATGGAAAAGGCACTAAGATTTTAAGAACTTGAATGTTGGAGCCATCTCAGGTGAAAAGCCAAAACTTGATAAATCTTTCCCCAAAAAAACATTGAAAAAAGGGTAATATGGGTGAGGCTCCTGAAAGTCCTTTGTTTTCCATAATATTTCTTGTGGTTGAATTAACCCCCCCCCCTCCTTTTAGAGTCAAAATGTCTAAAATGATTACTTGTTGCCTTTATCAAAGGATTACAATGGACAAAACATTATTGGAAAGCTTCATCCCATTTGAACCATATACATATATATATATATATATATTTGTTTTTGAATCAGTATATATTTCAATACAAGGACAAAGATACGGGGGGAGGGGGGTGGGTAGGAGGCTTGGCCCCTGACAACTTAAATTGCATAAGTAAAATATCTTTATTTTGTGGAATATGGCTGTTGTTACACTGATTTATAAGGGCTGCCCCCAGACAAAAAGTTGTATCTTGGTCTTTGTTTCAATAGCTTCCAAAATCCTAAGAGATCTTGCCTGATGCATCAGCAAATCAAAAAATAAAAGCTGATAACAATAAAAAATATCATCAAATCATACTATTTGTAAACTTTTAATTGTGAGAAAATTGAAAAAAATCAATTTAAAAAGGGCAATCAAAACGAAGTAACCAAAAATTGGGATTATAAAATCACTTAAAGCTAATATTTGGATATAAAAAATAAACAAAAAAAACTCATTTACTTCATTTATCACACAACTCCTATTGCATGCTTAACATAACTATTAATTTTATTGTCTAAAATTTACATTATTGTTATGAAGAGAGAATAGTCTTTAAAATTAATACTTAATAGCCAAGGCAGAAATTAAAACGTTTAGAAGATTATCTCAGTGGAAGTTTCATAGATTTGGATCAACCGGCAAAATTGGATTTCAAGACAGCAAATTGACAAGATAAATTTTATAAAAATATTTAGAGCTAAACTACAACTTTGCTCTGATACTAGCTTGCTAAGGAAAATTGACATTCTTCGTGGAATACTTTACATTGAGAGACTATCATTTAGAAAATTTATTCTATTTTAGAATTTCAACCGTCAAGAAGGGATATGTTTCGTGGTCGGTCGTTGAAAGTCGCAGTATCCTTGACGCCGAAAACGCCGCGATTTTCCCACGTTCAAACATTCCACTCAAAGCCTGTCATGTACTTGTAGCCGGTGTATATTAGATAAAAAAACATCTTATTTAGTTTTCAGTTAATACTTAGTTTAAAGGTATTACATATGAAAGAGGTCGAGGAATACGGCATAATCCCAGATGCGTACCATTGTGATGGCTTCATTTAGGCCTATTATAATCTTCCCTTTAAATAAATCATTCCAGGGTCGAAAATCGTGCCAATCTAAATCTGATGCAGTGAAAACTTATTATACATAATGTTCTAAAAAATCATAACTATATTAATCTGATAAAACATGTAAATACCCACCAAAAATCACTTGTTATAAGTTGACTATTAAACGGTGCTTATGCTCTTCCCAAGACAGGAACAATAAAATAACGGATGTATTCACCCATGATGCAGTTCACTTGTGATCAAAAAGAGGCTTTCTTCTCACAAGTCATACATTTCAAGGAGCATTAAAAATCCTAGCATCTTAGCAACAACGAAACACACGACCATTTCTTACTACCAGAGATGTTTCTTGGAAATGAAATGGGATGACTTGGAAAATAAAAGACAAGACAAAGTATTCTCTTCTTAAAAATGTTCAGAATAACGTAACCCGGTCATAAAAAGTACTTTTCCTGGGTTATTAGACACACAGTATTTCTAAACTATATGATGTTCTCATGTGCAAAACACTTCTTTTGTCTACAGGCTACATCTATGACTTCCAAGGGGCTTTTTGGGTCTCAATTATCAATTTAAAGTGAAAAAATGTCATTGAGGTCAATGGGAAATTTATTGGTCGTTTTAAACAATTAAGAGATCACGGCATAATTGGAACCTGCACCAGTCACAGGTTGCAGATAATATTTCAATTGAGTAATAATTCCTTGCACGTGAGAAAAAGATATTGAAGATTCATGATAATTATGATATACTGGTGCATCAGTAGACAGGTAGAGTACACGTGATTGATCGTTTTGCATTGAGGGCAGTATTGTGACGTATTGCAAAGTGTGAATGGCAAACTTGGATGCAAACTTTTCCGAACAACCAAATCGTTGAAAGCTTAGAGATGATGTCATCTGAGATTTCACGCATATTTTCTTTATAAAATAAACTCAAGAAAAGTATTCAGTTTCATAATTTTTTGTTCACTTTCGTACTTAAAGTTTCTTATCGGTTTATTCCATACGAAGTATTAAATATATACACGATAGAAATGATGATAATGAGCAAAAACGTATAATTACATTACATAAAGTAAAACAAAACATTTAACCAGTCTCAAGAAACCTTCGTCTTAATAAATCTTTTTTATCTAGTCTACAAAATAACCATTTCGAGAAGTTTCTTAAGGTTGTGGGCGACGGGTAAGATCTTTTTCTTGTCTAAAGGGTCTTTATCGATGGTTGTATTGTAAAAGAAATACATGGGCATTAATACGTTTTTTGCAACTACACGAGCTAGCAATATTAAGGAGCAATCCTATAAAGCTTTAGCTGTAAAGAAACTTCGATCTTCAAAAACTGAAAATTCACCTTACTGGAAAATTGGGTCTTGATGTCCTTAAATCAATAAGTTAGAGGTTTCGAGCTTAAACTTGGAAAAAGTAGATAACCCAAATGTATAACCAACATTTTCGGGATTATACACTCAATGGAGTTCGTTTTGCACAAAGAAAAGAAAAATCAACCTCATCAAAACATTAACTCATAGGGCACTGATGATTTGTTCCGAGTCTAGACTCGACTCGGAACTTTAACAACAATTATAGTTTAATTTTGTTGGTTACTTCCCGAGCAATATGACTTTTTAGAAGTTGTTACTGTGTCCTGCAGGTGTGACCATATGAACAAAGAAAGGTACGACAGGTTTGCAATCAAATCGAGGCCGCGGGTGTTTCACCACAGTTACGTAACAGCTGTTATTGCGTTGCCTTGGAATTTTTTTTTGCATAATCTTTGGTGTCGTAGATTAAGCTTTGCTAAAAATTAGCTTGTATCTGAAAAGGTGTACGGTTAAATTGTATTGCAATACTGAAAAGTTGTGATCATTTTTTTAATTTTTAAAATTCCTTCTCATTTTTATACTATATAGCCCTATAAAATGTTTCCGTTAGACTTTAATTGTGCAATATTTAATTTTTAAAAATCGTAATTAACATTGTTTGAAGAGGAATATATTGGTGAACAATTTGTCAAATCATAGTGTGTACCAAAACTCTTAGCAGGCAGTATGACCTATCAAGCTTCATCAAAGTCGTTAAGATGGTCATCTTCGCGGATAATACTCTAATAAGAAGATTTTTCCACTTGCGCTCAAAATTACTCTCGTTTTTAAGAGGTTATTGCCTTTTGCAATAAAATGATTGTGATCACAGAGAGAATTGACCAATAATGGAGCAGTCTAGCGATCTATGGAAATCAGCGCGTTTCACATACTTTATTTGCTTCGGGCTACTTTGTGATATTTCGACCATCAAATTGCTCACACAGCCGTTTTTACGATCACAGATTTCTTTTTTGTGTTGTAAACGCAGCTGTTTAAATATATTGGCATTTGGAATGAAAAATGGCAAACCAAAAACACCGATACTAAAAGCATGCTCGATTATTGCTGCCAAAAACATGGTTTTCATGTCATTTACGTCATAGAACTCTGAAATGGTGATTTTGTGGTGAGGATACATTTTCATGAATAAAATGACCACAAACATTTTACTCGGTTGAGAAAACCTTAAGAAATCGAAAAAATCGAAAATCAAATTGATATTTCCGGTAGAGTAGAATTATGACGTAATGAAACTAGATGACTCAAAGATATCTTTCGTTCGCCTTTCTGATGCTTTACGCTCTGAAGATAGTTAGACAAATAATTTAAGTGCGTTTTTCAAAACGTTTTCAAATGCATGTTCAAACCTTTTGTAATAATAATATCAGAAGACACATTCATTATTTGGGGAAATTCAGAAATTGATAGTGGGATTGCTTTTAAAAAAATTGTATTATGATATTTGCTTCCAGCTCTCTGAGAATTGGATATTGGCTATAATTATACAGTGGATCATATTCGCAGCAAATACTAACAAAATATTACTGGCATTAACGAGGATAAAAAAGAACAGGAATGAAAATCTTCAGGAGGTCACCAGCACTGACGCCCAGAGTGGGTTGAATGGCACTGGCGCCCAAAGTGGGTTTATAGGTCCTGTCAGGGAAAGAATGCGTAAAGATGAAAGAAAGAGAACTTTACAAAATAATGAATGCTAAAAACAAAGCTTATAACTCTCGAATAAATACAAAAATATGTTTTACTGAACAATATGTTTGTTCAATTACTATGCACTGGTTTGCAAATGCAAAATACAGTAGAACCAAACGCATTAAAATCTCATAATGCAACTTTAAGCAAGGCAATAAACTCATATCTCTGGAACACGAAATATTGAAGTTGAAATTAGTTTCCATTGTCAGAATTATATAAATATCATCGGGGGGTTCAGTGTTGCATTTCATATTGAGCATGAAAGACATGGCCTAAAGCTTGCATAATTAATTCTTGACCGGATTAAAGAAATAGAACTGAACACAAAAAAGCCAATAATTATTGAATGGCACTTCTCATTTTATTGTAGAGTAAGTCTACTGTAGAAAATTCAAATTGCGAGAAGGGACGTCAGATAAAAATCGGTGAGGTCTCCTTTACAATTTAATGGTTTCACCTGAATATTCAAAGCGAGACCAACCCAAGATGGGGGCATATTCGAGAGGTTTATGAATCTTTACAGCTGAGAAGGTGAGTACTGCAATAGAACACTAATTCTGGGTAAGTCTAGTCAACGTTTTCGTTAGTTTGTGTTTAAAACGTGTGTAGTGAAGCTAACGGTTAAAAATAACACAGGGAGTTAAATAGCAAATTCATCTTTTCGTCTTTTCGATTTGGGTTCCGAAGTGTCTTCTTGAAAATTGGGTAAATAGTTCCTTTTTGTTTGGCGAAAGAATTCTGCGAGTGACTTCCCAAGTTTAGCGACTTCTGCTTCCGGCTACAACGAAAATAGACCGCATGAAAGCGTTAAAACAAAGACGAGACTCTCTGAAACTACTGTAACGTATCTAGAAAGAACCGAACATTTTTACATAAAAGCAAGCTTGCTTCATAGCCTTAGCAAGTTAGCAACTCGGGAAATAATACAAGGACAGCCATTCGGGATAAACAAAAAAATCCAAGGGAAGTGACCAATGTCCTAAAGTTGATCAGTGTCCTTTTGGTAAAGCTATTTCAAGTTAAACTTTTCGAACTGAATAGCCTCTTAATTGTGTAACGATTATTCAAACTTTCTTCTATTAATTTAATCCCTGGGTGGTTTGTTGAGCATATATATAAATGCGTATCAATAACTTTGCTATGCATGAGAATAGAGAATTGGGCTGATTGCAACTCTGTGTTACTAAGCAGGGATCTGGGACCTTCAGGGTTGAAACTTGCAATGTTCGTGTCTTGAGGATAGTTTGATGGCAAAGCTATTTATCAAACTGAAGACATGACACGGTTCAATTGCTCCTCGAAGCATCTCCTGTGCCAGTAACTAGGCCACGCAATGTCAAGAAAGGATATTTGAAGTGTTTGATACATATTATGGTGCAAACTCAAACTCAAATTAGTCTATCCAAGATCACAAATGTTTAGGAAAGAAAATTCTAGCGAACCAATCTGATATATTGTATTATGTAAACAAAAATACTGGACTAACGTACCGGATTAAAAAGAGAACAGTTAGCGAACACGAGACTGACGTCATCAAGGAATTCTTGGATGGTTTTGTAACGGTTAGGATTGCTCTGTAAGAGTTTAGCTTTGATCGTTGTAAGGTCCATTGGGTGAGTGATGATTTTGTAGTAATTCGGCACCTGCGAAAGAAGAACGAATCACCAAAAATGTTCCATGATTGGAAACTCTTCAAGACTTACAACGCCGGCCAAAAAAATTGTTTCTATATAAAGCTTCCTTTTTCGTGCATAAAATATCAACTTCCGCCTCTCCCAGAAAAATGTGGATATTTTCAGCAGGGTTGCCACATTGGCCTTTTTCAGACCAAATTGTCCAACTTTGGCCTTTTTCAGAGTGTATTTGTTTTTGGTCTATTGCTAACATACGGCCTTATTCGGCAGAAAGTCTGAGGACATTCCTTTGCTTTATATCAACTTTAGCACCATGGGTATCAAGCAAATTTTAAATTTAAAGGGCAAAATAATACGGTGTAAACCCAAATTTCAAATATCTGGCCTTCTTTTTGCAACCCTGATTTTCAGCAAATATCTTCCAAGACATATGGAAACGCACAGTCGAATGGCGCAATCACGAAATCTGTAGGGACAAAGAGGGTTAGTTATAACGGGAGTATGATTAAGGGCCAGACTGTTAGCTCGTAATAGCCAGAAGCTCGCAATAAGCGGGGCTAGTAGCGGAAATCGCTTTTCATCCTTACTTTCTACGTCTTCTTCTAGTTAACAAACATTGTTTCAAGGGGAAGGGTGAAAGATGACTGAATTTGACCTTGAAAATTGTCATTAGCCTTCGGAGACATTTGGCGGTGACTGTCTTTAAAACTAGAAATGCAGCTGCTGTAAAATAAATACTTCTCTGATCTGGGTTGTCATTCTAAGGGTAAAATCGAACCACATTCCTGGATCTCGCTCATTAGAGCACACTTGTCAAAAAAATGACTGGCATAAGAGACATTCCTATGCGAAGGTCATCCTGTCTACAACTTCCTTTTTCTATACTTTTATTTCTTTAAGCTTTCTTCAGTAAACATAAGAGAACATGCTGCCCCGGGAGCGTGGTGGCATTGACACATGCATTGGTCTTTAAAGGCTACCTCCACGTTTAGAGCCATAACAAGTGAATTCATTAAGTTACAGAAATGAGCATTCAAAGAATAAACGGAGGAACTGGCATTTTATATTCTGAGAAACCATCATTGTTACAAAGACCAAACCATCTTTGGTGCCGCGAAATTTGAAGATGGCACGAAATAGCGAAAACATAGCATCCTGAAGCACTTTCCGTCCGACACTCTTCTAAGTATAAACGTCGGATGCGCACAATTTCAAATCATTGGGCAAGCAAGGTCGTCTTTTCATTTAGGAGTTTTGTAACCTGTTTACATCAGAACAAATGATTCCGACTTGTGTAGACAAGAAAGTTTCTTTTCTCTCTTGGACTCTTGAATTAGGTGGGAGGTTAGCGGTCGCTGATTGGTGAAAATCAAAAGGACAAATCAAACGAGTCTTTTTTGCTTTCACGTGACTTTCGATCCACACCTAGATATGCGTCAGACGAAGATTATTTCAGTTTGCTGTGTTTCCACTTTTTCGTGCAGTCATCAAATTGTTAGAAAGGTAGCTCTTGGATGTCTGCGATTGATGTAGCAGTCAACAGATCTCGGTCTTGCTTCATTGGTCTTCATTGACAATGAGAAATAGCAAATGATATGTTTGTTATTGCTCTAGATAAAAAACTTCTTTAACACGACAACGATATTACCTTCTACGCTGGTGACCTCTGCAAAATACACGGCTATCATAAACCGGGTAAAAAAGGAGTGGGCCCAATCCGACCCCATGTAAGCACCTAGGACCGGATCCAGAAACATCTAGTGTAGACAGGGACTCACAAACAGAACTTATATGTAAGGGGCCTCGGGGGATCTAGGCCACCCTGGATAGCCAGTTTTTACTTGTTAGTATGGTTCCTTAGATTCTTGCAACATCATACCCCTCCTTGGAATGACTTCAACGTGACCTCTTTCAAACGACCACCTATACAAACAACTAACTTTAATGGTAAGACAATTTAAGCTAGACAAGTTTACAGGCTTTCTAAAGACCAATTTTAAAAACGTTTCATCATTAGTCTAAACACGACCCCTCTTTACACTGAACGGACTACATTTTCCAGTAACCAAACAAAAATAAGTTCCAACTTTATGTGACACTGCCAAAAGTCACAGACTATGCCCTGAAAGCTTATGGGGTAAATACCAACCGAGATCTTTCAACTCAATAAACAATACAAGGCATTGCAAGAATTTCCAGATACATAGCATGCAGATACATAGATATAGGGCATTATATGCAAGAAAGGCTTTAATTATGCGGCACTCAAGGCATGGAGTGATACACGTGCCAAAATTCATGAGCTTTCACCGATAGATCGTTTTGAAGAAGAACAAGAGACATCTGAAGATCCTATCTGTGCTGAAGGGTTTATTTGTGTATAACGAACTATGAAACGAAAAATAGAAAAACATTTTAAGGTCCAATGGTTATTTTAGCCTTTTGATATAGGGAAAATAGCAAATTCCAAGAATCCATGAAGTGACATCACCAGTGGCAATTCGATTGGATTTGATCTGCAACATGGAACTTCTCTGGAAAAGAACTGTATGATTAGCAATGCAATTCAATTTATATAAACAAACCTGCTTGCTTACTCTGTGATGGAAAGGGAGGCTGTCGGGATGACACAGCAGCTCGAGTAGTAGCTTTTCGCATGCCTGAAACGAGGCAGGAACAGTTTCAACAAAAGTGTTCAGTAACTGCATCATAACAGCAACAACGAGGCATGCAAGTCTTGTTCAACGTAACTCGATGGGATGTTATTGCAGTTGGATCACATAATTTAGGTTGGCAAATAGGATAAAATAGTTAGTAGATAGATAGTTACTTACTTACTTAGCTAGTTAGTTAGTTAGTTAGTTAGTTCAGTTAGTTCAGTTAGTTTAGTTAGTTAGTTAGTTAGTTAGTTAGTTTAGTTAGTTAGTTAGTTTGTTAGTTTAGTTAGTTAGTTAGTTAGTTAGTTAGTTTGTTAGTTAGTTTAGTTAATTAGTTAGTTAGTTAGTTAGTTAGTTAGTTAGTTAGTTAGTTAGTTAGTTAGTTAGTTAGTTAGTTAGTTAGTTTAGTTAGTTAGTCAGTCACTTAGGTAATTTGTTAGCAATGTAGTTAGTTCCTTAGTTACTTAGTAAGTAAGTAAGTTAGCTAGTAAGTTAATTAGTTAATTGGTTAATTAATTAGTTAGTTAGTTAGTTAGTTAGTTAGTTTAGTTAGTTTAGTTAGTTAGTTAGTCAGTCAATTAGGTAATTTGTTAGCAATGTAGTTAGTTCCTTAGTTAGTTAGTAAGTAAGTTAGTTAGTTAATTGGTTAGTTAGTTGATAAATTAGCTAGCTAGCTAGTAAGTTAATTAAAAAATTGGTTAATTAATTAGTTAGTTAGTTAATCTGCTTGCTAGTTACTTACCTACTGTTGCGAATTTTCATTCTTAGAATTTTAGTTAATTTGAAACTAATTTTTCTCCGTATAACCACCCTTGAGCAGGCCAACTTTGGAAAAATTTAACTATTAATATTTCTAAGTAACTGTTAATTCTTTCCAAGATTTGAATTGCGTGATGAAGACTTAAATTAAATTATTAATACATTAATTTTCAATTACAGTTCAATAGTTTAAAAATATCTACCTTGAGTTCGTGATCCATCAAACCATTTGAGTTTGAAGACCGGCCTGAAAGGAAATACTATAATTGAAAAATCCGAATAACAAATATTATTAGAAAATAACAGGCTATATGCACAACGCTCTAGAAGAACAATTTCCGATGAAAAATGATTTCCATCAAACTTGGCAACCCACCAGCCTTCTTATTGGCAAGCATAAAATTGCTTTTGGCACGATGACATCGTGTTTCACACCTAACTGGATATTTGGGCTCTGGTGGTATCTGATGAGAAGAAACCCAGAGGTTTCCATTGATTAGCTGTTCAACGAATTGCTGCACAATTTGGCATATCAAATTCACCGATAGATCGGACTGTACAAAACCTCGAAACAAAACATATTGTAAATCTTAAAGAAAGTAATTTCTTTTCTTCTTCCAGACTACAGTGTATGGCTTACATTTTCAATGACTGAGAAAAATTTACTGCAAATTTTAACAAGAAGACTGAACAAAACAAACACATTCTGCGCCAGATTTTAAATGGAAAAATTCATTATCCAGGACCATTGCTAGCTATTGTGCTCAAGAAAGGGTGTCCAGGTTTCATTACCGAAAAAGTGGGTGAGCCACTCTTAATATGTCGACAAGTTTAGGAATTCGCCCCTAGACGAAATCTTTCAAAGAGAGTGTCGCACCTACATGCAACCAAAGCTACGGCCTTGGTCAAATAAGATATGATTACCTGATTCCTTAAACTTTTCCAGTACTTTGTCGACATTTTCACACATTCCGCAGCTCCATGAATCACTAAAAATGTAACAGAAAGCATGGAATACTTTTGTGCTAGATTACTGAAAAAGGAATAAAAGTGGAAAGGAACTACGAAAAAGGAGAATAGAAAGAAAAGAGCATCAAAACATGGGAGAAAATTCTTGGAATGGCGCATGAAATCATAAAATTAGGGGAAAGCGCAAGTGATAGGAAGTAAGTAATTAATTATGGGTTTAAAAGCAAAATAAGAGACAATGAACCAAGGAAATATAAAGGAAGAACCATTGGGGAAAATGATAGAAGTTAGACTGGCAAAGACTGACTTCAAATGACGACGTGACAATCAAGAAACTTACAAGGATTAAATAAGGAAAAGAATCTAGAAGGAAATTCAGATGAATTCAAAGAAACAACTGTAGAGAAGAAGAAAGAAAAAACACGGAAAAAACTAAGAAATTAAAAAGGTGCGCGAATCATGATGAAGAAGATCAAAGAAGAATGCAGGAAGAAATGAAGGGGCGTCAAGGATGTTAGGTAACCGGAAAATGAGACAATAGGAACTGAAGCTCTGAAAAGAACAGGGGATTAAACCGCGAATTACTTTGAAACTGTTTCGTTTCCTATCTTAATTCTCTTTACAGCCTCTTTGTGTCACAAGCACTGTCATTGATGTCAAAGTGACAATCTATTCAAGAAGCGAGGTCTCAGAAACAAAGATTTACTATTATCTTTTCTTATCTAAAAAGATTTAACCACGTAATCAATGCAAATATCAGCAAGTTGCTGTTTGAAGACAGGTTATAAAGCTAGCGAAAACTGCTTCGCGATGTCAATGCAATACATAACCTAATGAAATTCTTGCATTTTCACGTTAATTTCCGTCATGGAGTTGAAAATTTTATAGTAACAGCATTTTCCAAAAGTTTTGTACTTATTATGTAAGAGCACGTGACAACAAATTGTTATGTAACATACGATTTACTTGCATAACTTGGATCATAAGACAGATTAACCCATACTATCTAACAATGGCAAGGTTTCGGCAGCGAATTCTCAAAGGCGTATTATAAATATGTATGAATCTATAAAACATTTCCTTAATTACCACTTTGACGAGCAGCCTCATTCAAACCACGTTCAAAGTCTTAGCTAGTTACTACAAAATTTATTCAATTTATCTCGATTTAAATTATTTTCAAATTATTCAATTTATTCAAATTTATTCAAATTATCCAGAGTTTAAAAGCTCTGGATAGAATCATCTGTCTGTTTTGCACAATTGTCAACTATTGGAATCTCTCTGTTGTGAGGAGATGACCGTTGTTGGCAGGTGTCAGATATTTGACCGTGGCGTTGTCCTTGAATGTTTAGATGGAATAAACTATCATAACATTATCATTAGTTGTTATTTCAGTAGGAGCAAGAAAAAGATAATCGAAGGTTGTAAAAGAAACACAGAAAATTTCGCGAGGCCTCCCACAATAAGATTCCAGAACACTTCAGTTCGTTACTTGGAGGTGTCTAGGTTTTCAAGTAATTAGAACAAACGATGATCTGACAAATTCTTTGGCTTTATCGCAATCTATCGATTTGCTTCATTAAAAAGCCTTACATTTACTCAAATATTGAGTTTTTAAATAGCCTTATCGTCAACTGGGAGGGGTTAAATGAGAGAAATGCCCAGTTCTGCAGCATACGAGGTCGGCAAAAGTCTTTAAGAAACCGGCTGAAACAGGCCAAATTCCCGGACTTGCCATGGCAGATCCGCGAACTATTGCGACACGAAGTGATTCACATCGGATACTGTCAGCCTTTACGTCACACCGGATAGTTTCAAGGAAAACCACGACCGGAATGCACAGCTGCTTGTTGGGACCCTTCCAGAAGACTTTCATTAGATTCCAAAGTTTGGACTCTAGGGTGGCCCGAGTAGGTTAGCAAATAACAAAGCATTGAAAAGTGCAAATGAAGGCTTAGTTTTTGTCGGTTAGAGGTCCTAATTCACAGGCTTGCGGTAAAATTTTAGACCCTGAAGCAGCCACGTAGCTGCAGGGGCCCCCCAAATGAAAATTTTGACAACAGCTTGCCCCCTCTGGCTACAGTTTTTCCAAATGATATTTTGAAAATTTGGCATATTTATAATTCCATGACCTTGATTTTGTCCAAATATATCTGTTTGTTATATATCTGTTTTCTTGTTTTAAAGCCTGCCCCCCCCTGAGATATGGTTCTTGCCCGAGTTTGCCCCCCTAGCCGACACCTACAGCTACGTGGTTGCCCTGAAGATACCTTGAAAATAAATGCTGTGTACAAGCTCCTATTTCAGTTAGTTTTTGGAAGATTAGCATTAAACAGGGTACTTAATATATTTAACAAAATAACTTTTATTCAAGAAAACGACAAAATGTTACCAAACAGTGTGCTTCACTTTTTTCATCAGCTGATTGAAAAGATTTTGCTTCTGTTTGGCTTCTACATACAGAAATGCGATACACGCGGAAGACGATTCTTGGGGCCTGTTTATATGAGCAAATTTATCCCACCTCTCAACCCACAATCTTGATGAAATCATCGATTGTTTACATAAAGATTATATCCCACCTTCAAGCTGTATATGGAGAATATCATCCCACCTTCCAGCCTGTGTGCTGTCAAGTGGGACGAAATTTGATCGCGTTTGTATAAACATTTCATTCATCCAATCTTCCAGGCTCATCCCACCTTCCAGCGTTTATATGGAAGAAATTCATCCAATTACCAAATTTTATGGAAAAGTTAGAGTCCGTTCAGTATTCTGCAGCCCTAGCCGTTACAGGGGCATGGAGGGGAACTTCACGGGAAAGGTGTACGCGGAGCTTGGTTGGGAGTCATTAAGTTCCCGAAGATGGAGTAGACGCCTAACATTGTTTTATAAAATAATAAATAACATGTCCCCTGCATATACAACAGATCCTATCCCGCAACTTCAACAGTCGCAATATGCTCTTCGCAAACAGGATGTCGTTGGGCGAATTAGAGCAAGGACAGAGAGATTTCAATCTAGTTTCTATCCCAGTTGTCTGTCTGATTGGAATGATCTATGTCCAAAGATCAGATTCGCACCAACCAACGCGATTTTTAAGAAAAAGCTATTGTCCATTATCTGCCACCCTGCTAAGTCTGTCTTTGGGATTCATGACCCAATCGGACTATCCTATCTTACTCAACTTAGGCTTGGACTAAGCAAGTTGAATTTTCACAAGTTCAAGTACAATTTTAGAGATACCATCAATCCAATGTGCCCTACAAACGACGGTATTGAGAACAAGGAACACCTTTCTGTTGCTTTGCCCTTCCTTTGAGATTCAACGCCGAAATCTTCTCGCACGAGTTTTTGCATTACTGCGACCACTTGGATATGTTAATATTCCAAACGAGCTCTAAACACATCTTTTATTATATGGTGACAAAGACTTCCCAAATGATCTTAACAAAAATATTCTTGAATTGACTCTAAGATTCATCCATGAAACTGGTCGACTTCATTAGGACCGCATCATAGTTTGTTTTACCCAATGAGGTGTATAGAATACGCTAGAGGGTCAACTCGAGGCAGCCCTGACCACAGGAAGTGAAGCCAGGACAAAACTGATTTGCACGGCAAGAGCGGAGAAGTGCCGTACAAACTCTTGTATGAAGCGTGCAAAATTAAGCAAAGAATTAAGGCGAAAATTCAGTTTTAAGTGATTAAACTGGAAAATCTGAAACACCTACGAACCTAAATTGTTGAATAAAAGGAAAATTGGAAGGTAAAGCATAATTCTGGACATTAACAGTGAAGGTACCGACCGTTGTTTTGGAGGATCTATAGCGTTTTTTTCGCAGTCCCTAAATATGCTAAACAAAACGAGTTTGTTGATCTGAAGGGGAATACCTGGTTTGTTTTTATTTATGACTTCTCTCTTTAATTTTTTTGGCATACCTTCACAAACAAACAGCCGTATATTTAAAGCCGATATTTTTGACGAGGTGTATCAAGTGATCACCTTGCAAGGCATCGGTCATGAAACAAGGAGGAATCTAGCAAGTACCAAAGAAATAAAATTTAAGAAAAAATGTATAAATTTTACAGAAAAGCGACAATATTGAAGTACCTAATGGTAAGGATAGGCCTAATCGTCAACAAACCGGTGAAGTAAAATTGATCCATCCCCACTTATATCCGTAGAAATACTGGCTGGAGTCGTTTATTTCCAACCCTATTATAAGACTGTTTTTTCTTATCAGTCAATTCTTAGACCAAAAAGAAACGCACAAAATAACAATCCTAATAGCGAGATGCAATCGAACGCCATACACTGTGAGTCACTTCTTGCCGTGCAATGCGGAAATTGATAGGCCTCACTGCCTCCCTACAGAGTTATCCCTCTAGCGTATTCTATACACCTCATTGGTTTTACCTCGCATAACCACCATGTACGTCATCGTAAAGCATCTTGTTTGTAAAGTTCCGTCTAGTAGATGTAAATTTAATTCTTTTGTAGTATCCTTATATTCTTCTGTGTATTTTTATGTAATGGGTGGGTCGGGGGAGAGGTGCTGCATGCTTGGGAAGTCGTGGTGGGGCCACACACTCAATAATAATCCCTCAAGTGAGGCCTGGGACACAATTTTTATAGCATTGTTTAAATTCGCATCAAATTATGTGTGTCGGTTGGTGGCTCTCAGGTGCGGCTTTGCGGGCGGGTGGTGCCTCTTCCTGATTCACCTGGTAGTTTTTACACTTTCTATGTTTATTTGCCACGGGGTTGTCATGGTCTATTGCTCCCCGTGGTATCAACGTCCCTGTAGTGTTTTTCAAGTAATTAGTAGGTAGCGTAATAGGTAACTTGTCTTGTAAATTTTTAGCGGAATATAAAAAAAAAATCATCCAACCTCAGTGAGATCCCACCTCCCAGGCAATGGGATCTCACCAAACCGGGCTGGCTTGTTTTCCATATAAACACAAAACGAAAAACACAAAGGATCCTATAAAATAGTGGGATCTCACCTCTCAGCTCACAAACTGGAAGGCGGGATGATTTTCTCCATATAAACAGGCCCTTGGTTTTCTATTGCCATTGGTGAGCCAAGCACTACCAGGCTTTCAGATACAGTAAAGCTTTCAGATGTCAGCAGGCCGGATTTCAAAATGCCAGAAGTTTTCAACTTTGCTGTTTGCTTATGTACTGTCTTCTCATTTTATAGTCATCGAAAAACAACCCCCTAATTAAATATCATATCAGTAAGATTTATAACTAGAAGAGGATTTCTCGTCAACTGTCTACTCCAATGATTTTTCACTTCATAAAAAAGTATACCACTGTGTAGTATTGTCATGGGATGTCATTGACGCAGTTGATTTTTGTCTTTAACTTGGGTTGCAAATCAGTTAATTAGAAGCTGATTGGCTGATACCAAATTAAGCCAAAATATGTTATCCATAAGGTCATTGTGTTAATATCATTGTTGGTGACCAAGCTGATTTGTGACTCGTTTGTTTATCAGGCACACCTATCACATTTAGCCAATGGACGACAAGATTCTTAAAATTGTTAAACTCACCGTACGTGAAGAAATTTAAATGAAAAATTGAAAGAAATTTAACGTGAAACAATATTGCAAGGTTTGGCAAGCCGATGTTGAATATGATAGTTTATCTTACAAAAACTTAGTACATACCTTGGTAGTGTCGTTAGCGATGGCACGTGGCACTGCAGGTGGAATACTCGCGGACACGTGTCGCAGCACAGGAGTTCTCCTCCGTTTCGACACACTGCGCAGTAGTCGTCGTTACCCATCCCTTCGTCGAATCCGCTCTCGCCACTTTGTGCATCTTCGTGGTTGCCCTGTTAAAAAACCAAAGTTTTGGCTCAGGCACTCATTCGGTGCGTTGTGTTTGTAAATGTGGGACATCGACAGAGCATCCACCATTTGCTAAGAATATAGTCCTTAGCAGTGGCGGACACCTGGAAGGGGGGGATGGCGGTCGCCCCAAATATTTTGGAGAACAATAGTCTTTTATTGTAAAACAATGAGAAAATGTGACATCATCTTATCAATACAAAAGGCTTGCCCCTCAATATTTGACAAAGTTTCCGCCCCTCATCCTTAGCCCCCCTATAAAACTTACAACTTTTACTGTGTCCCTGCACTTAACGCGAGATGAACCCAAAATATTTGTAACGATAAATGTGCTTAACTATGTTTACCTTTGAATGTTGTGCTCTACAATAAGTCAATGATGTCTCCATAGCAACTTTTATTAACAATAAAAAGCTTTCGCATTGGAAAAAACAGATCTTACTTTGAGTATAAAGGTTCATTAGCTACTGCAAACACGACTGGGACTTAACATACATCCCGAAAAATATTTGACAATAAACAGGGATGGATCTGATCTGTATTCTGATGGAGGTGTTCGCCAAATGCAGAACGAATTATGCAAACGTATTGCGGCGTAATATTTCCCGAGGAATATCCCCATAGCCTCCTTGTGGCCTATTGTAGCCATACTTTGGCTGTTACACTGACAAACAAAGCAGCGATTTAAGTTTACAATGTTTTAGATTCAGTTGGCTTAAACAGGTCTACATGAATGAAACGCGCATGGACTTGCCCTCTGCTAGTCAGAACACGATAATATTTGGAAACACATAGGATAAAAACACCATTTGTAGAATCTGTTTGGACAAGGCAAAGCATGTTCATAGACGAAAGCTACCAGAAGAGGTCTTCAGTGTCGTATTGCCTTCTTTCTATGAATGTTTGGCAAAGTATTATTTTACAATTAGCAATAAAGAAACTGGATTCACAAACATTGCATAGTATTTCAATTATTGGTTAACAAATGAATTTGAATAACTCTCGCCCTTTTCCATCTCCATAGAATCCATCTGATGTGTAGATTGAATAGGCATAAGCAAGTATTCTGATCTTAAAAATAATATTTGTAAGCCTTTTTTGCATCTTGCAAATGCTGCCACATTTATGAACTGTGTAATATTGATAAATATCCTGTCCCCAGTTTCCACCAGGATCTGGTGGTAATTTATGCAACCCTTCCAAATTATGCAATTAGCTGAAATTATTAACGGTTCCAACCTTTAAACTTTGAACTCTCCATGCATCATCTTATATACGTCCTGTTTGGTTTCAGTGAATAATTCTCCGAAGGCTTTTCATATAAAATAATTTTCACAAACTAGACCAAGCCCTCTGTCTGGACAGAATATTCATCAATATTGCACAGTGCGTAAATGTGGCGGCATTTGTGGACTGGGGCACAGGCTACGAGTACAGTGGCCAGTTCCTTCCCTTGCTGTCCTTACTCTTCCATATACCAATTTGCTGCCAAATGGAAAGGTAGGAACCATCCGAATCATGGGTCAACATAGGATTTCAACACATAAACTTCATCCATACAGTCAAGGGCTGCAGCCATTTATAAGAATCTTTGCAGTCAAAAGGCAACGTGATCAAAAAAATAACCTGGCTAGTTGAGTGAAGCCTTTGGTGTGCAATGCACGTTATTAACAGCAATAGGTTTGAAGGATGATCAAAGAATACAATAGAAAAAAGTTGGACGACAGTTGAACACATCCAATTTTTAAAAAGGAAGTTTTGCTTTGTTGAAACAGCTTTTAAGACATCCAATTTTGCATTTACATTGTCCAATTTTCAAAGATTCAATTAATCAAATTAAATTAAATGCACAGTGTATTTCAGCCTTAATTTTTTTATCTTGAAACCAACATGCACCCCTGAAAAACTATTACATATAAAATATTTCAAAGCATGACTTCCAAATAATTTGCATCTCTAAAAAAAATAAGCAAGGAAATATGACATTTTAACAGAATTGCTGGCTGTTTGTAATACCAAATTGCAATCAAAATGGATTTCAAAGGTACATATCTCTCCAAAAAAATTACACAGGCAAAAAAAGGATATCTTGTTTTCCACAAACCAAAACAAAATAATGACCAATGCTTTTTTGCTTTCTATATTACAAAAAAACCCATGTTGAAGAAGGAGGAATCTAAAAAGACAGAAAGTTGAGATGGAATTGGTTTAAAGTTCTGAAGAAAGACAGGTGATATAGATCTGGAAAACAAGGAAAAGGAAAAGTGTTCCAAACTTTTCAAGCTCTTGGAAGGTAAGATGAGGGGAAAAGTTTGTGAATTTGGTATGGAGAATTGGAAAGGGGGAGCATAGGAAAAGTTTTTGGAGATTGGACATGAGAAATCACAAAGGAAATTTCAACCATACAGATTGGAATTATAATACAAATTGATTGCTTTGGAATATAAATTGATTTGAATATAATACAAACTTCACAGCTGCTTGTCACCAAATCAAGTCTCTGAAGAAATTAGGACAAGTTGACAAGTTATTAAGTATCCAATTCAACAGCCACAAGGGGAATATAGTATTTACCTAGCTATGAACATTTTGGGATTGGGAAATTAATTAAAACAACATGTTTATCTGACGATAAATGTTGAGGAATTTGGTAGCAGACAATTTGAGAATTGAAAACAAGATGCAGCCTGCGAAAGCAAGATACAGTGGACAAACGCTAAGAATGTTAAAATGAAGAAGACAGATGGAAAAGCCTCCCACAGCTTGAACTCAATCAAACTTTTGTCAGCTGCTACTTATCAGGATCTGCCCACTACTGAGTTCATCCCACACAAAACATAACATGTTATTCATTAATCTTGGCATTAACTGTCATGCTGAAAGGCTACAAAACAAGTTTTAAAATGGCAAGCAAAAGGCTATACTACAAAACCAGCTGCTACAGAAGGAATCTTGAGAAAACTAGCCAATTTTCTTCTGGTCATTTAAAAGATTGCATTGACATCCCACATAGAAATATCAAGAACACCACAAAAGGTAGCAAGAGAAATATCAAAGAGCACATGTTGCTTTTGTTACGTTATCAGTTTGAGTTCAAAATAGAATTATGCAAGTCAAGAGCTTTTGGACAAGATGTATCTATTTATCAGCAAAGATAGTTCTAAGGTGATGAGAGAACCCCATTTTCAGTTGTGATTGATGATGGGCAAGTATTCTGAGGACCATTTTACCTTTATTTAATACTAGTTTTTGATGGTAACATGGAACAAATATCAATTTTTGGCAAATTAAAGAAATCATTTAAATTTTTTATGCAAAGAGCAAATCATCTATCAACGATTGACTAAATTCACAAGAAGTGGGCATTGGAGTGGTACACTTTGACATGGATTGTCCCCCATATAATATGTACTGATAGGGATTAGGATACTGATAGGATTTTGTTGTTTGATGTTTTTGCAATCTTGTTGCCACCGCAAGGAGCGAGTACTTTTGGTTAAACATGCTACCTACAAAGCAGTGCTTTCCATATATGGATGGAATTATTGAGGCACCATTGCATGAGAGCAGTAGAAAAAGGGTTTTTTATTTAAAACAAAGGGTTTTGTAAATTTTTGGGGCAAACAAAAGTAACTATGGCCTTTTAACAAATGTTCTCTACTACTTTACTGCTGGAACAAATGAACAAGATAATTTGGGATTTACAATTTGCAGATAGGCTTAAAAGCAGTCTGTCCAATGACTGGGAAATATGAACAGGAAATATGAACAATAGCTTATCCTACCTTAACGGATTATGCTGCTTGCTTTGGCTAGCCTAGCTGCGGCAGTGGATGACATTTGAAAATGCGAGCAAAAAGGCTATCAGAAGTGATAAGAAGATTATATTACTGGAATTGAATGATGATAATGGAAGCATTTCTTTTCTCTGTTAACATATCTGTCACAAAAACAAAACAGGGAGCTGAATTTCACAGCTTCACATCAACGGGAACACAGCCATTGGAATCAAAGCTGTCTTTGATTGGTTCAATTTGTTTAATTATCCATCTAGGACAATGGGACAGAAATTTCACCCCCGGGAAAACAAAGTTGAGCACACTAGTGGACAGACTGCGTTTAAGATTAGTTTTCTAGTAGAAAAATTGCAAGACTTGCGAGGAGCAAAGTAGCTTGAAAAATTGGGTGCTTTTATCTTTCTAGGTGCTCAAACAAAGATGTCACCAAATAATATCAAATACCATCAATCACAGATTTGATTACTTTTTTTTACATTTAAACAGCATAAACATACTATGCGCTTGATTGATTGAGCTCCTTGAACATTCCAGGTTTGGCACGGGTGCTTCATCAAGCTCAAGCACCTCTGATTGCAAGGCCTGAAAATTTGCTGAAATTGTTTTATAGTCAGAAATTTTGGACAATTATATTAAAAAAATGATAAACTTACCAGAATGACAAAATTCCCATTAGTCTTCAAAGCAAATCCTTGCATACAATGTTGCGACCCACTTGAAGGGCTTTCAGCTTTTTCCTGCTTGACAATGGGCATCTCACTAGCACTATGATGCCCTGAACTGTTTGATCCAGGGTCGCTACTGCTTGACCTTGCTCTTGGAATTTCTTCAGGTGATTGTCGGATTTGATTAGCAGATATATATCCTGAATCAAGAACCACAGATCTATGTGAGCCATATTTAAGGAAGAAGTCAGTTTGAGGCCTGTCTTGTTTGGCTGTGGTTGCACTAGAAAGGCTTGGTGATACCCTTTGATTAGCAAAATTTTCAAATGTATGTGGAGACTTTTTTTGCTCATTTCCCATACTTTGAATATTCGCCAAAGTGGCCTTCACGCCATTGCCTAAGTTTGATTGTAAACCATTAACACCATTATGCTTTAGCCTTTTTAAATGTTGAATATGTTTATCAGACAATTCTTTGTGAAGTCCAGAGGATCCTGTGCTTAACTTTCTATGATGTGAAGCAGTATCAGACTTTATCAAGGTGTTTGCATAGTCACCATTAAGTTGGACAGAAGATGAACGTGGAGCACTGCCGACATGAGATAAAATTATCTGATTGCCACCACGATGGTAGCTGCTGGAAGAGGAGGTACCATGTTTTGGAGCATAGTGAGGAATACCTGGTGATGATAGTGCTATGTACTGTGTACCAACATTTGCTGATGTTGAATTGTCTGATATACGTCTATTCACTGCGGACATGGCTTCAATAGGATTTAATTTGAGTGGTGCTGGTTTGTTGCCACTGTTCACTAATTGCTTCAAGTTTGAATGATGACTAGAACTTGTTGTTGCCAATGACCTTACATCTCGTATTGGCAAGCTTGATGCCTGTGTTACAACTGAGGAGGCAGTTGTTGATGCAGATGTAGATGCATTCGCACTTTTGTTGCCAATACCATACTGCTCCATTCGTCTTTGCAAATCTTCCTGTGAAAAAACAGTTCCAATTTTTGTCAAGTATCCACACATTTTCTCAACATCAAGGGCAAAACGTAGATCATTATATGCCAAAGGTCTCTGCTTATACTTAAGGCTGTTCAAATTGTGCAGCCTTGTCCCTAATACTTTTCTACAGTAAAGCAGGGCAACATCACTACCATTTTCAACTGCATATCTTGCAAAATCATGGTTATGCTCCAAGATTGTACTCATCTGAGTTAAATCTTTTTTCTGTTTTGCTAACAATCCCAACTTGCTCTGGACTAAGCCCTGAAGTTCTGCTACAAGCACCCTTTCTCTGTGTTTTAAGGCCTTTATAACAGCTTCAACGGACTTTGCAATCTCTTTTTCGATTTCTTTTTCCTTTTCCTCTAAACCCAAACCTACAGATTCGACGTCCTTAATTGTTTCGCTCAGGAGGCCCAAATTAACTTTTAAGTACTGTAACAATTTCTTTAAAACCTCTCTATGTTTTCCAGCTGCTTCGTCAATGAATTGATACCTATGATCTTTATGTTCAACGAGCTGACAATCTCTGCAAGTTAATTTGTCACATGTCGCGCAAAATAATCTAAGTTGCTCGTGTGGGTGCAATTTGCAAAATAGTGGTTTTTGACCTGGGCTTGTGGCCTGGGTGTCCACCTCTCTCAACCCGGTGTCCTTTTCGTATTCTTCCATGCTTTTGATAGTATGTTCCCGTGTAACTTTAACACGTTGATGAGCCTGAACACAAGCATCGCACAGCCATTCTCGACAATTCATGCAAAAAGATGTTGCGATACTATCATCCTCGCACGAGGTACACACTTTTTCATTTTGGCCTAGCCGTTCAATATCGTTAACGGTCACTGCAGCTTCGATAATAAACTGGTTGTTCAAGAAACCTGCAACTCCATTATTCGAAACAAGAAACTCTTGTCCACAAGAAGGGCATTTGAGTCTTGGATTTAATGTATTAGAACTTTCTACGTCCCCTGAATTGCTCTGCTCTTCGTATTTCTCTTGAAGGCATTTCTCGCAAAACGAATGCAAGCAAGGCAGTAGCTTTGGCGAGGAATTTGCTGTAACAGGATTTAAATTACACAAGCCACAGCAAAAAAACTTATGGTTCCCATCCTTCTTGCAAGTCACTGCAGATAATTGCTCCGACAGCGTGTTTGTAGAACAATATTCTTCATTTTTATCGCCGTCTGTTGACATGCTTTCGTCAAGGACGCCCTCCTCCAAGTTTTCTTTAGTTTTCGCCTGTGCATTCTCAGTCAAGTTTTCCTCCGCTTTAGCAATTTCTTGGTCTAAACTTTCTGACTCTATCTTGTCTTCATTTGGCCTCTCCATTTCATAGACAAAACAAATAAAAATCCACCGTCACATTTGAGACAACCCAGGCGGCCTGTATACGGTGAACAGAGTTTTGGCAACAGCAAAACTGGCCAGATTCCAAGTCAAAGATCTTTGACAGGGCAACCGAACAAATGGACTGCAACTAGAAAATGTCATCTTTCAAAAGCATTATCGCCTCTAGATGATTTTGTCACATATGTTGACTGCGGATGTTTGAAATTTTTCATCTTTTCAATAAATCTTTGAATATTTCAGTTTACTTTTAATATGAAAATCAAACGTTAACTGATTTTCCAAAATTGATTCGAAACTGATTTCCCAAAATTATACCCCTATCTTTGAAATTAACTTCCTTAATTCTTTAACTTCTCTTCCTTAACAACCTAATTGAAAATGAATGATGCGTTTGATCCTCTGCTAAAAGATGATTCAAATTACATTTTCCCTCAAGGCCTCTTCTCTCAAATATCCAAGGTAGATGTGTCCTGAACCCAAAGCACTAAAATTGCATAGACCTGGCCCCACATTCTCCATCGCTGGCGCTCTAGCGTTAACAACCTAACACGTGCAGGATAAAAGACATCGTATTTTTGCATTGATAGAGACAAATGTTGTGTGCGTGTGGCTTTTTGTTTTGCAAGTTTGATATGTCTGAAGTCCTCAGGCAACTTCGACCTGGCTTGTTTTTTGAAAACAAAAACATATATCGATTAAAAAGTCGGAATGCTAGGACGCTCTTCAATGTTAGATGGACTTAGCTTTAAGAATGTTTTTGAGGCTCAATCCCTCCCCTTCATTTAAAAGGCTTGTTCAATTTAGCAAGTCGTGAAAGAAATTAATAACATTTTCTAATTCTCAAACCATTTGAGGGGGAATTCGCTGACCACCTTGAGGTAGATGGCACAATGATCTTGAAAGATTGACATGTTGTGACGTATATTGTGAATAATTAATCATGTGATTTTGATTGACAGTCGAATTTATGATGTAATTTCCGGCGTGTGGCCATCGAACTTTCTTTGTTTCGTGTGCGTGTTTTCGAAGCGTAGCAACAACCTTGGCCATCTGGTTTTGATTGACAGGCAAGTGCTTACGCAGTCGTACACCTGACCAATGTCGAAATCACATGTTTACGGCCGAGCGCATGAAAGTTACCAGCAGATATGCATTTCTACATTATTTCGCCGAAATCTAGATCAATATTTAATACCTCTTAACTTTGATTCACCGCAGTTCTCAAGAAACCTGTTCGATACATTCTTTAAATGGAGATTTAACAATTTCTTTCTAATATCAAAACTTCTCATTCAAAGAGTTTACAATCTTCTTCTTTTGCTAGGCCGTGTAAAGAAGATTCTATACTATTGCGGCGGTAGCTCCAAAATTATAGCCGGGGTCAAATTAAAGGCCGGTGGTTTATTAACTTTACGGCTGACAATGACTGTAGGCAGCCAAATACCTATGCCCAATAACCTATCCTAGATTCCAAGCTTCTTGGTCCACTCTTGCTAAATCTAAAATAAGCTAGACATAAAATCTGCTAAACTCTAACTTGTGTACTTAAAGAGAGCGTCATTAATATGTAATCTTTTAGGTTTTCGAATCTGCCCATTATTTCCACCAATTAAGCCCATATGGTCAGATGCACACCAGATGCTCATGAAACTACAATAACAGCCTTTGAAAACTTGGCCTCGGTTGCTTCGTGTTTAAGCCAAGGACAAACATATCCTGCTATTCTAAGGAAGAACAAAAGAGTTCAAACCAGTGAGAACAGAAACAAATTTTCTCCATCAAAGTGAAGTTATCAGTACACTAACAATAATAATGTGTTGTAAATGAATTTGGTTAGATGGCAATTTTGCATTGTTCTTTAATCTTGTTCAAATTTGCTTCAAGAACTTGAAAGACTCTAAAACTTTAAAGTTACTTGATCAGTAATTTTTCGTTGCATAGCTTGCAGTTTATGATCATATGTTTCTGCCAAAGCCATTTTTGCCTACACTTAATTACATAAATTTGAAATTACCATGACTTAATGCCTTTAACATTCTTCATTTCAACTTTATGGTTAGATTTAAACATGTATGGTCTTCTGTATTATTCCTAGTAATTAATATAAACTTGAAATGACGAAGTCAAAAATGAAGGTGACGTCAAAGTTGATAAAAAAGAAATGCACGGTAATGACGTTTTCAACAAAACAGGAGAAGGACTCGAGTGTTCTTGAATTGATTGACAGCTAGTTGCAGATGTCATTCATGTGATTGGTTTCTCTTCAAATAACGATCTCCTGTAGAGTGGGTAAGACAGAATCGAGCTTAGGCCATTAAGACATGATATACAGAGAAGCTAATTTTTGTGCTATTTTGCCATTGGTTGACCTGAGACACATGATCACATGAGGACGAATCACATGAAGATATCTCGTACAGATTTCAAAGACAGTATCTGTGAACGACCCGTAGTGAATAATGGCTGCGGAAACCACATGAAACTCGATATCTTAACATTTCAAACCTTTTTAACTCTTAAATTTTGCTCCTTTTTGATTGAAACAATAGTTTACCACTCAAATGACGACCTTTCCACTTTAATCATATGGAATGAAATATGCTCAAGATAGAAACATGCATCAAAAGGAAGAAATGTCAGTTGTTCAAAACTCCCTTATAGGAACATCGCAACAACTCGATTTCTTACTTGCCACGGGTCTTTGATTGAAGAGACAAAACGAAACGAAAAACATCGAAACGAAAAGTGAATGAAACGAAACATCATGGGGATCCAGGAGTAAACAATAAAAGCGAAACGAAACGAAATGAAATGAAAAGGCGCAACAATTCGCAAGACCATATATATTCATACTTGCGGAAGGATCTGTTCTGTGCCATTATAACTAGTTTTAAATGCTGCAAAGATATTCAATGCAACAGTCGCGCAACACCATGCCTGTTCATTGTCATGCATGCGTATCCCCAGTAACGCATTAGATTCATGTCGCATCTTACTGCAAATAATATTTCAACCAAAAGGTGTGTCCTCGTCATACTTTATTTGCCCGCTATTTTGTTTCTCATGCATTGCTAATTACAGAGCAGAGCAGTGCGAATTTACCTTCTTTAAAATAGACGCCAATCTGAGTTGAACCATTGCCGAGCCAAAAGCTCGGCACGGTGCATTACAAATTTAAAAACTTTGATTCTGGCTAAAATAAATACCTTCTTTTTATTCTAGAACACCCGCAGTTGGTACTACGAGTCACCCTGAAAGCTAACTTCTTAAGAAACTTAACAAACCTTTCGAATATTTTCACCCTTTTTGAATTTTTCCAATACTTGGTTTAAATCAAGGATCGAAAAAGCGTATAGAAATAATAACAGTTTATAAAGTATAAAACATAAAAAAGTTCCAGTAAATTCATGTAAATTAGGAAAACCTTTATTACCATTAAAAATTTAATTTCATCATTCCACTCATATTTCTTATAATAAACTTGTTATAAAAAACATTTCTGGAGAAAACAACTTCGGTATTCTAAGACAGAATATTGATAAACAATTAGAATTTTGAAAGGAGAACTCTGAAATTCTGTTATTTTCGATTAATTTGATTTAGTGGGTTGACATAAAACTCTATACAGAATCAATACTAAACTCTTTTAAAGTTTTACAATTCTTCAGAACCAACTTCAAGACGTGCATAATGAAGTAATATACTATAGCCTAATATAAGATTAGCAACATTTGGAAAGTATGAAACATAACATATAATACACTCATTTTTTTATAAGAAACAAAGGTCGATGTTGAGTACTCCAGTTTCTTAATGTTCTGGAAATTTCAATACTCATTGTTTCTTAAGAGTTTCTTAATTATGATGTCATGAAATGTTCGTGACCTTTTTTATCACGTCAAGAGATTCGCTTCCGTTCCGATGCTGTATTTAGATGTGGGAAGTGTATTTTTATCCCTTGTGCCTCAAGTTCTACGCCAACAGGGCAGTCTTGTTCTTGGATTTTACAAAATTTCGTTGTTCTCAGTTTTATCACGATTTAATAATTTCGTAATTTTTTTGCTTCGAGTATTGAAGTTTCTTAATTTTTTCTGTCTGTCCAGTACTCGTTTCTTGTAGCCAGTTTCTTAAAAAAAATGATTGTATAACACTCATTTTAAAGTAATCGACATCAAATCAGAAAACTCAAGAAAAATAAGTATAAGAATATCCGCAGCGTTATAAAACAGTACCCGATATATGCGCGTAAAGGTATGCTTTTGAAAAAAAATTTAAAGTGACAGTACTTGGATTTGCAGGGGTATGTTGGCAGACTGGTAATACTCTCTCGAGGCCATTAATCTTCGAAAGCTAGGGAATGCTTTCAACCAGCACCTGTTGATCAAAACGGTAGATTGACAAGATAAAATTCCAAAGGCCATTGAGAACAGATTTATTGAACCAGCAGATTTTACAAATCAAAATTTCCACTCGAATAATCGAATCAATTGGACAGTTACCAGCTGTGGAAGAATCGGACTCGTCGTTAATCATTCAATTTTTATGTTTACACGGTCAAAATCGATAAATCTAGCCGTATAAACGCAGCTTAAGCTTGAAAATAAATGTTTAGGGTGGAGTTTTTTTTCCAAAGCAATCAATATGGCTTTGCCGACCCCTTTAGCGCTTTATAGAAGCTAGCACAAGCTTGGCTCTGCCTGTCAAATCATTTGCAGACAAATATATCAAACCAGGACACATTCGATAATGGAATAATAGAATCCTGACATGCGATTGTGTTGTCGGATTCGATTTTGATGCTCAGATTCGATTTTGATGTTCGGATTCGACTATGATGTTTGGATTCGATTTTAGAATCCATTTCGAACTCGGAATTTCGATAGCGATGGTTTCGGCTCGGCCACACGCATTGGCGGTGCGTAAACAATGAATAAAACTCCATACATGAAAACTAATTCGTGAAACAGAAAAGCCATTGCATTAATTTCATAAATTTCTAAGTGCTTGATTTCTCCGTCCGAAGGAAATTCTCGCAACAAGACAGCGGAAACGCGGATTTCCGATGCAAATGATGAGCGAGATTGAATGATTGCTCACTGGCGTGGTTTGCCAATGCGGATTTCCGACAGGGATGTTTTTAGCATAAAAGGACGGAAAATTATGTTTAATGGCATAAAAAGAATATATGCAAGACTTTTTGGGCGCTTAACAGGGGTTGTCTCACGACTTTGTAAACATTCAAAAAACATCCTGACTTGTATCCATTCTAACTGAAACACTGGAGTGAAAGCGGAGTGCGTTCAATCAATTTTGTCGAAGTTCGACGATCTTTTGTGAACTCATCATTTTTTGTTAATTCTGTTATCTGGGTTCGAGTTCTGTAAGGTTATATATTGCGTTCCCAGCTCTGATACGAAATAAGTGCAACTATGGGTCTAAGCCTTGCTCTCAAAAAGCTTTAGTTTAACATGTGAATATTCAGTATATTCCGATGAATTTTTATGAAGGTAGAACAAAAGGATTACTTGAAGATTGTCATGTAGGTCTTAAAGAACGAACTACTTCAATACTCTGCATAAATCGTATTATGATTCATTTGTGTCATTTCTGAGAACTTTAATTTCGTGCAACTCTTCCTTAAAGGACAAGTGACACACTTTTCACCCTATCTTTTCTTTTCATTAACTTATAGATCATCGTTTAGAAGTAAGTTTTTCCTGGTTTAGAACAAAAAATTCTAATCAGGGGGCGCAGGAGGCGCGATTTTGCTTTTTATCACGTGACCCTATGACGTACATTGTGATAACTCGGAATTTTCCTATCATTGATAGAGAGTTTTCGAAACACGATGCGACAGGTCCAGACGAACTAAATTCGTTTAGAAGCGTGTTGTAAACATTAATATTGCACTGTATACCAGTAGCAGCAATAACAGATTATCACAATCTACGTCACGGTGTCACGTGATTCATTTCCCGCCATAATTTTAAAAGGGTTTTTAAGTAGGAAAATGAAATCAGAAAGGAAAAATATTTCAACAACACTCTCATACAGCATTTTACTTTAAGTTAAAAGAAAAAAAAAATTTGGCGCCAAAAACGTGTCACTTGTCCTTTAAGCTGTGATTGTTTCAAGCCTTCCATTCTCGAATGGAACTTAGGGACAAAAAATGAATAAAATTCTTTCTATTTAGTAGCATCAAGAAAAATTTTAAAATGCGAAAGTTGGGAAAGGTGAATATGGATGTAAGAGGCGCTTCGTCAATATCGATTTTTTAAAAAGGGAGGTCGTTCTTTTACACAAACAACTTTCTTGAAATTTTAATTCAAAGACTTTTTTGCAACATGGGGGTGGTGCGCAAGAGAGCCCGTTGACATTACAGGCACAGAAAAGAGCAATTCCGGGGTTAAAAAAAGTACTAAATAGAATTACTATTCTTGTTCAGGAGACGAAACCTTCAGTCCTTTGTTTTGAAACAATAACGGCTTGAACCAATCAGTGTGGCAGGGTCATAGCGCATGCGCATTAATAACATTATTCGCACAGCTGTTCTCTCTGGCACCACAAAACTTCGCGCCAGGGCTTCAAGTGACAACGCGCATGTGCAATGAACCTGAAACAGGGGCTAGTGCATGTCTGAAAGACGGGCATGATTAATCTCCCGAACAAATTCAGCGATGTGTGACCATGGGGCCCCCACTGGGGTTTTGCGTTGGTGGCCTTGCCAGTAGGATGCAGAAACTGACATGTAGGGTGCACGCAAGAGACGACATCAATCTGGATTCCCCTCCGTTAACTTGAAGGCAGATGAAGTTAGATATTGAAATGATGGACTAAGATAGGCCGCGTTCAGTTTCGTGTAGACACTCCACTAACAATGAGAAGGATATTCCGAAAGATTGAATAAACATACTCCAACACTACTATCTATTGAATTAATTGGTACTGCCGACAGTACGACACAGATAAAATGGTACAAGTTTACAAAATTGAAATGAAATGAAAAAAAAAGTTTCCGGACATTAAAAGTCCGCATTAAAAATATCCCTAAAATAAGTTGCGAAATAGCCAGGCCCTCGTGAAAAATCACTGCCTTCTACTTTAGCTTGCATATCATGACTGGGTTGAGGTATGGGTAATATTTTTCTATCCTTTAGAAAAACCACAGAGAAAGTCTATTGTGGAATACCCTTAGTAATGGATGGCCTAAATTTGACGTCCCTAATGATTTTCAAAAAGGAAAGACGCAGCAAACAATTGTACGTACTACGATTGCAAATGAATCTGTTCAATTTGTTTCTAATCTACTTCGTTAAATAGTTGGTATGAATTAGTTTATAATTGGTTAAAAACAAAACCAACTGTAAATAAGTTTATGATTATCGTTATGAAAATTCATGACAACAGGCAAAATTAATTCTTGTAAACCTATTGGGGGCACCGACCCCACAGACGCTATGCCCCTATTCTTCAGTTTTTGCCACAGTGTACTGAATACCTTTTCAACGTAAATAAACATGGTATTTTTAAACATTGACCATCCACGCCTATCATCTCTTACAGGAATGCAAAAAACCACTAGCGAAATTCTTAGAAAGTTAAAACGTCACAAGAAAGTTTCTGAAATGAAGAAAGAAGTCTAAAACTCTTACACAGAAATAAGGAATTTTGTTGGCGGGGGTCGTGTTAGCGACATTTTAGTGGCTGATGTGCAGATTTACGTAGAAAGCGGAGCAGATTAAAAGTAGCATGTGCCCCAGAATTTGAAAGGCAACCGACAAATACCTGAGCCACCTGTCAATCAAAGTTAGCCAATCAATAAGCCTGTGAGTGGTAATAGGCTCACTGATTGGCTAATTATTGATTGATAGATGGCCTAAGCCATTTTAGTATCTATCGATTGACTTTAACGAGCTAGGGGTCTGGAGCACAGGCTATTTGAAAAGGTTAAATAGGGGAAGGGGGTTGATCAATTATAACATATCGTCTGACTATTCAACTAACACCTTTACAAATATCGGAAAATTCATGACATTTCCTTCATGTGAGAATTGGAAAGCTAGTTTTGGCTACACACGTTATTCAAATAACTTTTAAAACAATTTTTACATAATTTATGACTACATGCTAAATATTCTCTAGTCGAGTCTTTTAAAGAAATGTAATTTAATCTACTGTCAAGTTATAAGAGTCTTCCTCTGCATTCGATAGAGCCACAGTAACACTGCAAGACTTTGCCAGGGACGCTACCTACCTCGTATGAATAGTCCCATGTCAGCTCTGTCAACGCAGGGACGTTTCTGCAATAGGGGTAACAGTGTAAATATAAAATCAACATAGAGTCTACAAAAGGATCCTTCTTTCAGTTAATACCTTCAAAAGGAAGAGTTTATTATTCGATTTTAATCAGTTAGCCTTTTATATTGAATAAATATACGGTTAGGACATTGCTGCAGCGAAAACAATCGTTTACAGCACGCATTATCATTGCAGTGAGGGCGTAGCACCCGCTTACCTCTTTGAACCCTCAAAATGTCCCGAATGTCATGGCCTAACCAGCATATGTCACGATAGCAGCAAGGGGGGTAACACTCTTATAATTGGGGTCTAAACAACAACAACAGCAACAAAGCAATCCTCAGAAAACAGTGAAAAGGAGGCAGAGGTAGGGGTGGGGATTTTTTGGGGGGGGGGGTTCTTTGTATTCACTAGGCATCCTTTGACGGTGTGACAACTTTATAGTCTGGTCTCCGAATAACCAAAGCACAAGTATAATCGAACCCCATAAGTTGAAATCAGTCTGTAGAGCTCTACAGCTGTAGAGCTCTGCTATGCTCTACAGTCGCCACTGCTATCATAAATTCGAGGATTTACGGTATATGAAAGACCCGAATACCAACCATTTTTAGAGGATCTTGCAGTCAGACCAATCGCTGAAACAATGATGCCACAGTAGCTATAAATGGTCTAAAGAAAACACAGGAAATAAAGACTGTACTTACTGCTGAGTGAAAAATGCGACTAATGGAAACCTCAAATCGTGGGTGTCATAGAAGACGTTTTGAACAAAGAGATTCGGCATGCAGCTATGCTAAAATAAGAATAGGACATAGAATGATAATCACATAGTAAAATCATAATAAATATTTGTAAATAGCAATGTAGGTCTTCAATAGCAAACGCAACAAGCTGCAGGCATTTTCAAATAGGGAAAATTCTAAAGGGAATGTTAGAAATTCTTAATGGAGTTAAGAAAGCAGAACATAAAGCATAAAGTTGCAAAAAAATCCTAAACTGGCATGCCCCAGATCTCTGTTTGAAATGGGGTAGTTTTGATGCCATAAAATATGTGGAAAAAAGGGGACCTGAAGGGATAAAAATAAATTATAATTAAAAATAAAAATAAATCAACAGATATGAAAGTGGCCTAAACCACCTGTCAATCAATATCAGCTAACCAATGAGCTTGTGAGTGGAATCACGCTACTGATTGGTCAATTTTTGATTGAAAGATGGCTCGATCCTCAAAGAAGGCCTGAGTATCTGTCGACTGCCTTTAAGAATACTCGAACCTCAACTTATCCAAAAAAAGACATCGGGCCTCGGCTGAAATCTGGTTCTTATAAAAGAGTGATATAGCATTAACCAGTTAGAATATATACTCACGTTCAAGTATCGGCCGACATTTCCGAACGACTTTGCGTCGATGACGTAGCACTGGTCCTCACCAAACAAAAGTCTTGTCGATTTTTTCTCAGCTTCCTTATTATCCGTTGCAACATCCTGTTCTTGCTGCGGCTCATTTTGAGTTTGTTGTGGTCGCTGCCCTGGAGGAGTTATTTGAATCCTGTGTGATGTTGACTTTCTTGCGAAATGGCCACCTTTTTGAAAGAAATAGAATCAAACGTCATTCGATGAAAAACAATATCAATGTTCACTTTTGTCGGGATTTGATATGAAAAATAGCAACAGAATGAAATGAGAACAAATATAACTAGCATTTGAACTCAGACGGTAATCTGGCGTTATTGGAAAGTTCTCACCAATTATGCATAAGGTATATGTGAGGGACTATCCTAGTGGGTACACAGCCTGCAAAGATTGACTGAAACATCCTATCTTCATTTCATCCCTAAAAACATTTTAAGCTATTGAGTCAAATATCATTCACACCTCCTATCTTATACCTTTATCAAGATTGCTTAGAGAAAGAGAATTGGGTTGGTGAATATGACAGTTAAAAATGACGTAAGTATATATTGGGATTTTAGTTGTATTGGTTGTTACTGACAGAGAAATCAACGGGCAAAGACCTTACCAAACGGGTTGGACACCCTGTTATTGGGGGTTATCGGGGTCTAGGAGCTCTTGAACACCCTCATTGGAGGTTGATGATAAACTTTAACCTTATAACTTCAGTATTGACAGTTCTTTCTCTTAACTTTAGATACAGTTTGTTACTAGCTCTATGTATGAAGTCGTTTGTGAAAGCTCTTTAACTCCGGTCTTTTAATTCCCCCTTTTCATTATTGATGGTGCAGAAGTATTTACTTTGACCAAGCAACGCTTCAATACTGAGAAAGCCAACCATAATAGATCAAAAATATGAAAAAATGCTGTCAAGATACTCTAAAATAAAACACAATGCAAAGATCTTCAGAACCAACCCGTGGAGCTTCTTGGCGATGTAAAAGTCTTTCCTGATACGAAAGCCTGGCTGACGTCATTTTTAGCCACGTTTTCCAAAACACGTGGTTCTGGTTTGTTCCTTTCATCCTTTGAAAGCTTTTGAAATAAAATTGATCTCGTTGACTTCCTCGCCACTGCCTTACGAATCTTTGGCCCAATCGTCTCGATAGCTTTTTTCACCTCGTCATTCCAATCAATTTTCACTGTCAGTTTCGCTTCTTCCAAACGCTCTCCGGTTTCGATTCCAGCTTCTGTTTCCGGTTTCAAATCAGCATCGGGACTTTCACCTCCGATTTCGAATTTCAGTTTGATCTTTGGACTCTCGCCTTCTGACTTTTCATCTTTTTCCAGGTTCTCAATTGAATCTGCCTTGCTTGGCGATTCTTAAAGTAAAAAAGGACAACGGCTGTTAATCTTGTCTCTGTTAGTTCCGACATTGCATTGATGATGGACAAAATAGCAATGTTAGAGTTTATAAAAAATATGACACACCGCTACTATTGATTAAGATTGGGGCTTAGCTGTTTTAGAACGTAGATACGTGTCCAGCTTATTTGTTTACACGGGACAGTAATGTATAAATTCGCGATGGGCTGCCTAGACAATTTACTACATCTGGTACCCCTGCAACAATTAAGTAAAGGTGTACACTGAAATTTTTTAACAAATTCGAGACAACATTTTCATCAAAATGAAATATTGCGCATACCAAAGTCATCGTCCAATCAAATTAATAACACTTCAAATCAATTTAATAACACTAGAATGGCATTTCTAGTTGAGAACTGTAAAGCAATACCTTGGCTTTCTTGAGACTTCTGCTTTTGAGTGACAGTCTGTCGCAAAGCTACAAGCCTGTCAATCATCTTTCCATTGCAGTCGACCCCCGTCTTCAGCCTATGAATCATCTGATCCAGAGAGGATGGCGTACTGATTCCTTCTTCTTTTAGGGAGCCCAGAAGCCTTTTTGAGGTTTCAGCTTCATTTTCAGGATCACTCTCAAGAGTCAAATCAATTACGTCATCAGATGTGACTTTCGAAGGTGTGTTTGTAGTTGGCCTTTAACGAAGATAAACATTGGAAGGAGTGAAATAGGCAATAAACTCTGCAACATAGTTGGAAAGATAAGACAATATGAGATTATATGAGATTGTATGAGATTATAAGAGATAACATGACTGTTAAAACCCTGACGTTTTGAGCTTTGTTTTTTAGCATCTTGAAAGCTTCTCACAATTTAAGGCATCTTTACTCATCAATGCCTTTGATGCCTTTAGGCTAGGCTGGTGGGCTGGATCCACTGATCTATAAAAAGACTGGATCGAGATTCCTTTTGTCTTAAAACACCAAAGTCTGATGCCCGTTCAATTTTAAAAGGAAGAGGGCCTCAAACAATAGCGGGAAGCCATTCCTCAAAACTAATAGCTACTTCAATGATATGGATACGCGAGAGCTGCAATGCTGCGTGTATAATTGCTGAAAAAGAACAAGGCCAGAGCAGCTGAAAACATTGCTAGGGGTGACAGAGAAGGCTGTCTCCTCGCATGGGCTGTTCTGGCAACACTCTGGTCACATTCGAAGCTCGATCCAATCTTTTTTATAGATCAGTGGTTGGATCATAGCGGGGAAGGGGGCTTTATAAGATCATTCCCTGCTAGAATTTATTACAAATTGGTTTTCGCGAAGCTTATGTTAGAAACCTCTTCCTTTAAGGTTTATGATAGTTTTAGCGATTTACGCCGATGCCCCAACAGCCCAGCTTGCACTCGATAATACAAAAATGTAGCCTTACGACTGATGTCTATTCTGTGTGCTTCTGAAGAGGGTATTTTTCGCCTTACAACATATACTGTAGCATCTGTCCTGTCCTGAGCAAATTAATAACTAAATACTTTTGAAAAAGTTAGTATTGTACAAATTATCTCTTGGCAATGGACACCTACCATGCTAGGACACTAGACACATGTTGATAGCAGTTTTAATTAACTGAAATGTACATATCCTTTTAAAATAATCATTATACATACATACATACATACATAGATAGAGTTATAAACAGGTTTAACTTGATTATGAAAACGAGCGGCTGTCACTGAAAAACGCAGCTATTAGATAAACGGTAGCTATATGGTGTTAAAACAGAAACTGTTAGATTGTCCGGATAACTATCGGATAACTGTCCGTAAAACTGTAAAAAAACGTAATGTGAGACCCCATATCTCAATAGAAACATGATTTAATGTAATAAGCTGTAACCTTCTGTCATTTTCACATGGCAAAGAGTGGGCTAAAGGGACAACTTCAAACCTCCCCATTCTATGGATTTCAAATTTTCAGCAGGAGACAAGCGTCACATTACAGGTTGATAGCAGAAACAATCAGATAATCTTTCAAGCTTAACGACAAAAATGGCGCTATGATTATTACGGGGATTTTTTCCCTTCGTTAACACTCTTAACTTTTGGACTCCCTTTAATTGCTGCTCCTTCACAGCAGACATTGGAAATGAAGCCCATGAACGAAACTCAGAACTAAGATTTGTAGTCAAAAGGATATCTTGCATAAATACCCGCTACTCTGTGTAATAACAAATTTATGGCAAACCATTGCAATATACGACGGAAAAGGATTGTGAGCAAACTACAAACATGATACCCGTCAGATACAGGTATAATGACCTCACTAATTTTAAATCGGCCTAAGTGTGTTCGACGTATATCAGAGAGCCCAGAAGATACCGTAAAGCTAGCTTCCCACACCCAAACCCCGCCTAGCCTTTGTTGTTTTTTCAAAGAAGATTATCCTGAAGTATTGTCCTGAAGAAGGATAAACATTGTCCTGGAATAACGCATTTTGCTTTTAGTTGAACTAATGTCTAAATCGAATTTTCCTTATGTCAAAATCATTTTGCTGGTCCTAACTGATAGATTATCTTAGCAAGATCAAGGACCATGTTTACAGACAGGTTAGCATCATATTACAGGGACTATCACGGCATCAGAGATGAGGGGAGGGAGGGGGCAAGCCGCTTTCTAACCCCCTTTATTTCCCAATCTAAGCTAGCTACCTTTTCAATGAGGTGTGGACAGAGAAACAGTGCAAAACTCTAGTCCCGTCAAAGCCGGTGAAATTTTGCAAATGAATTCAAAGTGAGCAAGGTCATAGGCACCAACCACTACGTCATTAACCCCCAGCATCGAACAACATCCCCCCAACATCGAACAACATCCCCCCAACATCGAACAACATCCCCCCAACATCGAACAACACCCCCCCACCTACATCGAACAGATTTCGCTGACGACTGTGGTAACCTTGACAGAGCTGCGGCAATTAAACAAACGTAATAATTGCATACCTATTGGAAGGTTGTTGAAACGATGGAGTATTTGTTTCCTGGAAAGAAGAAAGGAGAGAGCTTAGTTGTAATTAAATACAGCCTTGCGGTTAATGGAGGAAGTAGCTCAGGCTAATTTCATTGCAGAAACAAGCTACTCATGACGGTCGCATCAATTGACGGTTGCAGACAGCATACACTTTTAGAAAGCAATCGCGACTATCAGCGATAGCCAAGGACGATAGCCCAAGACCATCTGGAATTTTCAGAGACTGCCAGAGAGCGCTAGAGACAGTCAGAGACTGTAAATGAGAAAGAAAAATGTATCCATTGAACTTATTATTAAGTTTAGCGGTAATTTCATCGACCAAAGACTACAAAATCAATTTTTAAACCGTTTCTGTATCATTGCTCAATAGTTGACTCAATCAAACAACGTAAGACATGGAAGGACTTTATGACCATATGAGAAAACAGACAGCTTGCAACCATATGGAAACTAGGCTTAAGGAAATCGACTTTACAATTAATTCAATGAGGTTTGGTTGCAATTAAAACTTAAACACTAAGAGGATATAAACTGATAGAGCCCGTAGCAGGTTATAGAGTTAAAAGTATTGACGTCATTAAATTATATAGTTGAAGAATTTTCAAGTTTTTTTGAAATTTGATTTTGAATGACAACTTTAAAACTATAGCTGCGCCCACGAGCAAAAAGTATGAATCTAGCTTTTTTATGTATCTTTCGTACTAATTCATACACAATATAATTTAGATGCTTCTGCCAACCATGTGTGGATGACTTAGAAAAACTCTTTCAAATACATTAAATTGAATTATAGACCTAAGAAAAAAGAAAACGAGGATTGCATCTAAAATCTGATGACAATACGAGGATAGATGTTAGGAAAGATTGCTGTTTCTCATTCTTCTGTTTTAAGCACATCGGTCTTTTCAAAAGGTTTTCACATCTAAAAAGAACATACCTTTGTAATCGATTTATTGCTATCTAAGCTGTCCGAGGACTCAGACGTCGAAATATACCCAAACTCACTCTCATCACTGTCACTAGAGAAGAGGAGAAATATTTGACTATAATTCTTTATATCATTTGAAATATTTTATTAGGTTTTAATGTAAGGGGGACCGAGTGGCTAAAAATACAAACCCGCTTTGTCTACAATGAATGTACAGAGAGAGGTTCCAGAATCATTTCATATTTTGGAGCACATTGGTGGGAGCATGAATTTAAACACAAATGAATGAATGGATGAGTGAATAAATGACTAAGTGAATGAATGAATGAATGAATGAATGAATGAATGAATGTCTGAATGAATGGATGAATGAATAAATGGATGAATGAATGAATGAATGAATGAATGAATGAATGAATGAATGAATGAATGTCTGAATGAATGGATGAATGAATAAATGGATGAATGAATGGATGAATATATGAATGAATGAATGAATGAATGAATGAATGAATGAATGAATGAATGAATGAATGAATGAATAAACGAATGAATGAACGAATGTCTGAATGTCTGAATGAATGAATGAATGAACGAATAAACGGATGAATTAATGAGTGAATAAATAAATGTTTCTAATTCTCAGTTACTAAGCATCGAAAAAAACACTAAATGCCTGATTTAAGTGCCTAATAATTCTAAATAAAACTACGTTGATAGCTGGGGCTTTATTGCCACTAAGGAGTGAGACATTTTGTACTAAAAATGAATGTATGTATGCAAAAAATTCTAAAAAACCTGCTGAATCCAGAGGCAATTGGGCGCGATACGTGAAAGGAAAACACGAGTCCCTTTAACAATCTGTTTACGGTCAGTTCTTCCCTTGCTGACTTTAGACTTCTCAGTATTGTTGACAGAAAACTTATTCCTATAGGGTTTCGAACAAGCATCAAAATCTGGACTTGGATGAGAAGCACGCATCCCCTCCCCCCTCCATCACTTGGAAATTTCGCCTTAAAGGCAATTAACCCTAAAGTTCTCAAATGCAAATACCTATCATATTCCTTGTTACTGCTCTCAAATGACAAACTCCTTTCCGTTTTCTTCTCTTGACGAAGTTCCGGGACATCTGACTCGTATCCTTCTTTCGCCTGCTCAACGACCTCTAAAGTTGAAATAGAAATGAAGGTTTTCATTCAGATTACAAAAACTATAATAATTCTATGTTAATTTTGTTATAATGAATCAATATGCCATGTAACGGACACGAGGTGACAAAGTTATTGTCCGATGTAGGGAGATGTTTGTGTTTAACGGATACTTCCACACCTTTTGCAGATCTTTTAAATCTAAATCTTTTCCTTGTTCCTAGAAAGCGTGTCTACCAATCTTTGAAATGAACGTGTCTACCAATTACAAACCAATCTTTGAAAACACTAACAATTTTCACATCCCTTGCGACAAGACAATCAAATATCCAACAGTCAGGGTCCAGAAAAGAATCATTTCTTCCACAGCAACACAAGACAACGCGTACAACAGGGCCGTTTTCAATGCCTCGCAGTGCTTAAATGTGCGACTGCCACTTTCAGTACACCTTGAAACACGAGAAAGCTGCCAAACATCTTAAAATATTTCGGAAAAGTGTTTCCCGTGATTGCAAAAAAAGGGAGATGGGCCAGCCTACTGGGAAATTGAGACTTGACCAACTGGTGTATAGCCAGATCATGAAAAGTACTGTTTATCGTCTGTTACAAAGGGGTTCGATGTCGTATAGGCAGAGCTTGCCTGATGATCGCTAGATGATCGCATTAGGCGCGAAACTCGGACTAGCAACTTAGAGCCGTCCTGTCCTATACACTAAAAGCGTAACCAGACCATGGAATAAACAAAGAAATAACACTCAGTATACCAAGCTCATCGGCTACAATGGAGATTTGATCCAGTGCCGACAGTGTTTAGATTTCGCATCCCCCTTCATTTCAGGTGAATGTTGATGTCTCGACTATCAAACTACAGAGATCGGCATGAACTAAGTTTTGAAAAAAGATTCAATTCATATGACAAAAACTTGTATACCTTAGCAATAATGAAAATTACTATTATACAAGTCTGTTACAAAAGGCTCGAGACCGAATAGGCACAGCTGTACACGCTTTGGTGTATAGAACAGTACGGTTTTAAGTTGCTACTCCGAGTTTCATGCTTAATGAGACCATCAGGGAACTGGGGTATCCGACAGGAAGGCTACTATCAGCATCCTATTCTGTCGGTTTTAATTGACTCCTCAGTCACTGAAATAGAAATATAAGATACAACTGCAGTGACAAGAATTTGCTTTCAGGTTCACCAAACAATGACCCGAAATTTAATCCACATGAATAACAACCTACCAATATGATCAAGCTCAGCCAGGTATTCGTCACCAAAATCTTTCCCTTCCTAGAAAAAACAATGCAAACTTGCCAAATCAGTGATTTAGTAAATAAATGATAAGGAATCGAGTAACGCCGAAGAAAAAATTAAATAATTAGCAGATGGAACAAGGGAAAGAAATAGAAATGAAGGTAAACAATTGAATAAGTCTCTATCAGTAGCGGAATCTTCTTCAGGGAAAAATTTTACTTACTTTATCGGCCATTTCTTCGTTTAAAATTTGTCCACTGTATGTGCAGATGAAGGTTCCTCTTGGAATATCGTCAAGACATCGTAGGCCCCAACCTCTATGAATTTAAACGCAACATTAATAAGCATTCGAAATTGTTAAGTAAAACTATTATTTATTCATTCTGTTGATTTTTCGTAATCAGTAACGTTTCGATTTCTCTTCTAAATTCTCGGCAACGACTACTCTCTCAAACTTCCCGTTCCGAATTATCTTCTAAATCCTGCGTTACGATTTCTCTCGTAAATAACCCGTTCGATTTCTCTTCTAAATTCTCGGTTACGATTTCTTTCGTTATTTCTCCGTTTCGATTTCTCTGCTGAATTCTTGGCTACGATTTCTTTCGTAAAATATCCCTTACGGTTTCTCTGATAAGACTTTCTTTCGGTTTGTCATAGAAGATAAGAAGAGAAGAGAACTCTCTGTGCTCAAGATTCCTGCATTGGCAAATTGGCATCACTAGTTTGATGGACAGATTTGCCAACAAAAGTTGTATCATTAAAACGAAATTGACACGACGCCATCAACAAGCTTGTTGGCGTATTAATGCAAAAAGGGAGAGACAAGGGGAACAACTTCTATCTGGAAGATTGCTTGCTTTGTGTTTCATCTATTGGGTACTGGAAAAAGGGGTGTGGGGGATGGAAACATATCTAAAAACCGTTCTGGCTCTCGCTAATATGTAGCAGCCCAATTTCTAGAACAGTCCAATTAAAGAGTGTTATTGTTAACCATATGAAAATCTTTCATAAAAATTCAGATGTTTCTAGACCCAGTAAACGGGCAACTTTTTAAAGTTATCGGCCAGGCAAACTTAAAATGAATACCATCGCTAAATTCAATGCGATATGTATATATACAAAGACTGGTTGATAGCCAAAGGCTTGCTGCTAAATCTACCTCCGGGTTTTGCACCTGTTACAACATTCAAAAACCCATTAAATATTAGCAGGGCAGCTGCAAGTAAAGACTGTAAAAATCCAAAAAAAGGTCACATACACATTGAAACTAGATTTCCTCCAACTCCAATTTCAAGAAAATCTAAAGAATCGATGTTTTCTAACTTGTATATAAAGTAAGACATTTTCTCCGGGTCAAACTTAATACCATAAAATTTCTTTCATTTTGAAGCTAGATATAGTTAATAATAGAACCCAATAGAAGTTCCTATGAATTTTTCGACAAGCTGAATAAAAACATTGTGTTTAGATCTTTGAAAAAAGTCAGTTTAAAAATTGCTTTTGTCGCTGCCATTTTCCAGACACTTTCAAAATACGACAATGTTATGTAAATATGATTCAAACACGTTCATTTTCATTCAAGAAAATATCATACAATTCAACTGAGTCTGTAAAAGCTTTCCAATGTTTTTAATCCAAAGTTGTTTAGAGATCAGCTGAAATGTTATACGCTTATCGCTGCGAAAAACATAATTTCTACACTGGAACATCAACAGCTGCAGATTTCAAGACTGGTGTTTCGAAAGTTGCTAATATTTCATTTTCTGCCTTAAATTGTTAGGAAAAAATTATCCCGGTGAGCAAATTTACTCAGGCTCAATGATAAAATACGACTTAACGGATCATTACAGAATTTTAAGCCATTTTACCTAGACCAAATTTTATCCCATTTGACCTAAAACAAATGAATGTCTTTTCGTCCAGTATTTTAATCTTGGAGTGCTTAAGTGTTCCGTGCTATGTTACAGCTTTTTACGCTTTTTTGAAACTTTAGAGGATGAGCGACTGACTTGATAGAGTCCAAAGGGACAAACCTTTCAAAATAAAGTATTTTTTGCAAAAATAACGACCAAAGTTACTAAATTGTGTGTTTTCGCAATAGGAACCTGCAGGTCAGGGTACCATTAAAATGAAACTAATTTATCAAATATGATGTCAAATATTCAACAACCACGTCTGCATACACACTTCAAAATGACTCAGGCACTAAGCGTAACCATGATTAAAACGATCGCTTCAAGTTTCTTATTGATGTGGCACTTTTTTGTTCTCAATATTTCACTGTTAACAAGTCTAGATTAGATTGCCGTCTTGTGAATAATGCAATCTTCCTGGCAGTATATTTTGAAAGACTATTTTAAATAAATTTCAAAAATTTGTCTACGCTAGAATTGAATGGTAACTATTTTGACTTCACTGCTAACAAAATCATAAATCACCAGCAACAAAAACTGGCGATGTTCGGGAAGATTGGAAGATTAACTTTTTGCTAACTACAAACAGAAGCTCATCCTACACCTTAGATATGGCAAGTGACATCATCTTAAGATGTTCAATACTGGTCAGTGAATCCTTTTCGGGTAGTTACGATCGTTAATCTTTCATATAACTTTATTATGACTTTTATTTTTCTTAATAAATGAACCTTTGCGATTTCAAATCCAAGATAGGTAACCTGTAATTTTGTAAACTTGCTGGCGTCATCAGACATCAAATTCCTCCTTCAAATTTGCGTTTAATTTTATTTCTGATACTTCCCCATTTCGGGTATCAAAAATCATTTTTGAAAGGCTTTTTTCTACTTATCAATTGATAAATAAACCATTTATTCATAATCAAGACCGTTACTGTCTTACTTGTCTTCCGTCATGAAAACTTGCAATCTGACACCAATTCCATTTTGAACGACTTTGTTGTAACATGTTGCCGAGCACGAGCAGTTCCTGCCGCATTCGTAAATCCTGAAAAGTCAAAGAATGTAAGTAATGTAAGTAAAAGTTTGCAAGACTTCACAATAACAAAAATTCCAACGTTTTAAGACAATAATGAATGCCTTTGTAAAACTACTGGAAACAAGCTGGCACGAAAAGTAGTTTTACTTCACCATTTCATTCAATGTTGATTGAAATTAGAGGGTGACAGGGGGTGCTTCAGTGGTTAATCAGAAAATAGCAAGGTACAAGAATCAGGAGGAGTAGAAGTAGAGTGAGAAATTGGGGTAAATAAGAGCGGAGGGATAAGAAATGAAAGAGAAATGAGAAAATGGAAAAGGAGAAAGAAAAATAAGATCGGAAAAAGAGGGGTAAAGAACAGGGGTAGTGTACCCAGATAAACAAGCAAGGAGAAGTGAGAAAGTGGGGGGGGGGGGGGGGGGTGGAAACGAAATGGTGAAAATTAAAAGTAACAATACCTATGGAGAATTGACTACATTACATTGAAATGAGGTATAGGGACTATGTTGATACAAGTTACATCTACAAATACAATTTTGAATGTTGCTTTTGTTACATTCAAAGGAGTGATCAGGCTTTTAACTCTTAAAATGCACACTTTAGAAAAAAGACATCGATCGCGCTTTAAAATTCAACAGAATTACTCTATATGGCGGAGAAAAGAATTACTTCAGCCTAAAAAATGTTACCTGGACAAGTTGACCAAGCAAGGATTTTAATGCTATCTCCAAACATGGTGGAGTTTTCTATTACCGTAACGCCTCGAATAGGCACCCGGGCGCTTATTTAATTTTTGAGACTCCAGGGTGGGCGCTTATTCGAGGGAGGCGCTTAATCGAGGGGGACGCTTATTTAAAAAGTAGAGTTGGGTGCAAATTGTATTGTTCAGTAATCTTTCTGGTTGAAATGCCTTTCAATTATATTTCGTTGAAAATTCGAATAAGCACCCGTTTCTGAAGGTTGAAGGGTGGGCGCTCATTCGAGGGTGGGCTCTTATTTGAGAGGGGCGCTTGTTCGAGACATTACGGTACATAAGCATAATACATAAGCATTACGGAATTGCATAAGATCTTGGTGTTACTGTTCGAGGTTTTACTGTTACTCTTACCCAGTAGTGACACCCTCTCTGAGCCGGCGATACTGATAGCCACAATGTTCGTCTTTCTTGCCATTGATTGCGTCACTGGAATCGATTGTTAGCCGTGCACATGCGCATTTAGTGCGGTCCTAGGAGACAAGAAATCTTCCACATAATAGAAGCATTAAACTGTGGTTATTAAAATCAATAAGCCATCAAGGTAGTGTTTTCATTTATGTCCTGTACGATCCTTCTTTATCAAATAAGGGAATTATGTTTACAACTATGATTCGAGCTATGATCGAAGCATTTAACCTTTTGGTAACCTTTTAAGAATCTTTTGGTAAACAATGTATTTTTTATTGGAATCTTTTGGGTCTGTCTATAACAAAACAACAATCAAGATTTTGGCAAAGCTGAGTTCGTTTGCTCACTCAAACTCCTAAACTATGCGAGGAGGTAGCGGGGACTGATTGGTCGAAAGAAAGAGCCAATCAAACGCGCTAAAGCAAGGGGGATGTCACACTAATCATGCCCCTCAAAGCGATGGACCTGGTTAGCCACTCCTCGGGTGTAAAGTGATCAAAAATATTTGTGACATCTCCAGTTTTTCATGGTGCCTACAAATTTCCTAATTCAGCTCCGGCAGAATGAGTGGGGGTGATCATCTGCAGTTTGGATTTCGAAAAGGTCATCATTTAAGAAGGTCATGAAAAATGATCTGCCAGCATCTTTGAAAATGTACCTGACAGTTATCTTGGCAGTCACACGAGGCTAAGAAACCAGAATCGTGATTCATATCGATACCGAGGCCGATAATCCGCTCGCTAATGTACTCCACATTTGGCGGCAACTCGTCATTGCGTTCGTTTACACATGAAATTGGAATCTTTTCCATTCCGTTTGAAATATCATCGATTTTCAAGCGAGGTGTCTGCAAGATACACAAAGCGTGATCAAAAAAGAGATCACTCGAATGAATAAAGACCTAAACAAGAAGATGCAAATTTCTATATGGTCAAATCTTTAAATTATATTATTCTACTTCACTACTTTCTTAAGAATGCACAATTCTTGCCAAAAATAACTGGAACGCCTTCCCATTGCAGCATGCAAATAAACAAAGCAAGTCTAAAACTACTTTACCAAAATATCACTGCCGCTTCAAAACTTTCGACCCCCTCCCCCCGTACAATGTTGATTTCAGTACTTTCATACAGCTTTCAGTGAAGAAATTTTTACCTTCAGGATCAAAACAGCCCAATCAGAACAGGGGTAGGGGGGATTTTTCAAAAAAGCTTCAGCTTTGCACAAGTGTTCCAACAATTTTGGCAAGGATTGCAGCTTCCATAAGATCACTAACTAAAGCATGAAGCTAATGAACATGCCAGATTTCAAATGTCGGCGACAGTTACATATTTTCGTGTGTCTGCATCATGTTTTATCTGACATTGCAACTCCTTATGTCAGCGGTAAATTCTGAATATGCGCGCTGTCAGCAGATCATATCATCGAATCATCGAACTTTGATAATATTGTTTCGACAATATTATCAGTAATCTTTCTATACTATGGTAATGTTGTCAAAATGTAATGTTTCTATTGTAGGCTTCCCGAAAGCAACGAAGATATTTTGAAACAAGCGAACAGAGAAAATCACAGTTGCTTTTTCATCATGCAAACATTAACTTTGATATTGAAGGCAAAACTATAACTTGCCGATGTTTTTCTTTTCTAACAAGCATAGCGTCCTAAAAACAGCCGTAGTATTACCCTCTTTCCAATATTGCCGCTTTATGGGGAGTGAGCACCGCTATCCACCTCAACAGCAATACCCGAAATGGTTGCCAGACCTATAGCTAGCTGCTTAGGTTAGAAAAAGCGGTTGTTCCGAAAATGGTGAAAAAGACACCCACTGCATAAAACCAAGAACTTTGTACTAGTCAGATATTCAAGAGAGGTAAGCAAAACAAATCTTGTTCTTCGCTTTTAATATCTTATAATGAAAAAGGCGTTTTCCCCCATATGAGAAGTGGGCTTAAACAAGAGACCTTTCATACATGAAGTAAGAACTTTATGTATGTCTGATACTCCATGTAGGTAAGCGAAATGCATCAAATTCGCTATATATAGTTCAGACAGCCTTTTTTTAAGTGAGAAGGTCAAATTAGAAGTTGCCTATCTCTTCTTTCAGCAAATCATCAGATTATATCAACGGTGTGCTTCTGCGTGCATTGCACGTGTATTAGGTTGCAAGATCGAAAAGTGTTAAAGCAAACCAGCTCTTTCATGGACTAAAAAGTAAATCAACGCAGATGCCAAAATGAAAAAGACTACCTCTCGCTTAAAAATAGGCAGGTGCTGGCATGAAAAAGCACGCAATACGAAATAATGCATTAACTATCAGTGATAAAAAAGGCTCTGTGCAGCCAGAATTTCGTCTCACTCAACATGAGGTCGAAAAAACAGTTGAAATAAAGGCAATCTGCTCTTGTCTTGCAGCGAATTTGGAAATATGCAGCGGCAGCAAGCGTTATCTCGATTAATTTGTACGACGTTTTGAGATCAAAATCAGGTTTTCGTATTATGATAAACCAACAACACCAAAGAATTAAATGTTTGAGAATCCATAAGCCAAAGAAATTTGCTATTTTTGCCCTGTATTTTTTAGATAAACTTTTTCTATAAAGGTGTTTTAGGTGAAGACAGGAAACGATGTTAAGACAGTCTTTAAACGGTTTGAACATGAAAGGAGCAATGAAGCAAGATATGTGCGTTCTTCAAGCACCTACAATATGAAGTTACGGTGCTGCCCATTGTTTGTATTCATGATATTCAATAGCATTAATGAGCTTTCCACAATAAAGATAAACATCAGAGGGAAAGAAAGCTGTTCTGTTTTGAGAGTATGTTCTGGCAGGGGCGGATTCCCCGGGTGGCTCGGTGGCGATCTTCATAAGGAGAATTTTTTTGAATTTATGCATAAATCCATAACTATACGCTTAAACATTGCTGATTGGAAACCATTGCAATCCCGCCTAAGTCCTCTGGAACTGATTGAAGTTATGTAAATTAATATCAACTTTATTAGACCACATCTATTTAAGGCGTTGTCACGCCCTTTGGGCCCTTTCAGAGCCACAAAGCCACCCCGGAAGTACAGTTCCGGTCCGCCCTTGTGTTCTGGTTCGACTATCTACAAAACGCTCTCAAATTTCACTTCTGAAGTATCCTATAGTGGTGATTTTGTTGTAGCACAATGTTCATGCTATTAGTTAAGCTACAATCTCATCCAGACATTCAAAAAAATACTGCAAGCAACTTTAGATTCTTTCCTCTTGATAAATCAATTTCCTACGTTTTCAATTTCATACTACAGCATGCATCAAAAAAGGTAAAGTTCCTTGCTTTGAAAAGTTAAGTCCAATAATTTGACTGCTTGATAATTGAATTTTTTCTGGATTCGAGCAAAACTAATTCACAACTACTCTTTACTTTACAATAAAATTACGAAGCGATGACGTCAAAAACTATGTTTCACTTTTTTTTTAATTTTGACTTTAAAAACCTGAAGCATCGCGAAATACCTCTAAATTTGCGAATCGAATTCATTAATTGTTAGCTATAGGTTCCCATTTTAGAAAACAAAAAGAGAGTTATGCGACCCGAGCAAAAAAATGGTTCGTTTAGTTTGCCTCCTCTACACAGATGCGTAAACACGAAAATGCAAAAAACAGTTTTAGCTTTGGAATGTTGTTTCTTCAGCTTTTTTAACACCAAAACGTAAATCTTTTTGAAAACAGCAACTTTCAATAATTGACACTTTTGAGAATGGTTGTTATACCTTATGCATCCAAAAAAGAAACGCGAACAACTTAACGAAACTGAAGAAAGGTTCAAGTCAAGTCAGTTAGGAGGAAATTAAAGGATACCTACTTTGAAAATAGGTATTTGGTCTCTACAGGAAATCGAGGCATCAAACGAAAACTCATCTATTGTGACATTCGTAGCCTTGGTCTGAAGCACTACGAGTAAAGGGAAGACTTCATTTTCATACATAGCTATAATGATTAGGAAAATCACTGTTTTACCTGTCTGTCATGATGTCGTATGGGCAGAGCTGTACATGCCTTGGCGTATGAAATAGGACGGTTCTAAGTTACATGTATATATATAAACTAACAACAGAGAAATGTTCTTTTTTCATTCACAAGTTGATGACGGAGGTAGCAGTTCTTTGGTGTAAACAAAAAAAATTATCATCAATGGTGATGTTGAATGGTAAGGCGTTATGCCACGTGACTGCTAGCTGAAATCTGATTGGTCAATTAAGTCAGTCTATCAAAAAAGAACTTGCAACAATGGCAACCATAACAAGAAACGTGAAAACAGCTATCAATTTAAATATCATATTATTTGATATCATTTTAATTCGACCAAAATAAAATAGCATAAAAATTCACTTACAATATTTTGTAACTTCTGAAAGGTTACGCTACAAAAGATAAAAAACCATTAAAAATAACAAATTACGAGTTAATTATTTGATACAGCGTAATTTCAAATAAAGCATCGCAAAATGCAATACAGTTATGCTTTCCTTATATTCTTTGAAAAGCTACATTAATCTTGTTTTCGCAGAGATATGATGGTTCGGAGAAGGAGGAAGAGGAAAGGAAAAGCCATGAAAGAACAGATTTTTAATGTTAGCGATTACATGTGGCTGGTGTCAAGGAATAAGAAGTGGATACATAGAACAGGATTCTTAGTCAAAATCCCCTGTCCAAGGTTCAACGATTTCAGTTTTCGTTCATCCTTAATCAATACGTAGAAATCGCTTTGTTCGGTAACAGAATGGTGCTTTTTTCATACAATCCATGGTTAGAATATGCTGTCTTCGCACCACCAGCAAAGTAAATATAAAATATTTCCCGCGCCATTATAGAAAGAAAATATCTTACAGATAAAAAAGGAGACCCAAAGAATACCCCAACAAACCAATAACGAGAAACTTAAAGAAACAGCAGGTCACCGCAATATAAATCGAGACACCCATCTTCTCTTTTACAGAACTGCCATAATGTACCACATAATATACTTACAAGTCTCTTACTGCAAGGAGCGCGGTAATAAATGTCCCTGTGATAGCCAGGTCGCCTTTTTGCTGTTTCCCTGTAGATAAAACAAGTCATTATCAAAAACTCAGTGCAAAGACCTATTATACCATGATTGCCCCATCTTTACCGATGAGGTGTAAGGATGACTAAATGGTTTTGGTCAATTGGGTTAATTCATCCTCGCAGAAGAGTCGCATGAAAAGTACTTTAATTTAGTTCTTAATGTTATCATGTTTTCTGCAAACTTCGACTTTATTACAAAGATATCAGCGGTTGCGAGAAACGACGCACTCGATGCGAGCGTACCTGCTTTACAAAATAACGAGCAACTGACAGGAAACAAACAAAACTCAATACCAATAAATCTAACTGAAATAAGGAAACTTAGGGGCGCACGTAAACAAGATAAGGCAAAATATAAGTGAAACAATTTTAGTATGCTACCCAAAAGAAATGTTATAATGAAAATCAGTGTAATCATATACAGAGGGCTGTAGCTATTTTCAAACAAAATATTTCTTGAACTGCAAGCAGAGCGTGAATGCAGTCAAGGCTTGATTAAATGTTTTTGTAGGTTTGGATCAAAATGTTTCAGTGTTTTCATTTCGAGTTCACGAGGTCTGAAGATAATCAAAGTTATTGTACTACTTGCACTTTGAAGCCGTTTTGCAATCGAAGTTGAGACTATTTGAGCTCTACAGCAACAACTGAAAGAGCGCCGTGAAGACGTCACGAATACATTCTACGACTATGAATTGAGAAACAATCCCTCCACAGTTGCTTAAATGTTGTTTTAAATAACATCAACTGTAATGGATAAAAATATCTTACAGATAAAAGAGGAGACCCAAAGGATACCCCAACAAACCAAGACGAGAAAGCAAAAGAAACACTTTCCTGTATATAAAAAACAAAACCAATGACGCACCGCCACCCCCTCTCCCCCAAAACAATGTAAGTTATAAAGTTAAATACCATAGCTATCTGAAATGAATCCACTGGACTACACCGCTCCTCCTAACTTCGCATGAACAAATATTGTTCAATGGGGGAGACGGGAATGCAGTATAAAATATTAAAAAATGTGGTGTACCCCAAGACTTTTGGCAATCATTATAGCTCAATGTGTGCTATCACATTGCTTTCAAGCTCATCTTTGGTTCACCAACAACTAGACAAAATTCTGAATTAACACATTTAAAATTATGTCAGTGATGCATACACCATAATCTCCACATATTTTCATATCGACATTGTTATCGACAAGTGCAGGATGTCGTAAATAAAGAACAGTAGAAACTTTGCTTTAGAGAACAGGGCCATTCTAAGTTGCAACTCTAAGCTTCATGCTTGAAGCGAACGTCATGCTACAGTCTGCTTTCATAATGATTTTGTAATCAAAACATTACCCGATACCTTACCTAGTCCACCCAAGCAACAAAGGGACCGAAAGTGGATTGTGTCTTTTTCTCTCGCTTTGCGGAAGATAGACTTCAGGAATACACTTTGTTGAGCACTGATGGGGTCCTACGAAACATTATTGTTCAGACTAAGTCCTGTGGGAAAGTTGCGAGATGATAGGTAATAATATTGAAAATAATAACCATGATTGTGATAGAAGTTGTTAATTCAGTAATAGAATAATTTTCACACGCAATGACGCAAACATAGCAGTTGTCAGTTACGATTTTCTACGTAACCGCAAACACATAACGGAGGCGATGAAGAAATGTTCTTCCTTGGAATTAAATGCGAAACAAGTAATCCATGATATGTCCTACAATCACTGCCAAAAGTACTTGGAACACCCAACACTTTGCGCTGTACTTTTCTATTTTTCATTTGTTTTCATGAATACTACCACTTCTGCCCCCCTTTCCGCCCAAAACAATGTTGAAAGTATAAAAAAATATCAAACAATCCACAAGAAAAAGCGTACTCCATAACCCCTTTCTTTTTTCTATAGTAAATCGACATTGTTCCTAGGGGGAGAGGGGGATGGCTGAATTTGCCTTTGAAAACCTACGTTAGTGTTCTAAGACTTTTGGCAGTGATTGTACGTTAATATGCGTCAACCCTCCATGCAAATTCATCTCCCACAAGTATGACGCATGCTAAATATGCATACCTCGTATCTTAGGAAAGGATTGCGTTAAGTTGATAAGAGCCACCATATGTGTCGACGTCGTCGGGCTTTGTGTTGCTCCGATGTGTCCCACGATTGGCACAAGGACCTTCGTTGCTTGTCCAGCACTGCTTTGAGCTAACTTCAAATACTGCATTTGTTGCTGTGGCGGGCGGGGAAGGATCATGCGCTGTCTCGTGACTGACGCAAAAGGCTGCAACAATTTTTCTTGGCTGGAACTTCTTCGCTTCGCTATAAGCTGGGCATCAACACTTCGCTGTAAAATACAAATAATTCGTAAAAGAGAATAATACCCAATAAAAGATGCTTCAAGGATAATTCTGTATGGAGTAATATACAAGTCCTAGAATTGCCTGAAAATAAGAATATTTCCTTTACGAAACATTGGAACGAAGACATTTTCCCCTTCATGGTCAACCTTGTAAGGAAAGCTTTGGAAAATTGGAAGTGCTGAAAACACGTAAAAACTCTGCAATCTCTTAAGAGTTAGGATCGCCGGATGATCAATTTAACATATCAAAAAATAGTATAATGGCTAGTGGCAGAAGAGAGGCACCAGGGGTCTTTGGGGGAAAACAGAGACGAATCCCTATTCGCAGACTGCAAGGGGGTCCCATTCAAGGGGATGGTGTAGAGCATTTCAACACAATAACAAGATAAGAAAATGATACTTTTCTCGTTAACTAGGGGGGTTGGGGTCAGCGTTAATGCTTCAGGTAAGGAACTTTAAGAACTTCGGTAATAAGGTGAACTTGGGCAAACTCTGGATATCTTTGGGGGTCTCTTTTGATCGCGAGACCTTATAAATCGAATTAAGTTGCCCTAAAATGTGTTACGTCACTGATAATGGCCCCAAAATCTTGCATGACTCAGGTTTGCAGTTAAGCCTAATTGTAGCGCCTTTTTGATGCACCAACGGCGACCTATTAATGTGACCGCCATACTTAGGCGACCTTGTAATGGGAACGCCTTTTGAATGCACCAACGAAACAATTTCAAAACGGCAGAGAGGCATTTCTATCATTGAAACTCAACAAAGGGTGATATTTATAATCGTTGAAAGATCATTCCTGGCATTAAATGTTTCGACACCAATCTAGTACACGCGAGAACAGGAAACGAATGTTCCAGTGATTTCCACCATTCTAAAGTCTTTCAGAAAAGCATGCATTTACCTCAGGAGAGCTGAACAACTGTGCCATACTTTTGCTTCTCGTCACTGGAACCGAAGGCGATCCATTCCCGCTAAAATTAACACGAGTTTCAGACCCCAAAGCACCGCTTGAACTGTGTCTTACAAATCCTGTCCCAAGTGATTTGGAATTCAATGATTCTGATTGAAGGGACTGGCTGCTTAGCTGTCTTTCAAAACGACCTTGGTTACTGTTTCGTAGCAACAATTGGCTGTCGGATGCGGTTGATTCGATAGAGCTTTGGCTGGAGTGTCGTTGGAAGGTTTTCGCAGTGCCTTGTCGTGGATTCTTAGGTGACGGTAAGTTGATCATGGCTGCGTAACAAAAGAGATAAAATTGAATGAAATGAAGTCAAAATACACAACTAACAATTTCTACAAGTAAAAGAGGTTAAAGTGGAAGTAAAAACAGGTCCGGTTGAAAAACATATATGTATGAACCTTTAACCTGTATAAATATTATAAAATGAATGAAATGAAATGAAGAAGTTCACGAGACCAGAAATTGGTATATTCATGCTTTTAAACCACTGTTTTTGTCTCTATTTCTTTAAAAAAAGTGTGTTTAGTTCTTAAGGATTATGACGTCATTTTGGTGTAAAATTATCATTATGTGTTTCCAATCTTTTACACAAATACCATAACACCACACCTTCATCCAAAAAAATCAGAAATTTTCTCACACTTTAAATAAATATTATCTTTTTTATCGTTGTTCATCGCATTTTCTACAAAATATAGTAAATCATTTTAAACAACGTTCTGTGAACAAATAAGCAGATTATTATGTTTATAAAAACTCTGTTCATAAAAAACTCTTTATGCGTGACAACTGAAAAAACTGTGGCTCCCCTTTATTAGTCTGATATCTCATATTCTACTATTCATTCCACCTTTTGAGAGAAATGATATTACGAAGCAAATCTTTGTGTATAACATAGAGAAATTATCAATGTATAGTGACCTACAAACGGCATAATGTAAATGGTACAATCAACTAAATGTTGGTAGCGAACAGAGCTCTCAGCCAATCAAAGATTTGACCGCCATGCTATCGAACCATTACAAATTTTCCACTAACCACCAATTATGGGAAACCTATGAATTCTTGCACTTTCTTCTGCATAGACGAACTTGAAAAAAAAGCCCTTTGGCATTAACGCCCACCAATAACCCACCAGGTGAAGGGAGATTCCATATTTAGACTGACGGTGTGTGCCGTGTAATAAGTTATCCATTAACGATTTTGTGTCCAACGAATTGACAATTTTGAGAAAGGAATACTAACATTTTCTCAATAGAGCTTTCTATATTTTTGTCAGAAAAGCAACGTGAAACTCAATAATAAAACGGCTCAACCGCCAAAGGTGGGGCCTTCCTTAGAACCTTTTTTGGCAGGGAGTTCTTTTGAATATATGAGGTTTTCAGCGCTTAACATGAGCTATGCTGGGTTGATTGAAGATGATATCAGCTCTGTTCTAATAGAATACCTTCAATAAAATATATTTTAAAAATAACGCTGCTTTCAGACTAGCTGCAGCAGCGTCCCATACAAATTCCTAACTCTTCCAATCAACTTGTTTGCATTTTCTTTGGTTATTCTAGATGAAAAATCAATTCAGTAGCTTTTTGCTATTTTGTGAAAGCGATGGATTTAAGTGCTCCAATGCCTATTTGAAATACTCAAAGATTGAAACCTCACATTCTAAAGTCTTATTTGCTTTAATGAAACAACCACAAAGCTTTTTCCTTCCCTCTAAATCACTTTTTTCGCCCAGATAAGTTTATGGCCCCAATAGTTTGAGACAAAATCGTTCACACACTCTCACAAAGTCAACCATACCATGGAAGTCAACGTCAATTACAAAGTCTTATCGTGTCATGGACCTGGGGGTGGTAATTAAAAAGCAACCAACAATTTTTCTATGTTGCATTCATCTAGTGGTTATCGATAGTGTCCAGTAATTAAACTGGAAAAATGGAAAACTACAACACCTAAAATCGTGGTTGTCATGGAAACAAATTCGGTAACAGGGTTCTTTTTTACGATGAGATTGTTACATTAGATGTTTGAATAAGATTAAATCTGCAGAAATAAACAGTGTATTTGGCTATTGAAAGCTAATTGTACAGGTTGGCGTGTAAATACAACTGAAGTTCTCACCAACACATACAACATTCATCCAGGTGTCCTTCATTCCAATTTGGTTATTTCACGATGATTACTTTATATCAGAGTTATATTTCAGATATAAGCCGTTATTAACTGCTACAGATGCAGAACGAGACGACAAAAATGGACAATTGTTGATTTTGCTTATAGTATTCATGGTAATTATCAGTTCACTAACATTTCAATGAGCAATAACGGAATGTAAACAAATGGCATAGGTATCTATTGCAAAATTATATTTTCGAAGAATTCTAAGTGCAGAATTTGAATTAGTAACTAAAAACCAACAAGGTATTTAAAGATGATGCGAACTAATAAGTGCATGGTCAAAACTGCAAGGAATTCCATTTTGTAAAGAGGGAAAATTGGTCGCTTTAGAGTGATGGTCTTTTCAAACAAAAGGGGTTTAGTTGCTGTGAAATGGCCAAGAAGTACTTGTTTTGTCAATTTGTTAACTTCAATTGCCCTGGAACAAAGTAATAAATCAACTTTTTGGACGCTATGTCATGAAGAGCTCGTTTGAGAAGAAGGCCGTTTTACGTGTGTGGTCGTTAAAGCTACTTTATCTGGTCAATTCAGTCTAAGAGAAGTGGTCGTCTAAGATAATAATCTTTGTGACCGAGATTTTCATGTCTGAGAGAGGTTGTTGCAGTATAATGATAAGAAGAGATTTGGATTCCAGATTTAGAGCTTCCGTGTTCGATTAAGGAACAAATGACGAAGCAGCCTCTGATACACATGAAATTCAACTTATTTGATACATGACAAAGTGTATTCACTTCAGGCAGAGTGATGGGGAGGGGGTTTAAGATGAAGCGTAGTTCTATAAAAGTACTTGCTGCCTTGGCAACCAAACAAATAATTGAAATTGAGTAATAACAATACAAGGACAAGCACTGGCCTAAAACAGCCGGTATGATAAATGGCGGAAAATTACCTAAACTCAAACCTAGACCCAATGAAGAAGTGTTTATGGAGGATCAACGATAAGATACATAGTGCAAATCAAATGAAACTTACACCCAATGACTATCAGACTATCTTTGTTATCTTGCCAAGCTTAAGAATATCAGCAACATAAGATTTGATGTAATACGAAAGTTTATGATTTTACAAATGTGACGTCATTTTAAGTCCCAGTCTCCGTGCAGAGATTGGCTTCAACTAGCAAAAAAACCCAAAGTGCTTTGTGTTTACTGGCATGTTAGTGCTCCATACATGCGAAAATACTGCCAGTTTAGGAAGACTGTTAATGAAATTGTGGAGATTGAAGGAGTCAACATTTTCACTTAAAGGGTACGTAAAAATACTGAAAAATTGAGAGGGTAGGCGAAACTTATCGTTTGGAAGGAATGCTTGATTGATGATTTGACTTGACAGTACCTATTGATAAGAAACTTTAGCCCTGATGATGAAAGGTCTCGGTTAATAAGTAAATTTTGGAAAAAGCGGCTTTTATATGCGGCTACTTACTGTAGCGGATACAATTTACCACCATGAATGGAACGATGCAATTTTGTAAGCAAACACAAATTAGAAAAGTGACAAGTTTTGTGAAAGGCAAAGGTGTCAATTCACTTCAATTTAAGAGAGGATTTTCGCCGACGAGGAGCCAATTTTATAACAATAACATTGGAACATAAAATCGCAAAAACCATATCGCAAAAATGGTGCTTCCAAAAGGCAACGAAACAGCTACAAGGGGAAAGGGGAAGTCAATCAAATTATGAAGTTCAAATCACCAGCATACGAATAGATGTAATCTGAAATAATGGGGCACCCGTATTTGTCAGCTAAAATGAACACAACAGGTAGAGCATATGCTGTACAAAAAGTTTGTATGAATTAGTTATAAAATTATTCTAGCTAACAATTGTGCATTGTGTTACGATTGGCAATTAACTAGAAAACAAAAGTCCGTCATCGTAGTAGTACATAGATAAACGGAAATTTTTTATACAAAGTTTTCTTGAGTATGGTGGCTTTCGTCTATTCGGCATTTTAAATCTTGTATCTTCCAGGTGAGTATTGTCTTGATCATTCTTGAACTGTCATCTTTTCTTTGCAAAGAATTGATTATGAAAACACACAGTAGTAGGAAATGACTCTTGCATTTTGTGATAATCTTCAATACCAACACCAATATGGTCTTCCCATCGTATCTGGTTTTCATTTGCAAAACATTTGTTCAATTCTAATTCGTGTGCCATATTTCCGATGCTACTTTCCAACTTGCATTCATCTCAATATCTGGCACACAGCCGATACTTGGGTCGACGTACCAACTTGCTCCAATACTTGCACAACAGCATTCAACAACAATGCAACACATTTGCAACGTTCTTCAAGAATCTTGAGTTATCATTTCATGCTTCGCATAACATGCTTCTGTATAAATTCTGTGTTTCTGGAGATGTTTCCCTTCAGTAGAATAAGGCAACTCGACGTGAACTTTCACATTGGTGTGGTTCAAAGTGCAAATTATTTGTGCAACTGATTACTAGGTGATGTGAGCATGCGCGCAAGTGCTTAATATAGTTTCGCGCTCCTTGTACAACTTGGAAATGGAAACAAAGAAAAATAGCGATAGAACGTTAATATTAACAAGAAATAATAGAAGGCTATGATATGATTGATTGACAGGAATTGAAGCCCAAAGAAAGTTAAATGTAGCAAGTGCAAGTATTTCATTACTGCTTGAAACAAAGGGTGGCAAAAATTGACACTTCTCAGAGAATAAAAAGTCATTCTATTGTCAGGTGCTGATCGAACGTAAGACGCAGGAGGAATAATGACACATTTGATTGGTGCCTTGCTTGCGATCTTTGACGACATCAAACTGCTTACATATTTGAAAGGCAGTGTGTCGCGCTGTTCATTTTGTTGAAATTCGAGGGTCCTCGAAATTAGAGAAGCGTGACAAATTAGAACAACTCATCCTTAGCATCATTAAGCGTCCTTTGTTGCGAAATGAAAACTAACTGAAATAGAAATTTTGTTCTTTGTTTCGATAAACCAATGAACGGCGCGACGTACTACCTTGAATATATCAATAGGTAAAACAAACTCTTTCTGTCTATACAAGAAGTTATTGTGTGCTTTAAAGAAGAAATATTCCAAAACGACAGACAACCCTTCAAGCATCACTATGTTTTGCGCACTATTTATTCTGGATTCATATGATTCTGAAATCATATGTTGACGTATGGTCGAATCATCTTTAATTGGACATGCTGTCTTATCTAGTACGAGTAAGGGTGAGAAAATAGACCTATTACAGAAACTTATGTTTCAAATTTCTGTATATTATGGTTCACAAGCATCCAAAAATTTTTTGGTTGTTTTTTGCGATCCGATGTATCAGTATTTGAGTAGGATCACAAAACCTCTTTACTTGTTTTAAAACGTTATTGTAAATTCTCTTAGGCGGTATTTTGACCTTAGACTAAAACATATCTTCAAACAGAAGAGACAACCTTGCGAGAGTTATGCATAGCCTCTAGAATATCTGAAAGCTCAAACTGTTGCAGATAGTGTGATAGATACGGTTAAAAAATAACGGTAAAACGGTGATTTGAAAACAGAGAGAAAATCACTGTAACAGAAACAAAGCCCAGCCTCTCAACACGTAAGATAGAAGATAAGCAGAGGACAGGCAGTCCGCCAGATTCTGTGACACTCGCAATGAATAATTTGAAATGGGGCCGAAATATAAGTTTGGCCTCTAATTTATTTTAAAATCCGATTTCACAACAAATTGGATTCTCGTCGTCGTTATGCATTGCCCCTGCCTATCACCTTTCACTTCTCAAGACCTTGTCACGTTCAATGACATAATTGTATGTAAAGGGCCTAAATTGACGACAACGAGGCAGGTACCATCTCTCCCCTTGGGAAAGACACCTTTAACACGGAAATGTCGACTCCTTCAACCTTAATATCAAACCAAATATCATTCATTATCTAAAATATCATATAATTATTTAAAATGAAGTGCAAAATAGCTATATAATTAGATTATTTTAATGTAGTCTATTAAAAATGAACAACAATAAAAATAGTATACGGAGTTTGAAACTCCCACAACAATGCTAAAACGAGTTTGTAAATGGACAGTTCTCAGACTTTTTGCTTGTGTCCCAGAGACAGGTTAAAACTTTTGCTAGGCCCATGCTTTCAAAAACATTTTTTGGTAATGCTCTGCGAATTTTCCAGGTCGGTAAAAGCATGAAATAAATAAATAAAACTTTTTAGATATGAAAAGTTTTCTTTTAGTGCATTTATATCCCGTCTAATTTTACTAACATGAAACAAATAACAAGTGACCTTTGAACTAATTACCCCAACCTCTGGCTGGATGAAATATTGGCCTATCACCTAAGCCCTTTGAACCTTTCTAGCGTTTGTTCTTGTTTTTGTATATCGTGATATCTTTCTCTAAGTAGGCCGCCCGAAGGGTCCTTGTGAGCGATGACTTTTCAGCATGTTGCTACACGTCAGGCTGACTTAAAAACCAAAACCTAAATTTTAAACCAAAACAAGAAAATAAATATAAAAATTCATTGAGCTGTTATTTACCATCACTGCCAGGGTTCCGATTACTCCCAGCTGCATTATCAGGGCTGTTTGCATCAACCGATGAAACAGACCCATGTTCAGACAAATTGTCCATTTTCCGCTTCTTAGATAAAGTCTGATTGTTTTTGCCTGAGTCAGATCCGACTTTCCCACCAGACGATGGACTACCACCTTCATTGTCTGCGGATACATACAGTGACTTCTCCTCTTGCTCCATGCTAGCGCTTGAAGACTGGAAGTCGAAAAGAAATAGTTATTCTATAAAAACTGCATTTTAACTAAAGCGCTATTTTAAAATCCACACAGAGCTGGAAAATCATACCTTTTTCAAATTTTGAAGGTAACTTTAATTTCGCATCAAAGCTGAAGGTTGCCAAACTAACTTATACTTTTTTATTTAGAGCCTAAATATACATTTTATTTTATAAATCAGATTCAAACATTCATTTAGTCTATTCAGCGAAAGATCAATTTCCAATGCCAAAGTCTTGAACAAGTAACAACAGATAGTCGGACACTTCCCCACAACGGACAGGAAACCTGGTCTCGCAAATGTATGTTAGATAGAAGCTTTATTGTACCGTTTGTTACATTAACAGCAAACATGACAATACAATGACAAGACACAAACTGACCAGGTAAACCAAACTGTTCTTCTAATCACTTTCATTGTGTATTTTATTGTTACTATTTCACTATATGACTTACTTTTTCTTCTACAGGACCCCACTCTTTTATCTGTTGGATTCCTGGAATAAATTAAGCATTTGCATGTTTACATGATCATGAAGCTCAAAATCGTTGCAAAGTGATGCAATGACCATTAGAAACAGCTGTGACCACAGGTTTAAGACAAGCGGGACCCCACATGCAATAAGAGTACCCTTTAACAACGTCATGTTGACAAAAGGGCAAAGGTCAAACAAAAAGCCAAAGGTGAAAGGTCAGTCAACAATATTTACAGCAAAAAGGCCAAAGGTCAGTGTACAGAAGAGCGTAGCAGCAATCGTATATACAGAGTTCAAAGGTTAAGCGACAATTATCTATCCAATTATTGGTGCAAGATGCAGACCTTGTGGATCGGTTTTGCTAAATCTTGAGATTCCAAAACAGGGTTTCGTTATTGCATCCTCCACGTACGGTTCCACTTTTTTCATATTCGATGCCACAGACTTCTTCTTTTTGCTTGACTTTTTGCCCTTGTTTTTCAGCGCTTCCAAATCACGTCGTCCCTTGAAACAATACAAAACCATCAATTGCATTTAACGAAAGACATTTTACATAATGAATCTAAGAACTACAATGCCTGGGAACAACGACGTCATTTTCCAAAGTCAAAATCAATCATCCCCCTCTCTCCCCCCCCCCCCCACAGAACAATGTTTGTTTACTATCAAATGGGCTAGGATTTTAGGAAGCACTTTCTTTTGCGCTTCTTTTATGATATTTCTCTAATTTATCATTATTGTCCTAGGGAAAGGGGGTGGATGTAGTAATTGTTTTTCCGAAAAAAAATGAAAGATATAAAATGCAATGCGAATTGCTGGGTGTTCCAAGTACATTTGGCAGGCATAGTACTTTATGTAGCACAAAATAGCGCTATCTTGTGAAGAATGGCGTATTTTTGGGAAGCAAAAAATAAGTAGATCAGAAAACTCACATATACACCAAAGCTCCTTTCAGTTTGTCAAATACTGCTTCAGAAAAAATCGTCTATGGAAGCTTGATAATATACAATATGTGGCCTACGAGTCATACATAGTGCCAATTCTGCAATTAATGTTTCAATAAAGGAAAAATTAAAATAAAAATGGTCTAAACTTACCAGTTCCGAATACAATGGTTCTAAACGAGTGGATCCGCGGTAAATCCATTCAGTTCTTTTGTCTACATCGAATAACATCTACAAGAGAATATCCATTTCCATTGACTCCAAAAACCAGGTTACATTTAAGCAACAGTTAGGAAACGTATCTCAATTACTTTGCATCCATAATAAATTTGCTGTCTCTTAATAAATGAGAGAACAAAAAAAAGACAGATTGCTATTGGTCATTTGGTTTGAGGCACGTGAAAACTAACGAGGCACGTGGGAATCGTTTATAAGAACTGATTCAAGCCTTCTGGTTAAAATCATGTGTCAAGAAAGGAAATTTTGGTGCGTAGGCAGAACATCACTTTTCTCGAAAAATTATGTGTCAAGACACGAAGGTTGTGGCATCAGCTCTTAGTCGAGCGCTAAATTATCTAGAAATACACACAGCTATGTTAAACATGGACCCTTAAATAAGGAGAGGAACGCGTAACCAGGAAAAGACGCTTTCATATACAAAATTTGCTAAATATCTACATACCTTGACGAGACTGCAGTCTACCGCCACTACTTTAGCTTGCAGCCTTAAAAAGAGCACAATGATGAATCAAAATGAACTCAAACAAATATGAAAAATTTACTATGATGGCAAACATGACGTTATATGGGCCTAAACGGTTAAAAATGGACCAATTGTCTTAACATAGATCTGTTAGGTCGGTTGACATAATAGCCATTAATAAGTGAAGTTCCTTTTAACAGAGTTCGTTTTAAATCTAGATAAATAGATCGGTAATCTAAAATAAAGAAAGAACCGAAGCATCAATTCATACCATTTGCCATTCCATTCCGTTTGTACACACAGTCCAGCTTTTAGCTTTAGCATAGGTCGCTATAAATTAATAACACCAACAATGATTAGCTGCGCCATACTGCATACAAAATCGTTGAAAAATTTTAAGGTTCAAATGAGGGATAAGAAAAGAGGAGCGAGAGGGAAATAGAAGAGAAAGGAAGGGCGGTTATAAAGCATTATGCTCACACGATGATGTTTCTGTTAAAAAACTGGTAAAAAATCAATATACATCTGTTAATTCTATTCAAAATTGGTAACATCATTCTCTAAGCTGTAATGTTAACCTCTTCACAACTCAGCTACTTACTATTCAAATAATTTTTCATCAAACATGGAAACATCTTGAACTGCACGAAGATTCATGATGACGACAAAGGAATTCAGAAGGAAAATCTTTTAAGTGAACATCACGATATTATCATTTCTATATAATTGCGCATGAGCTTTCAGTTGAAATACAACAAAGGCTGCCATCTTTCGGCAGTCTCCTTTGGAAGGAAATTCTAAATTTTAGGCTGGAGTTAACAAATGGAACTGCTTTTTTAAAAAAGCTAACCTCTGGAAACTCTTCTAAATATTCCTTGATGAACTCTCGACAGTGTATTGAAACGTCTTGCCACACATTTTCAGCTAGGCAGAATAAAACGTTAAGGTTGTCTACCATTTCAAAAAAACACAAAAAGGTATCATGTTAGGACATTAACTCTTGGCAAGTGTAAAATCTTTCTCGTATACTAAGCCAGATAGCAAAATGAAAACTTTCAAGATATAGATTTCACCGGCAAGGACCTACACAGATTGCCCGACTTACAGCATGAGTCTGCTGGAAACGAGGTTTTTATAATCCATGCAGATATGTGATTAGTTTTGACGAGAGGGGATAAAAATGTTAGGAGGGCTTTTTCTACAAAAATGCTATCAAATATTGAATGTGATATTGTGGTGAAAATTATCAAATGAAAGAATCAATAGACGAAAACTGTGAAAAATCTTATTAAAGAAAGGAGAGATTTTCGAATATACGAAAGCAAGGGGAAATTCTTCTAAAGGGGATATAAAAAGACGGAGATAAGCAGTACGAAAATATACGGAAAGGTGCCTGATTGTTGAGAATTTGTCCAAAAGGTCTTAATCTGCTAATCCGTTTGGAAGCGCCAAGGCAAAGTTTAAGGAATCAAAGAAGAGTGATCTTAAGTTGAAAAATTACCGAAATGAATATTTCTTGCTGTTTTAGAAAAATGAGCTAATAATTGATACCTGAATGGATAACCAAATGCATTTTCTTTTCGGTCATGTACTGTGCGAACCCATCATCAAAGAAAACAAGAAACCTGCGATATAACGATATAACAAGAAACCTGCAATTTTTAATAGCATTGAATAACAGAAAACTATACAAAATAATTATTTTTTGCAAATAGCATTTATTAGTGGTGCAAAATACTTTCGTTTTTCTTAGACGCCAAAAACAATAATGGTTCTGAGCTATCCTGTATGAACAAGATTTTGGTCACCACTCATGTTTGAATCTCTCATGAATCAAAACATTTCAGAGCTCTGTATCATCTTTAATTGAGCTCAAAAATAAAGAGTACCTCAATCTGAAATAAACACGCACCTATTCCTGTTATCTTCGCAAGCTCTCTCCACAACCACTCCACCATACAGAATTTCTCCTTTCGCCATAACTAAAGAATCTGAAGGCAGAAACACGTGACGATTATCTATATCAACAATGATATGCCATAATTTCATGAACCACGTGCTTTCAAACGGAATATGCCAGCACAGTGGAACCCCAATTAAAGGGAACTTCCAAGTAACGGATACATCCTAGTAATGGAAACTTCCAAACACCCTCTCTTAGGGCACGGATATGGTATGTTAAGGAAAGGACATAGCAATAACTCATTATGGACACTTTTCGGATAGATTAACAAATATAGATCGCATCAAGTACTTGAAATTTGTCAGCTTACTTAAGGTCATGTACTTTTTCTGGATCCTTGCATCGACAGTGTCTCTTGGTCGAATAGCTAAAAAAGACAAGCAATCAGCAATGACTATGAATAGAAACGTATAAAAGTTCGCCAAAGAAAAACCGGAAGTTTCTCTCTAATGTAGGAAAATTTTAATGTAAACTTCCCTTTCAGATATGAGGGAATGTATCAAGTTATGGCAAGGTAAAAGGAATCATTAAACAATATAGAGAATTGTCTGCCTTTTCAAAAATAGACTAAGCATTCAAACCATATTTTAAACATGAACGAACCCTGGAAGGAAATTTGTTATAACCAATTTACTTACCCACGACACGACTTCCAACATTCAGAGAACTTCCTTTCGGATGTGCGATTGGTGCCAAACTATTGCCAGGTAAAGTCCCATGCATCCGTTGGCCTGAGTCAAACTTCACTTGGAACTTTTTCTATAAAAGAAATATATCAAGACTTCACGAAAGAGCGTAAACCTCACTCAAAAAAACAGATGCAGTCTTTGCCTGACGCTTCCCGGAGCATAGAATGTTGGACCATGACAAATATGTGTAAAGAAACATATGTTTCAAAATTTCATTTTCAAATAATCACTTGCTAAATGGTGGATCGCGTATGATATGAGTGGCCTTCTCATTTCATAAAACAATGATATTACCGCAAGGTACAGTGATAAAGTAGCGAATTATCTAGGGGTGCTGGGGCAAAGCGTACTCAGAAACTGCCATCTTATTTGGGTACGATAACAAAAAATCAACCCACAATAAATTTTGTAGAAATTATTCTATTGCTAGAAAAGAAAAAAAAATGCAACCATTTCAAAAATTTATCGATGAGAAGCATCAAACTATAATCACCTGTCCATATTTAGTCGCTATAATTCTTGTTATTTTCGCTAGAAAAATTAAAACAATGATTAAGTAAAATCGATGAAAATAGAATGTTCAGTACATACACTGACCAATATGGAACATGCAAGGTTACAAATATCGAACAATTTTCGATCTATGTTCTGACGCTTTATACTTTGTAGCGTGCCAGATAAAAAGCGTAATATGTTTCAAAATATTTGCTCTTTTTAAAAATCATTTTTAGATTCTAACTTCCTATGTTATCATTTTTGTATTGAGGTAAACATAAATCTTGTTATTATGTTTAACTATTAGAAAATACTATTTTGTGCTATATAATTTACTTGTAATTAATAACTTTAATATAGCAACTGTTCTTATGAAGAAAAAGAAAAGCGAGCCAATATATACCTGTATACCAAATGTCACTCTTTTCTGGTTTTCCAAGCACACTATCTCCCTCTTTAAATTCATAGCTGAGCAAAGTTAAATGAAAGTTATGAAATATGGTGGGAGAAAGTTTATCAATACAGGAAATCATCATAATTGTATAATCCTGAAAGGACATTAGAAATGCCTTAGTCTCAATGATATCTTTTTAATAAATATAAACAAACAAACTAACATACATACAAATTAACAAACATATATACAAATTAACGAAAATATATATATATACAAATTAACAAACTTTTAATGTATTTTGGTACAAATACAACTCAAATTAGGAAATGTTGAGGACAGGTGCAAAAAAAAAATAAATTCTTCAATTTCATCATCTTTCTAAAGTTAAGATATTCTAATTTATAGTTTTTAAAGATAGTTTGAAGAAAAGTCAATTTTGAAGGGACAATTAAATTCTATAAAATTTGCCTCTAAGGACATGATTTTATTGACTACACAGTTGCTGTTACAAATTAACAAACTATAAATACCCTTCATCTGCAAAATCGTATTCATCGGTTGTTTCCTGTTGCAGACTTCGTTCTTGTTCATCTGTTTCTTCTACACTCACAGATGACTTGACCACAACTGATTTGTCTACTGAAGAAGGACTATTGCTCCCTTCTGAAAGTCTTTCTGATGTAGATTTGGAATTTTTAGCTACACTACTAGAACTCTCTGAGATGATTGGCTTAGCTTGGTCTTGTTCATTCTTATTTGATGCTTTTAATGATGTGAATGACAAACTTGCCATCTTTCCTGCAGGGTCTTTTGGAGGTGATCGATACAAATTGCGATTTATAAAAGTAATACTAGAGTTTACTTTAGATTCTGTACCTGCAGTAGTTCTTTTGAAGGTTTGCGAACTTGAGCTGGTAACTTGAGGCTCTGATAGATTATTTGATAATGCAAGTCTTTTAGGGCCAACAGATTCAAAAGAACTACTTTGAATGTCACTTCCATTGATACTAGAAGTTCTTTTAGCCCCAATTGATGTCTTTTCATTTTTCACTACATTGCTATCCCTACTGACAATCTCTCCATGTCCTATTTGATTTTTTGACCTAACCTGGTCTCTTTGAAAATCTGTCTGTGCTTTTGAAGAAGCAATATCTCCACTGCAAGACAAGTTCTGGGATGATTTTGAGAGCTCTTGGAGCTTTTCAAGAAGTGGTTTCTCATCTTCTTCATCAATTACTATGACATTTCTTTTCCTAAAATAAAAACAAGCAGCTATCAAACTGAATATTCTGCAAAACATAGCTGAAGACATTGTTAAACTACTATTTTAAACATCTTTACAGTGAAACTAGACTGCAGTTTTCTAAGACTGTTTGGCTAGATGATGCCTTAAATTTTCCACCTCAATTCTTCAGTATATCATGGAACTGTTGTCTTTGATCTATTTTCCTTTTCATGAGATGCTAGTTACTGTTGTTTCTAAGCTTATTCTTTAAATGGATACTTATCTTTAAAATAGTATATAAAGAGAGAGAAATACATAAATACAAAAAAGTTCGACCAGCTGATTGATTGCATTAAGCATTAAACTTGAAGTAGCAAAGTTTCATCATGTTCTATGCATCACATAAAGACCTACCTATACAGCATCAAGTACTTTATGACTATCTGACAGACAGTAAATTTGTTAAATACAAAAATACATCTTGCTTGTAATGACTAACCAAATTCTAAGAACAAGCAAACATAAATGGATTAAATACTCACACAACTTGCACTTTAGAGTCAGGAGGCTTTTTATCAGCAAATATTAAATTCAATTTTTCTTCAATATCAGTCAATTCGGTTTTAATTATACTATGTTCCTCTGCAAAAAGACAAAAACCAATACTAAGGAAATGGAAAAGAATAACATGTATTATATACTGGGGTCATTCCATGTCAAATCATCAGACCTATGTAACCCATGGTTTTAGAATTTCCTGATTTTTTTGCTACAAAGAGCCATTTTTGAGAAAACACCACATACAAAATTTCGTCCTTATATCTCTTACGGTTGCGATTTTGTAGCTGTTTCAAAAGTGGCCCATTTTAGCCAAATATGCCACACCCAGTTTACCAAGCGATGGGTGCAGCTTTCTATCAATAGCTGTAACTTTTCTTTAGATGTCAATATTTGCTTGAAAATAATGTCAATTATTGATTTGATACTGTAGATTTCAAATATTGCATCAGAATTTGCCAATTCTCTAAGGTGAAGCAGATAGTCATATGTTAAAGGCTATCACTTGTTTTGAAAATATTCCCAACCGATGTATTATATACTGGTAAATTTTTTATAGGAAATAACAGTTACAAAGAAGCTCTTTCCAAAACACACAAATAAAACTTAATTCATATTCAAATATTCTATAGCTGTATAGTGACAAAAGAAATAATGTCATCAGGTTTTAAAGCAACTCTAAAAAGGTATTATAAAATTTAAGCAAAACTAAATAAAGTAGACCATTTCCAAGATATTAAAATTTGACAAAAGTAATAGATACCATACCATCAATTTTTTGCACTCTTTCAACAACCTTTTGGGCAATCCTGAAAGAAAAAATTGAAAATCATTAACAGATTTTCCCACTTTAGCTTTGGTTGTAGAGTTTGAGCTAAAATGACATTCATGTCTTCTGGTAAACAAAAAAGCTCCTGCTTATTGAAACAAATGAATTCTTCTTGTAATAATCAGAGCCTTTATTTGATTGATTGCACCTCCAGTGTGTCAATCCACAGGTGAAATGTATTTCCTAAACAGAAACTGATCGTGATGATATAGATTTGTGATGGACTAACACAGGTCTATTTGCTCAGGCCTTTTTGTTTGATGCAAGCGATCACTTGGATTGGGTCATAGGCTCTGAAATGAGAGGCTCATTTCAGGGCCTGTTGGGTCAGCATTCATGCAAACCCAACCACGCAAGTGTTTGATTGCTCACGGTAAATAGTAAATTGTGAGGAAGAAATGTCTCTTCAATTAAAAGATTTCTAGCCGTCTTTTGTGACTCAAACAAGTGGCAAATAACATTTCTATTACCATCATAAAATTTATAAATGAAGCACATATATATTGGGCAATTAATCTTTCTTGGAGTGCATTAAAGTTCATTGTAACAATTCATTTTCATTTATTACCTACACAAAAGTTCCTTATAACAGGATCATATGATTTTTATAAAAATTACAGACACTTTAAGCATTGTTTTTATTATAATTATCATTATTAGAGCGATTGCTCATGCAAGAGAAATCACACGAGCACTGGGCCACTCACATGTGCTATATCTTAAAAAGAGGCCTGTTTGTTGTTTGCTGTCTGTTAGTCAGACTGGAGATTTGCTAAATCTACTTTTGCCTGTTTATCCTTTTTTTTGCTGAACAGAATTGAAAACCTGTCAATTAAACCTGTATTGCAGAGGTATTGCTCTGGATTATATCTTGGTGAAAGTTGGATTTAACTGAGGAAACAATTTAATGGGAAACTGTTAGTTTCTTGAAACATTATTTGAAAAGATGGGTGCTTCCTTCTCAATCAACTTAGCTACTATGAAAGTTGCTATTTAAAAATTCTCCTTCAAATGAGCAAACTTTTTAGTGTCATGTCATTTCATGTCTTTTGTCCTATAAACCAATACAGAGTTACTCATAATGTTGAAAGTCCTTTAATATATACAAGTTTTTTATGTTGTGAAAATTATAATCAATAATCAATAATTGATATATACACAAAATAGATATGGCTGTTCAAAACACTTTCCCAGACAGCAACATCTGCCACTTTGAATTTGCTGGAACCTATCTTCTACTCAGTGTCACAAGGCTGGGTGCAAGTTTACCAAAATATGATTAAAATATACCAAGTTTGACTGAGAATAAAATTTTTGAAAATTTGAATTATGACAGGACGCAATGATATGAAACCAGTCATTATTTTCTAGTCTGTAGATGTTGTCAAGCCATTCTTAGGGAAGCACTTCGTAGTTCTTAAGGTAAGTAAGTTAAGCATAACCATGGCTAGTATAGAACGAGACCTTTGGCATAACAATGTCATGCATTCAAACAAGTCTTTCAATGTTACCATTCAACTTGGAGGTCATTATATATTGCTATGTATGTGGTAATCCAATGGAGAGTAATCCCCTAGATTTTATCTCTTAATTCCTCTCATACGCACACCTGGCTGACTCATAACCGTAGGGAATAAATGACTGTTCGTTCACACCCACAAATCTAATCGAATCTAGACAAACCTCGACAAACTAAGACCAAATGAAACCTTTGTTCTAAAGCTTGTTTAGTCTCACCTTGTGCACAGGTCAATGAAGCCCAAATCCTGCAACTGTCTGTCGACTATTTCCTCGATTTCCTGCTCTAAATTGTAGTTCATTTTTCCTTCTTTTTTGACACCAACCATCAACTCTAATTTTACTTTGCCTTATTAAGTAAAAACATAGCCCAAGCGAAAGGACAGCTCAGATAACAGTTGCCGCCATACTTCACTTGGTTGATACACCAGCGCGCGCATCTGGTCACGTGTACAAAAGTAAATGTTCTTGAAGCAGGTGGCTCTTTCCCCCCTGTCGCCCCCTGTCGCCCCCTGTCGCCCACCTGTCGCCCACCTGTCGCCCCCCCTGCACCCCCTTGATTTGAAGTGTTTTGTCAATGTTCACAAAATGCTGTCATTTGGAAGTACCGTTCCAATCAAGCTAGGCCTGAATCAGCTCAACATTTGTTAGATTCTGTCTACTTGCATGTTTGCTGGGGGTACCAGGTATCCATGCTGAATCATACGATGACGCTTAAAATAATTGCAAATCACGCTTTCACGGTACTGGAAATTACATTTCACGAACATGCCCCCATAGAAGCTCTCTGAATTTTTTAAAAACTATTTAAAAGAAGTAATTTCTTGTTGGCAGAGCCACCGGCATTTGGAATATCTGAAAGAAAGGCAAGAACTCTAACAAAGTTTTACAAGCATTCCACCACCTTTTTATCCCCTTTTACAATTTTTGCCCCCTCCCCTCAAACAATTAGATTTACGTTTTAACTATCATTTTCGAAACCAACTTTTCTATTATTCAAAATTTTTATTCCTAGTTTAAAAAAGTGTTATTGTTGTTTATCAATATTGTGTATTGATTTGCAATTACTTCAAGTAAAATTCACATAAGATGGCACATGGCTCGAAAGCCCCTATGGGTTATTTCCACGTGTCATATCATTCAGCTATAACTTTATAGATACAAATAATTATTTTAGATATCTGAACCTTGTATGCATTGAAGTATAACTAACATTGTATCTTGATTAATTTTTTGACTAGATCAGTATATTGTAATTAAGCTGAGAATACACATGAAGTTGAATTTGAATTGAATAATGGAGACATTTATCTGGTCTGGTACCGGAAACCAAGACTTTCTCCTTGTAAAAATGAAAACACTCCATTTCGAAGTTCGCTTGCAGCATTCATTTTATCGCAATCACGCCATGAGTAGTGCTGATTCACAGGTCACGCACGAATGTCTATTCACGCATTCACGCATAATGAAAATTTGTTTCACGAATTCACGCATCGAAATTACGCCGATCACGCAATCACGCCAAAATACCTGGTACCCCCTTTGCTAGTCTGCTAACTTACTTAAATGCTTGTATGCTGTTTTGGTTTCATATTTGTTTCGCTGTTTCGCTTACTTTACCAAATTTGTTTACTTGTGGTCTGTCTTCTCCTTGTTTGAGTAGATAAGCAACAAGTTTTTTCAATAGCTTTAATTTACTCGTTTCCAGCAGAGACTGTACTTTTCCTTGTCCTAAAAATTTGAGTAAATGGAGAAAAACACGATTTATTTGTGTCACAGCAGCAATCTTGTTTAGGTATCTCAATAAAATTATTAAAACCCGAATAAGGTTGGCATGTAATACACTTGCGTAAGGCATAAAACATCTTCGATTGTCCCGATTAATAACGGTGTTCCTCAAAGGTATGTCATTGGCCCAATACTCTTTACATTGCAACTGAACGATATGCCTAATGTGAATTCGTCAAAGCCAAGACTATTTGCTGAAGACAAAATGTAAACTAACCTACATAATATTTTGTCAAACAACGGAGCATGAATGTGGAATAACTCCCGTCATCTTTGTAATTTTTCTCAAACCATAAAACATTTTCTAAGCAAGCCAATAATAATTTTATTTCAATATGCAAAATACTAACGTGCTCACACTTAGTTTAAAGTTTTTTGTAATCATGATGTTCCGTTGTTTTGTTAGCAATCTAGTTCTGTTAACTTTTGCTGTTTTTATTTCGTAGCCCAAATTTTATAAGCCTAAAGCCCTGCTTCATCTCGTTTGCCAGGAAAGGCGTACTTTTATCATTATTTTTATTAACCATATGTTCTTATTCTTTGAATGAATTTGGATTGAAATCCAGGCTAAATGGCAGTCGACTGTTGGTTTGAGAACTTAAAGGCACAGACCCAAGAATCAATGCCTTTTTCCCGTCCGTAGTAGCCCAGTGGAAGCGCATCGGTGACCAAAGAACTGCACAAAACGATTGGTCAAGATAGATAGAGATGAGTTACAATTAATTGTCAAGTGCATTCGACAAGTTGTTTACACGAGCAAGGTTTTCAATTTGCTTTTCTTTTACTTGACAAGTGAACTTGTTGAGCAATTGACGGGTCAGAACGAGTAAACTTGTCAAGTAAAAAATTTTGAAATTTCCAAACCTCACAGTCTTCAAGTCCCGTATAATACCTGAGTAGCGTATCGCTTTTCTCGAGCGTATATAGACTTTGATCCTTATTAGATTAAATACACGGATAATGGCCAGGCAACACAGAGGAACATGACAAATATATTATGGACAAATGCATCATTATCATTACAAGACAAATTCATATTTTACAACAAAAGGTTATCAAAATTTTACATTTATGCTGAGGTTTATTATCAAAGCTACAGTCTTATGAGGTAATTTAAATACAAAATTAATTGACTTTAAAAACTACTATATAAAAATTCAGATAATTATGTGACAGAAATTGGTTTTCTGCTACCATAGTTTCCGTACTCTGTCTTGTACATGTGTGGAACGCTGAAAATTTCTTCCGGTCCAGGGCCTGTAGAGAAAAACAAAACTTACTGTGAAACTGTACACATCAATGGTAGGAGATTAATACCAAAAAGGAAATTGATACCCTCAAAATTCTTATTCAAACTCATAATAATTGACACATTCAGAGCCATTGTGCTTTATGGAAGTCCTCAGGTACCATTTGCTGACAAAACTGGTGAGCCAGCATTTATTTGCTGATAGAGTTTGAAAATGTGCCAATGAAGCACCCTTACATGGCAAAAGAATTATCGTTTTTGCAACAGAATTATTTTTCCATAGTAGGAGGGAGGGTGCTTCACCCCTATGCTCCACCATAGTAACACTGGCCACAAACAGAAGAATATAAACTTCATTTGAACAAAGCACTTTATTTTGATTCAAGTTGTCTTGATAGTTTCATTAATGCTACTTACCAGACAATGTCCAGGGTGATGGAACTGGACAATGAAAGAGTTCCTCGCGTTTATTTTCGTTTGGAGATGTAAAATTAGCCATAACTTCTGAACACAGACCTCTGGAAACAAAGAAACATAGCATTGATGAAATTATTTTTGTAGTGGTATTTAAAAAAAGAGTTTTGCATCTTTGCATCTCAAAATAAACTCTTAGTTTGACATCAACTAAAGCGTCTATCAGAAAGTTAACACATCAAGAAGTGATAATATGTTTTATTGAAAGTAATGAAAAACCATATTCATGTTACAAAACCAGGCAAATTTTCATTGAAAAACTTTAACTGTTTGAAAGAAGGCAAAATATCAGCTGGCACTTAACCAAATAGATATTCTAAGTATCTTATGTCATCTCGATTTCTCTACTGCTGAATAAATTAAGTTGGAGTTTTTGTTAAACCAACCCACTTGACCTAAAACCGCAATGAATATATAATATCAAAAATAAGTCTTAAATAGCTTCTTACTTGTTAGGGACAACTTCAAGACTCTTGGGGATTCTTGAGACAACGGTTGGTGTTTTGAACCATATTTCATCTCTCATTGGTCCTTTTTCCTTTTTCACAGTGTTAGGGGGCAGTGGATTAGTTTTTGACCCATGGCCCCATGCTTTCGGGTAGCTTTCACATTCCCAGTATGTTGCGTATTCTTTTTGAGGATATTTACCAAGTTCAACTCTATAAAAAGTGAGTTTCATAGTTAAATGATATTATGATAAACAAATATAGATATATCTAATCAGATGTAATTTTGACAGCTATAAGATTAATCAGAACTAGTGTATGTTCACTATTGCTAAAAGCAAACAATAGGTGATTCATGCAATATGATACAATATAATGATAAAATGTGGTAAAATTTATTTTTGAATTACACTGTCCCTTGAGGAATCTCAGTAGATGTAAAGTTTAGAAAACTCTGTAGAAAACTCTGCTGGAAAACGACCATAAAACATTTAATATCATCTAAGATAAAGAGTAAATTACTTACTTTGTAAAAGCTCTATGATTTTTCTGTGTTGTTGTTAAGTACATATCTCCATGGTAACTGAAAACACCTCTCTCCGGTACGAGATATTTTTGCCCCATCAATTCTTTATTCTGTGTTGATGGAACTATTTTCTAAAGAAAATATATATCTTGCTAAGCAATTTATAATTTGAGGTTGGTTGCTTAAAATGCAACAGAGAAAGAGTTTTATTTTCAAAGCACAATAGATTATCAAGAAGAACTACTGGTAAAGTTTCAATGCAAACACCAAGTTGCACCTGCACAAAATCATTAAGAGCCCTTTTGGATATATGCATTCTGATGTTTTCAAAGTATGTACATGTTTCTTTGAAGTTGCCTAAATTCAGTGTCTTTACCTAGCCTGTGTGCAGATGGCTGGTTTTCCCAGAGATGAATTTAGTTGACTGAAAAATTCAGTTTTTTACTGGTAGAGAGACCTCAAATTTTCTCTTCAACTAAATTCATCTCCTCCTTGCTAAACCAGTCAAGTCTGCCCACAGGCTAGTCTATACCTTGCACATTTACTACCTGCAGAATTTGATTGATTATATAAACAACATTTATGTATAATGTTGTGCTGGTGTTGTGCTGGGCAAACAATAAATGCCAATATTTATAATCACAAAAATTCTTCTTAATTATTTTAAATGTTTTTGTTCATTATTTAGCATTAGCAAAAAGTCATTATGAACAAAGTCATAGCTTTTTTATTAGGTAATAGAAAAGGGAGACACAGGAGATAAGGAACACCTGGATTTTCCCTGGCAAAACTGGGAGAGTCGTTAACAAACCTGCATCTATCCGCTAAATCTAAACCTGGGATATTTTCTTACCTTTAATGGTCCTCCAGTGTGGTGGTGCCTGTAGGTTGGAGGCTGGATATCATTGCAAAAATGCCTTGACATTGAAACCCCTGGTATTCCAGTATATTCAGCCTTCATCTCACTTGATTGGTTTCCCATTGTCAAAGGTTGCCTCCATGGTTTAACTTGGAGCTAAAATGAAAAAAAACCAATTGTATGGAAGATAATATTTAGAGGTCCAGGATGAGTGTTAAGAACATTGACTTTTTTCTTATTTTTTAAAGCAAAACAAGGTCATTTTAAATCTTATTTTTAACAATCCTTCCGCTTATCTAATACAAATTACATATTCCATCCATCAAGATACGTCATTGAATTTTTATTAATATTTTAAAGAAAATACTGTATAAAATGATATCTTGGCAGGGAATTGCCAACTTTTTTTACCTAGGATTCAAACAGGAGACAGAGGAACATTTTTGTAAATGACCTTGAGACTACCAAGAATAATCCGTAATATGCTTTGTTTGGAAATTGGAGGAAAAAAATCTTACAAAGCCTAAAAATGGAAATTAATGTAAACAAAGATTGCAAATTACCTTTTTGATTAGGTCTTCCACATAACCAACATTCCAATGACCTGGTGCCTTTTTGTGAATTGTGTTTGATAAACTAGTATTGCTTGGTTTGTAATTATGTGCTGTTCCAGTTGTTGTTGAGAACTGGTCAAGAGTTTCTCGTTGTGCCAATGGAGGGGGAAGTACATTTAGAACTGTTCGCTAAAACAAAACAATAATAAATGCAAATATTAGGAAAACAGGAGAAGTCAAAACAGAAAACCGCAACTAGGTGAGCTACATCGATTCGGTTGACTACACTAATAACATGAAATTGTTGTTGGGATAGGCCTAGAGGCTATGATAATACAAATTACTCAATACAGGGAGGGCCAATATATTCAGTGGCTATGCGATAGTTCGTGGTTCGCACAGTTTTGGTGCAAGATTTACGATTTCACGGATGTCGCCATTTCCTTACACAAAATATCTTCTGAAGCTTTTGCGATTAACAAGGGTAAAACACGTTTCCCGAACACAGGAAGTAAGCGCGAGACGGCCTAAAAATTTGCAATGGAAACTCACCTGAAATCCGCTGGGAGGAAAGGGTAGGTTATCGTTGTAGCCATGGGCTACACCAGTTGATGTTAAGTGAAGGTCATTCCTTGATTCTGTCATAGCCATCTTGTTCTGTGCAATTTCTAAACTACCGTGAATAATCCTATTTAGGGTGCAACTTATAACAAAACGGACTGGGTGACTGTTGCCTAGAGAAACAAACAACACCAAACCGAGGATAGCGTCTTCGTTGGTATTGGAAACAGAGCGCGAAAGAGAGGTTGACTGATTTGACGTTTATCATAAAGAGAAGTTTATTTTTTGTTTGAAATTATCAAAGCTGGCCAAAATGATGGTAGGTAGAGAACTGCATAGGCAAGATAATTCAATTGTTCTTGAATGGATTATCCAGGATAGTTCGCAAGCGGAAAGTTAGCTCCTTGAGAAGAATGCAATGAAGAATGACTTCTTGGATGACGCTAAAAATTTAAAGGTAAGAATTTGCGCATCATTTATAACAATCTAAGAAATTCTTAGATAACTGAAGAAATATTACTTAGGACAAGAACCATTGACAACAGAAAATCGGATGGCAATGATCTGCATTTACCAAATAATTATAATAAAAGCAAAAAATTAATGTCAAAATTCTTAATTATTAGTTTCATACGAATCGCAATTCAAAATTTTCTCGACGTATTGCAAAATATCTTTTCAGTATTTATGGAAGTTTATGTCCAATAATTTTCAGATCAATATAACCTCAGAACACCGTGTTATTTCATTTCCTAAGATGAGAAACGTGCAGCTTTTGAAGTTACAAAGTTCTTCTACCATTACTCCGTGCAAGTTTGATCACTCAGTTATCTGATGCTAGCAAGGTCTCACCAAAAACCATTTAATATCGACGTTTAAACGATTTTAGCGTGAATCGAAGTAATATGAACCTTCTTTTTCTTATCGAGATGTAAATCACTTATTTCTTTACAGAAAAAATTGCCAAGCACATTAACGTTTTGTTGAGTTTTAAGTCTTTGGTGATCATAAACTTCTGAAGACTCAAAATGATGGGATGCACCACAAAAAGTTTCTTCAATCGGAAAAAAACTTCAATGTATGGAGGACACATACAACAATCTTTAATTTGTAATTGACATAACAAGCATCACACCCTCTGGTCTATCATATTGTGACTTTTCGCTATCACCATCACCAGTTTTACACCATTAAATTATGGAATATGTTTACTGCCTACAAAGATTGACTTAATACTTTCTTTTTCAAACAGAATCTCGGTAAATCTTTCAATATGTCAACTGCAAAAGTTTCTGAAGACCCTTGGCTAAATCCCCAAGAAATTTTCCTGACTGACCTCAAAGACGACGAGGAAACAACAACAGCAGTTGAAGCTGTCAATGCTGTACGGGCTGCTGAAAGCGAATCGAAAGATGAAGCATGCAACGAATCCGATGTGGATCAGGTTGAGCTTTTCGTGGGTAACTTGCGCAAGGATGTCGAGCAAGATCTGGTTATATCAAAACTACAGAGTCTATTCTCGACTATTAGCGTGGAGTTAAGCATTGAAAAGTTTAGGCCGCTGCAAAGGGGTTCCAATAAAGCAAAGCATTTGTTTGTAAAGATGGAGAACATGGAAGATATAGAGAAGATCGTGGACAATTTTGATGGGTACTCGGATTCTGAAATCGTGTTTGCGGAGCGAACATTAAAAGTTTGTCCGAAACATTACAAGCCATCTAGAAAGCGAAGAAAAAGAAAAAGGAAAAACTCATTAGCTAGAAAAGAAGATGAATGCTTAGAAAACATTGATTTTGATAAACTTGATTTACGTAGGGTGGAAATGATACGACGATGTATGTCCGCTCCTTGTATTGTTGAACAGCAAAGTATGGCAATGGAAGAACGCAAGAGGGACTTTTTGGTGATGGGTCAAATATTGAAGTGCGAGGACCGGACTACAGAATACAAGAGAGGTGGTGGAAAATATCCAAGGAAATTTCTAATGCATGATGTCAGAAAGTATACATGTGCCTTTTTGAACAGTGAAGGTGAATTTTATTTCATATTAAATATTATGTACTAATTCTATTAAAATGAAGCTAAGTGAGAATATTCAAGGAGGATATCTCAGGTTCACTATTAAAATTTAGGACACTTGAAAATTCATATGTCCAAGTCTCATTCCCTTCCTTTTGTTGAGATGTGACTTATATTTACCTATGTATGAACATGAATATTTACCATTATGAAACATTATCCTTTCAGTGGTGCCTAGTTCTCTGACCGCGCACCACGTTTTTAGTTAGTTCGATTAGCAAGATGGCAGATATTGTTATGTTAACATTTGTTGATGTTGAATAAGTTATGTTACCAATAATCCAAAGAGTTTTCTCTAAGTTTTACCTCCGTCATGAGTACAGATTTAACATCTTTTACTTATATATGCAATAATATGCAATAATTTATACGAATAGTTTCAAATTTCAACACAGCTTTAAATTTCAGACACATTCAATATGTAAACGAAAACTGCATCTATGAAAGTTTACCATATTTTATTTCTGGCCGATGGCATGTAATTGCTCTCGAGTTATTTAACTGACACAAACAAAAAAATAACACATAGAAAAACTATAGATGGAAGTAATATAAATGCCAGGGCCTGGAAGAAGTTTTAAATGAAGGCTTTGAAATACTCTACAACCTTTATTTTCCTTCCTGACATTGTGGTTGCTTTTATAGTATTTTACCATAACCAAATTTTCCGTGCGCAACTGCAATTGCTAGTCACAATTCCATATCGTCTTCAGCACCATTTTGTTTATTTTATGAGGAAATGCAGTATTTATCAATATAGAATAATAAAGTTAGTGAGCCGTTCACTTAGGCTGATGTATAAGAAACTTCATAAGAAAATCTTGTTAACGTCCAACTAGCACAGGGATAAACAATTGATTTGAAGTCAGCTTTTTAAAACAGGTCACTTCAAAATCATCGATTTATAGCTTAGAAGAAAATGAAATATTTGCCCGTCAAGTGTGATAAGGGTTACTTCATACATAAACGTCATTAAAAATGCTTCTTTCAAATACCTCACTATCTATTTCTAGGAGGAAGCCTGTTCATTGGAGTTGCTGATGATGGGAAAGTTTTTGGAATTCCTTCGAACAGAAAAGAAGAAGACATCATTCGTGTTTTAATTGACAATATAATCTCCGGATTTCAGCCCCCTATTTTTCCCAAGTCATACTGCGTGAATTTTATACCAGTCTTACCGCACGCAGACTATGAACCAGTTGACACTAATGACCACTGTTTTAAGGTGCTGGAGGTCAAGATATTTCCTCCTCCGGCAAAAGGAAATTCCTATTTATACGAAACAGACAAAGGAGAGGCGTACATAAGACGTGATGGAAGTGTGCAGGGGCCACTCAAAGCTAGTCAAATCATTGAATGGTGCAAAAATGACAACAAAATGGATTGCGAAAACCATTCTGTAAATGAGAAGCTAGACGAAAGCTTGAAATGTACTTCAGAAGAACACAGCTCCGGAGCTGAGTTGCTTAAAATTACTTCGTCAAACCTGGAATACCACGAATTACAAGGACAAGTTTTCAATCTATCATCCAAAGAGCAGTTTGGTGGGATTTCGATAAATGGACGTCATCTTGATATGGCCTCGTTAAAAAAGCTATGTGAAATTGAGGCTCATATAAGAGAGCGGCAACAAAATATAGAAATGGAAATCGGAGTGCTAAAAGACCATTACGCTGCGCGTGAAAGAGTTTTACAAGTAGAGTTAGAAAGGGCCAAGTGCCTGCTTAAGAAGGAAAGGAAAAAGAGAAGACCAAAGTCAGCGACATGCACGTTATTATGATATAATAAGTCGTTCAAAATAAATGATATAAAATGGTTTGAATATATAATATTTCAAAGTATTGTATGAATTTACAGAAGTAAATGATAAAATATTCACATAATCTTAACAATGTGTTCAGTTAATCGGAGACAGCATTTCAAAAATATGCATCTTTCAATTCCTTTTTATTATGCAAAACATAAAGAATATACTGATCGAGTCTTACAGGGCTCACGCCACCGGGAAACCGAGAGGCCATGCCCCCCACTTTTTGTGAAGCAATAAACGTCAAAGCCTCAATGAAAGGTGAAAGAACCCTTGACCCCTCTTTTGTTAACTTTGCCGCCCCCCCCCACTTTCAAACCCGTGGCGTGGGCCCTGAAAAGGTCCAACAAACCGTATTTAACGATGAAAGCCACATTACCCAAGAACCTTGTCGTTAGTGTGGGAAGAAGAGAAGTGAAACTGTCTTGTGAATGTCAAAACCGGGCAGAGAAAGCTGGGACGCTTGCTTCTTTTGCCGATCAGGTTTCTTCTTTCTGTCAGGGGTGTTTATCGTGTCCAAATAGCGGGGGAATGACAGAGATCAAATGAACGTTTGCTAAGTTTCCATGTTCTTTTACCAGCATAAAGCGCAGGCAGCATAAATTTAATTGAACGAAAGTCTTTACTTCTAACTGATTTTTTAATGGACATGGGAAAGTTCATGATAGGCTTTCTAAAGAGGAAATAAGAGATCGTTGGGTGAAACCAGAAAAATACTATGCTGCCACGATCTTAAGCGTAAAAACTCCCCTTCTCTAAACTTTCTTTTTCAGCATAAAACTTTACTAAAACTTTACAGAGAGTTTACTGATCTTTACATTCATTTTCTAATTTTGCAAAAGTTGTGATCATCGTCTTTACAAATGGAATTAAAGCAGACTTCAATCAAGAAGAAGTTAGTTATGTAAATGAGTTCTGATGTTAAGGGGGTGCGTTCAAAACATTGCCAAACCGTCATTGGATCACCAGAACCTTATTCTGTGATTGTATCACCGTCTGTCGTTCTCCGAAAACAAAAATCGGAATCACCGGAGGAGAGATGTAAGAATCACTTCCCAAACCAGATGATGCTTAAAACATCTGCACCCTGTAGGTTCCCCGGTCAGCGATCAGAATGTTTCCACTTGTAGTGATGCAAGCGCCACACGGCTTACTGAACAACGTGTGATCTGTTAATCCTGGAATTCCAAGTTTCTTGAGGTACTTCCCTTTCAGATTGAATAATTGCACGTTAAGATTCTTGAAATCTGCAACAACAATATGGCCTTCTGAATCAACAGCGATCCCTGAAGGACACATGAATTGCCCTTCCCCAATCCCCTTGTTTCCAAATTTGGCTATGTAGCTTCCAAATTCGTCAAAACGCTGAACTCGGTAATTGTTTGTGTCCGATACAATAATTTCATCTTCATTTGTCACAGCAATATGTCTTGGCGAGTTAAATTTTCCATCGGCACTCCCATATCCACCGAACTGAGTGATAAATCCGCCGTGCATATCCAGGATCTGTATCCTGTGATTATCTCTGTCTGCCACTACCAACCTCTTCTGGTTATCAATTGCCAAGGCACAAGGACCTTTTAACTGGCCTTCTCCATTTCCTCGGTTGCAGAATTTGTCAATAAACTCCCCTTCATAATCGAAAACCTATTAAGAAACAAACAGATTTGATACTGATCATATACTTCAAAACATAATCCAACTTTTAAATGCAATGAAGCTTTTCGGCCGATATGCATGAAGGGACCAGGGGGATGTGTTTTTAAAACATTGGATATGCTATTCACCCTGGGTGCCAGAGACTCGGTGAAAGAGTGGGTTGGGGAAAGACCACCTTTCGACCATTTCTTTTACTAAGGCTCTGGTAATTGATAATAATTGAACATTGTTGATAATTGATAACAATTTATATTATACTCTTTTTTCACCCCTTCAACTTTCAACAAAAAGAGTTGACCTATATACCAAATTTGGCAAGGTTTGAATTTTTAATGAGCCGACCTGATTGCATTCGTTAAAGTTCACAAGAATGAACATCTGAAAATACCTGAATTCGATGGTTCCCATGATCAGCAACATATATGTTTCCAGTTTCATCAACAGCTAAACCTGCTGGGTACCATATCTCCCCATCAGCTTTTCCTCTCTTCCCAAACTGATGTAAAAGTTTCCCGTTTTTGTCAAAGAACTATAGTTGAACAGAAAGGTTGATATTTCCATAAAAAATCTGAAAACTTTGACTATTTAGTTATCAAAAATGGCATTTGAATGATTTCTAGGTAAAGAAGAACAGAACTGGAAAAAACTAACCTATGATAAAGAAGGTTAGGAACTTTTTTTTAAGATTCAGAAAATTTTTTTTTTTTTAGCTTGATCACAAGATCTCTGCCGCTTTTAATATAAAATTACAACAATGAAACATACACTGCCTTGCTTTAGTCTTCTACGAGGACAAATCCCTTTTGCTCGAATACTAGTTTAAGATAAACGGAAGTCAGTATTCAACGACCGCAAAACGATACAATCTTATGATGTAACTTCCATACAACTTTAGCCTCTGTTTTGACAGTTAAACAATGTAGCTCATGAGGATTGCACGGGCCTATCTGCTTGTCTGAAGATTGCGGATTGCACGGCCTACCTAAATCTCCACAGTCCCTATAGTCCCAAAGTCTAATGGTTCCCAAACTGAAACTATAAAATACAATTTGTTGTGTAAACAAACCAGAATTCGATGATTGTTGTGATCGCTGACAATAATTGTTCCTGATTGGTCAACAGCTACTCCCCAAGGCTCAAAATTTTCATCATTGTTTTGGCCTAAAACTCCTTTGGAGCCAAACTTCAGCAACATTGGGCCTACTCTGTCTATCTCAATTCCGGCTGTGACCAAAACCTCGAATGGACTGCCCATAATGGCCTTCTCTCTTGCATAAACGAACACAAAATGTGTTCCTTTGTGGCTTGGTTTGTATTTTGCAGTGTAGGTACCATCATTATTGTCAGTGATGTCAGCAAGGGTCACTGAGCCAAAACTATCACGAATTTTGGCAACAACTGGATCACCACCTGGAGGTAATGTTTTTTTGTCAGATTATGCTTTCATATAAAATCCTGAAATTTAATCGCTTCAAAAGGGGCAAGAAAGCAAGGCAATATTTTCATATGTGTACCAATATCTTAAAATCAATATCTTAAAATTGATGATCATAGTATGTATTAATTCATGAAAGTCTAAGGTGTTTATTATCTATAGCCTCCTTTCTCCCATTTATATAGACAAAGCCTCATTTTAGCATTCACAACGGACAAGGAGGTGTGAATGATATAGGAACAGTACAAAGATAAATTTGAAGAGAGATAAGCATTACAGATGAGAAACTCGAAGAGAGAAGACGGAAAAACTGATGGAGTTATTCAGTCACTAAATATGTTTATAACGCACTAGTGGAGGATTTAGGCAATCGTAATATAAATAGACCAAGAACCATACATAACACTGAATCTACGAAAGAAGTGGATCTCTTCTTTAAATGAAACTGCGACTGCATATTATCGGCAGTTATAAATCTTGATTCTTCCTATTTAAACACAAGTTGAGGTAATAAGAAAGAAAATGTTTTCGACAAAAAGCAAAAAAACGAGTTGTCAACATAAGAAAAAAATCAAAACATTCTCATTTCTTACCAAGCATGACATCCGCTGAAAATCTGTCTTTGGCATAAATGTTGAAAGTAGCCACATGGCCTACTTTTGCAATTTTGATTCCAGAACCATCCGCAACGGAAAATGCAGGAAATGTTGCGCTTGTTTCAAGCTTTCCAAACTTTGTCACGGCATCCTGGAGTTGCGAAAAGCAAAAATGTGCAACATAAAACTATTTCAATCTTATAACGCTCAAAAAAATTAATTCAAATTTCAATTATCAGGCATTTTAATTTTAATTTGCTTAAATCACTACCAATAACCTAAAACTGTTGATACCATTCGGTTCTATTCATCAAGTATAAAGGGACCCAAGCCACATCCCTGTCAGAATGCACAAGGGGGGGGGGCAAAGTTCGGGTAGCTACCTAAAAAAGTTGTCCGGGATTGGATTTTTCAAAGTAAAATTTAGCAATGTGTATAAAATTATTGTATTAATTAAATTGAACAAATAATTTTGCAAGGAACTGAATTTACTTATAATGTGCAGGTGATTTAAGAAAATGATCGACATCAGGAACTAAAAAGTAGAGATTTTCGATGTACCTTGAGTTCATTATCAACGGCGTCAAAGCTAAGAACATCATTTTCCTCGGGTTCTGTTTGCGGTTTATATTCGCTTAGCTTCTTCAATCTATTCGCCATTATCCTTTTCACCAACATCATTTCTGCCTCGTTCCCGAATCGCAGAATATTCTCGACGAAGTCGCAGCTACTTAGAAGGTTATCGAGGTCCATCTCAAGCACACTTTGCTGATCCTTTAAGACCTGAAGTGCAATGATAAGTAAGAAATTGAATGAAGGGGGCGATTCAGGTTAGACAGATAGAGGGATAGAGGTTAAGACTCCTAAATATATTTTAGTGGCAAAAGCCAGTTTCATTTCTGGCTTTTTTTGCTTGCTAGGTCAGCAGTGTCTACTTTCATATAGTAATCGGGTAAGCATTTTAGGCAGATAGACCCCCGAGGAATAGTGTTAAGGCACGACCATCGGTCTATAGTTTTGCTAGCCAACAGATCCAAATGTTACAGACACACAAATGTTTCAGATACAGACCTTGAAGTAAAAACAGGAAGCATTTCCTTGCCAATTTAAAAGCACACTATCTTGACAATGACAGAAATTAAGTGACAGGGCAAACGCAATAAATTCCTCGAGTTCTTGTTTTAGCAGTTTTCCTCTCCAATTTATAATTTTAAAATATCCGATTTTTGAGGAACCTGATCAAGATGTATAGGGGACTGATGCCCCAAACCTCCCTATAAGTTCCACCAAAGAAATTCTATTCTAATGAAGACTGGATCTAAATACTCTATTAATTGTTTTCCATGTCTATGGATGTTATCATTTGGTCGATGCTTTTTACAGAATTTTTTCTGTGCAAATACCTTTTCTTTTTGCTGGCACATCTCATCAAGGGTCTCTACAAGCCGTCTCTTTTTCTCTTCCAGAGTGCGAATGTGCTCATCAACAGTCGCTGTGATCAGGTTCTTGACAGCATCGCGTCTAATATTTGATAAATATAAGTTTATCTCAGTTTCCATTTAATCAATAGTATCCAACTGACTGACGTACCCATCATTCAATAGCTTATTGACACAATAGTAAAAATGATTTTCCTTCAAAAACCAAGCAAGCATATGATTTTTATCTCTTTCTATCAGTATACAAAATTATTTTACCTAAATACATTAAACAAATACAATAAAGCTGAATTTTGTATAGATTGGGCTATCGATTTAGTATAATTCTTTCTTCTCTGTACACGTTTCTACTCAAACTCTACTACAGTCACACCTTTAGTGTTTCTTCCATTTCTCTGGTTACACGTGACCTAGAAACTTAGTTCCAGTTCCCTCACCTCTCCAAATTATCAATTCAGAATCAACGCAAAAGAAACTAAATTTACAACCTGCAAGATGTAATGTTAGCACTCTAGCAATCACCTGTCTGAGAGTGAGTTTGTCACTTCAATAACTTCGTTAAGAGCCAGCTTGACTACAGGCAACTTGCGTTTCGTGCTGTCCAATAATTCGATCACAGTCTCGCGATGAATCTTTACAGCCTCCTTCAGATCAACATAATTATGCTCTCTGTGATCATAAATTGCGCAGTCTCTACATATTGCGTCATCGCAAGTCTCACAAAAATATTTCAGCATCTGGAAAAACAATGCCACTTTTCTATATGGTGTGAGGCAAAGTTGAAAAAATACAAGGTTTTAAGCAAGACATGCTTAAAAGCCTGTTGTAATAACAAAAAAAATTACGTCTATATGTTTTATGGCTATTTGGTAGGTAAGCCAAAGAGAATAGAACATTTAACTTGATTTTGTCCAAAAACACAATAATTACCCGCTAATTCGATTGCCTGATGATTTCAACACTTTCAATGACAAATATTGTCTTAATCATGTCTCCTAACACCAAATTTTATTAATTATCAGTAAAACTAATAGAATTGTTTTCCTTGAAAAATTCAAATAGTGAGAACTAAAAGAGCTTGCTTTCATAAACCTCTACTGACCTCTCTATCATGCACACCACAGAACGAGGGACACTTCAATGCGTCATAAATTGCGTTGTTCTGGAGTTCTTCAAAACAAACAACCTTGTGGTCCTTGGTCTGTCGAATTCTTTCATGAGCTGTGACACACTTGGGGCACAGGTTTTCAACACAGTCAAGGCAGCGAGCATTTGCCATCGACTGATCTTCACAATTGGTGCAGCATGTTGGCTCTTGCACAGCTAATATGTTGAGAAGGTTGTTGGCGAAAGAATGAGATGGAAAAGCGTCGACGCCTTTTGTTGGTATTGGGATGTCAATATGGCAGCGTGGGCATTCCAAAACACGTTCTGCGTTCTCCCTGATTAAAAAAAATGCATTTGTTAAAAAAAAGATAAAGCTAGTTTACCACCATTTTCAAGAGCTACAAGCTAAGTGGAGAGTACAATGTTAGGTTCAGAGTCTCGCACTTCCTGGAGTCACATCATCGTATTTTAGGGCTTAATTCTTCATAAAACTTTGACCTTTATCTGGCATATCTACCCTTTAGTGCAAATAATTCTCTAATTATCAGACCTAGTTTTATGCTTTCAGGATGAATCGATATACAAGTAACAAGGCATTTTGCATTTTGAATAGAATGTAGAAACAAACTAGAAATCAGTGTAGTATTTGTGTTAAACAAATAAACAGATTTTCAGAACAAATTAAACAATACTGCAGCTTTAGTTTTTCTGCATTTAGCAAATGTGATAATGTCGTTTTCCATTCAATGAAGGAATGTCTCAGTTTTTAATGTAAAATGTGAATAGATATAGCTATTTTAATTTAAATTTAATGAAAAGCTATTTTAAAGGTTAATTTTGCAGCAAGATTCTGTTAAATGTCCTCTTTATTTAATTCATTCAGCTTTAAGGGAATGCATTCAGCTTTAAGGGAATGCATTCAGCTATAAGGGAATCTCGAAAAAACCTTAAGGGAACCTTGGCTTAATTTTATACATTTTTATTTTATCTTTATAACTCTAGTCCTGTTTCTGGAACTAACTGGAAACAGACCTGACAATAATTCGCTGCAAACCCGATTTTAGCCCACCCTGACTTTACTGCAGGTTAATCAGCTACTAACAAACATTTTATCTAGGATTTTCCAAAGTTATCAAACGGGTGGACATACTGTTGATGACATAACATTTTTGCCAAAAAAAGCAGACTAGAGAAAAACCTATTCATTATATCATAACGAGATCAATGCTTCAGTTTAGAGGTGAATTTTCCATGGCTGAGGGCACTTTTTCAATCTGACAGACTTAAATTTATACAAATGATTAACATGGCATGTACATGTAGTTTAAAAACCTATAAATGTTTACTGTGTATGGCTGATTTTAGGCAACCAAAAGCACGGATCGATATCAACTCGCAAATTTCTTATGTCCCACATTTACAAGAATTATCCTCTTTTTATCGAAGTATCAAGATCATCTAAGAAAAGGACCTAGAATAATTATCTTCTTGGAATAATTGATTATAATCTGCATCACGCAAGCATTGGTAAAGGTATTGATTAAATCAAAAGTTATATATCAAGAGTGTATCGGTTACCTTATTGTATTTTCAATGCATTCTTCGCAGAAGGCGTGAAGACAAGGCAAGACTTTTGGATGCTTGTATGTTGAAAGACATACAACGCATTCCAGATTGTAGACGTCTTTAACATTTCCGAAGGTAACATTTGCAATGTTTATTGCCATTTTGATGCTTGATGTGGGCAGCGCAGACATGTCCAGAGCATTTTGCAGAATATCGGGAATACACAGTTGATTCACTCGAGTGATCGTGGCTGACCAGCTGCAAGATAAAATTGCCCTGAATCAGTTCCGCTTCATTGATTAGAATTGATTTGATTTTGCCTGTCTCACTATGTTTGTTAACATTCCTATTAAAACTCCCATCATGCACCGCGTAAGTTTGTAGGTCAGCTCGTAAAGAAAATCACAAATAAAAAAAGACGGGTGTTATATTCCGTTTAAAGGATCTGAAGAATCGCAAAACAGGGCAGGGGCTATTTGTATATGCTGAAAAACTTTTGCTCTGGTTAGGCCTTGTATGCCGGGGCGAAATATTAGCTTTCTACAATTTGTTTCTGTTGGTTATTGTTTATTCTCGGCATGTTGCGGTGTTCTCTATCTGCAACATTTCATCGACTTTTAGACAAAAGTATTACACTTTAGTCTGTCTAGCAGTTTGCAACCTTGGCCTTTCCATTATTTGCTTACTTGTATATGCTTGTACCAGGAGAAGAAAAATCGTACAAATCACAAATCCGAATTTCAATATTGGTAAAAACGTTAGCCACTCGAATTTTGTGACTATTCATAGATTGAAAAAACTATATAATCTGAAAATCTCGTTTTTGTTTGATTCTTTGTAAATTTTTTATTCTTTTTCGACTAGTCTATTTTAAATTTAATAAAATTAGAACAAATTAATTGTATCCTTTTTTCAACTACATCTACATTTTTGCTTTGTCTTTCATCAACAACGACGCAGTTGTCTTATTATAAATGTGAGACATCTTTCTTTGTTAATTTTGTGTCAGCAAAAATTTAGTTTTGTTGAACCAATTTGGTCATTACAAACAGACTTGAAAAGAGTTCGCAAAAATTTTATGAAACTTTACCTACATCCCAGTCAAATTTTCCAAGGAATTTTTGTGTTAAGCCTTCACTATGACCAAAAGTACCACACACAGGAAATCAGTGACCCTTCAAAAATGTTTTTCTACATAAACTGTTGCAATTTTACAATTCCTACAGTCAAGTTGCATGGATTTTCATTTCGTTAGATTTGCATTTTTACTTGCAGCACCCCCAACCCATTTGACATATTCGACAGCCACTGCCATCAAGCCTTCTACGCTCATAATTATTCACTGGGTCTCTGAAAAGCAGAACAAATAACTCTTATAAACTTGTCTTATTTCTGTCAAGTAACATTACCAAATTGTATCCAAAGCAAAGGTTACGTGATTTGATTGCCCCAACTCAAATTAAAGTCCAATTGAAAACATTTTCTTGTTTGGGCTAATTTGAACTTAGTTGCGAAGGAATTAACAAATGACATGAATAAATGAAAATATCAGTAAGTGCCTAGCGTATCCTATGCAAAATATGTGATTTTAATTCTGATTTATCCTCTCGCTAAGTCTAAAGACAAAACCAAAGTGGTGAGAAACTACAAGTCTTAAATTGGCGATAATAATTAAAGATGTTTACAGATAGTTTTATTAAGCACAAAATTATTTTGAAAGTGGTAATGACTCTATGGGAATAGAAAGATAATTGGCAGATAAACTAAATAGTGACCTCTTTTCTTCTTTCTTTTCTACGCATTCCGCAGTCACAAATCTCTGCTGTTTGGTATTTGTATAAGTCCAGTCTCGTTTTGGTGTATAGAACAGGACAGATCTAACTTGCTAATCCTATACAGCAAAAGCGTATACACCTTGACCATACGTCAAACATATTATGACATAATTTTCATAATTTTCACTACGTTTATTCTCATTGTTTATGATAACTTTCTCACTGATTGGCGTTCAAACAAAGTACTAGTAATCTTTCTTTGCTTCCTTTCCTGTCCATCTTTCTAGTTAGTGCCAGATTCTTTAAACCTGCTTCCTTTATCAAATCTTCCAAGAATCTCATTAATCATAATCTCTTGTCCATCATATTCTTATGTCCATTATCAACTATTCACTATAGGTTTTATCAACACATTCTTATTTCTAATTTCATATGGCTATAAAATTTTCACCTTTCTTACTTAAGAGCCACATGGTACACCATGAATATGGACCGCCAGCAAGAAGCTACAATGCAGCAAAAATGACTTCAATATTTTCGTGGCGTTTTTTGGGCTTGTTTCCTTTAATGCCTTAAGAAAATTATCACTTTCTCAGTATTTATTTCCGATCCCAAGAAAGGCCCATGCCCTTAAATTCCTCCTGAGCTACTATATTAACCAGCATTAATCATAAATTGCATTGGTAGAACTGTAATGTTCATAATATCTTGAATAAGTTTATGGTGACAAAATTCCACATAAAACTTGCTAGAATTCATGTTATAGACCAAACATAATCTGGGACAAAAAGAATTTCTTGGCCAATATCCTTAAAATCATACAATAGAAATTATAGGCTAAAAATTATAGCTGTCTAATTATTGTAAAGGTAATGCTAAAATAAAATTAAGAAGAATCATAAACAAATGCTGACATAAGAAAGGAAACTAAAACTATTATTCTTTTCAACGCCGATTAAAGGCTGATTTCCATTAGGCGAATTCTTTCGCGCGAATCGAATTTTCGCAAATTTAACTCAGCGTGGTGTCATGTTCTCAGATTTCGCAGCGAAAAAATTCGATTCGCAGAAAGTAGATCACGGTCCTACTCTATCGCTACGAATATTTTTCGATTCGCGCGAAAGAATTCGACTAGTGGAAATCGGCCTTAGGTCTTATTGAAGAACCTGTATCAACAATGATACTGATCATTTAAGTAAGAACTTAGGTCCAGTTAATATTATTGGGCAAAAAATATTTGTTTGTATAAACCAACAACAAATTTGTGATGTTCCGCGAATGTCCTAGCAGCGCCAAGGATGGTTTTGATAATAGTTAGGCAGGCCATAAACAATTAATTTTATTCAAGTGGCTCGAGAAACAATAAATGTACAAGATATTTCTACTTGTATTAAAGCTGCGATAAGCAATTCATTTTACAGATTTTTTGGATAAACTGTTATCCTCGATATGCACACTTGTTTATTGCTTATTTCTTTGAATTAAATATGGCAGAAGTAATATCAGATTTCCTAAATTATGTCAGAATCTTTATTGCAGACAGCGATCAAAACTTTTAAAAGTCATAGAGAAAAGTTATAGAAGATATAAACATTTTTTATCTTTTATAGAAGGCAATATACTTTACGGCTGTTGGTTGGCTTGCAAATGTTCACAAACAAATCAAGAAGTCAGTGAAGTTCACTACCAGCTCACTGAACACTGTAAACAAGGCCACAGAGGGCTAGGCCATGCTTATCGTGGCAAACTCGCGTTTTCATTGGTTGTGAATCACTCTTTTCTTTCAATTCATCTGACACAATTTGACATCAGCTTTGCGCCACTTGCTTCTGCCAGATTCGAAGACAAGACGCAGCCAAGCATATTGCTTCATTGACAAAAGCACTCAAGTGTGAAGTTACGCTTGCGTAGTCGTCGAAGTTTCGATGAATCGCGAAATATCGATTGTTGAGCGTAATCTTTCCAGGCGTGCCTAGCGTTTGTAAGGAAATGGGTATTTGGTCTGTATGATATTCTCGTTATTATTCTCATCTCAAGTATTTCCTTTTACAAATATTCGCTGAAAGGAAGTTTCTTTTAGAGTCACCAGAGAAAGCGGTTTGTGGCGGAGTACAAAAGTTGCCTAAATTGTCAACAGAAAACAGAAAGCCAGGACGAGATAAATCTCTTTTTGCAAACAAAAGAAGATAATGGCGAATTCTCGAGAAGAGCTGAGTTTATCATTTAACAGCAAAAGACGCAAGGATCTGGATGTAAACTGTGGTATATGCAAAAAGACTTACAACATCCCGCGGGTTCTCGACTGTCTGCACTCTTTCTGCGAGAGCTGTATTGAGAACAACCTGGAAATTGAAGAGACAGAGGAAAATACAGAGTATTATGTGAACTGCAATACATGCAATAAACAAAGTATTTTACCAGAAGAAGGTGTCGCAGCTTTGCCGATGAATGTTTTCGCCAAAAATGCTTTAGATCTACTAATAATCGACGAAAGCAAAGAAAACGCCGTCAAATGTACAAACTGCAACGACGACGAAGATGCGATCTCTCGTTGCGTCGAATGTACCGAATTCTTGTGCACTGTTTGCGTTACGGCGCACCGAAGGTTTCGACTGACGAAAGATCACCGAATCATTCTCCTAGATGCGCTGAAGTACGACAGAAGTACGGTGCACCGACCCGTGCATTGCGCTTTGCATGAACCAGAAGTATATCTGTTCTTCTGTGATGTGTGCCAGAAACTGATTTGCAAGGAATGTACCATTTTGGCACACAGAGGGCACAAATTTGAAAGTATGTATGGGTTGTTTTTATGTTGGTGTCGAAAACAATTTTCAATATTTTAAGAAAATATGTATGCATAACAAGGGCGAACTTTTTAGATATTTCAATTCTAGAGCCCTCACCTCCTTGTACAGCTAAATATAAAGTTTTGTATGCTATTAAATCAAATTTTGATTTTTTCCATATCCATAGTATTAGCGGATTCATCATAATGTGTATATCTGAATATGTGATAGTGTAAGCAAGCCTTGGAAATAAAAGGCACTAGTTTTACTGCGGTTCATAAACCAACGAGTTGTGGCAATATCGATATATATTATTGTAGGTCTAAGAGACGCCCTGGAGGCGAAAAAACCAGCCCTGATAGAAGAGCTCGAGAAATGTGAGAAAAAAATTATACCACCATTGGAAAAGGCCATTGATGAAGTTCAAGATATGTCAGCACGTCTGCATGCACGAACAGTGGCTGTAAAACAGGCATTGCGCTCATGTGCCAACGAGCTACTGCAGCGAATAGAGCAGAGATGCGAAGCAATGCTAGATGAAGTGGAGACGTTGCACCGTGAGAAAGATGGCATTTTGCAGAGGCAGAAAGCTGGTCTAGAGTTGCAGCTTACAAAAAGCACAACAGCACGTGACTTTGTTGACTATGCATTCAAGCATGGCAATGAAGCTGAAATTTTCCAACTTTATGACGTCATGCATGTTGCGTTGGAAGATGTGAATAGCTACATTTTACAGTACAAGGAGCCTGAGGAGAATGACGTCATAGATCATATTGTTGATAGCAATGATGTTAGAGAAATCGCTAAAAACCTGGGGAAAATATCAACAAGCAAGATTTTTTTGGCTCACTGTCGCGTTGAAGGCCCGGGTTTGTCTACTGCAAAGGTTGGCATAGAAACACATTTCACGATATACACGCGTGATGTTGATGATGAGCCGTGTATCGAACACGACCACGATGATTCGATTCGCACAATTATCCAAGCACCAGAAGGCTTCTACGTGAACAACAAATTCACAAACAACGGTGATGGCTCATACACAGTCAAGTATACTCCAGTTACGAAGGGTAAACATCAGATTACCATCAAGATTAGGGGCAAACAAATTCCAAACAATAAGCACATGGTGAAAGTTTTTGAAGGCATTGACTATACTGAGGTAAGCGAATGTTTACTTGTCACAAAAGTTCCCGGCGAGGGTAACTTACATATATATAGGCACAGGATAGGCCATTTTTAGGGAGTGCCTTTTTTGAGTTAGAAAGCAATTTTGACGGATCACTTTCAAAATGCAACTTTCAGAGTATTCCATTTTTATATGGTGCCATGCATAAAGATATTTCCTCGCTCATAGGTACAACGTTTCTTCTTGCCTAAGTCCGAGTTATGGTAAAGCTTGATATATTCATGAACGGGAAGAGAATGTTTTCTTTAGAGCTGCTAAAAAGTTTATCGAAAGTTGTTTGGAATGAAAGATAAAGCCTTTAAACTTACATTTCTAGATTGAAACCTCTTTTCTGATGTTCGGGCGCCGTGGGAACAAGCCAGGAGAATTCAAAGAGCCTTATGGTGTTGCAGTAAATTTTGCAGGGTATATCTACGTGACTGACTTTCTGAACAACCGCGTGCAAGGATTCTCTAACATGGGCCAACATTTCTTGTCGTTTGGTGGAAAAGGAAGCAAGGAAGGCCAGTTCATTGGTCCCACGGGTATCGCAGTTGATTCAACTGGGATTGTCTTTGTCGCTGATTGGGACAATCACCGGATACAGTTATTCAGTCCCAATGGGAAATTCATTGGCAAATTTGGCTCCCTTGGTTAGTATTCTTTCTCAGGGGGATTTTCATTAACGCAGCTACCAAACATTACAAAATTTCATTATCCTTTAGGAAAACTTCTAATTAAGAGCAGCTAGTTAGATGAAATCATTGGATCTTTTAACACTCGCACCATCTGTAATAATAGTCTTTGGTGTAGCGGTTTCCACCTGTATAAAAAATGTCTAGCCCTCGAACAGTAGCTATATGCATTGTTTGCGCTAGACTATGAGTTGGTTTCATAGAAATGAAAGATACATAGGATACCTATAACAATAATATATAACAGAATTAAGCGATAGCGAATATATATGAAATATCGAATAAAGACTTCTAAAGGCTTAATGAAAGGTTTTAATCAACAAAATTATTTTTGGGGAAACAATCTTCATGAGTTGGGCAATTTGTCTTGTGTTTGCACTTATGCTTTACCCCTAAATATCCGTGCATTTGATATACACTCCAATTTCTCCTCCTCAGGTAATCAGGCAGGCAAACTCTGTCATCCAGCCGGCATCGCAGTGGACCAGAATGGGCTGATTTTAGTTGCGGAGCGTGATAATAATCGTGTTCAAGTATTCACTCTGGATGGGAAGTCAGTTCTTATTTTTGGATCGTGTGGGGCAGAAATAGGGCTTTTATCGGCTCCGACACACGTCGCTGTCACCCAAGACAATAACTATGTTGTATCCGACTCCGGAAACAATAGGGTGGTTCTTTTCGACAGATCCGGAACCTACCTCCGACATATCGGATGCAAAGGCTCCGACGCAGGAGAATTTAACAAAGTATCTGGCATTGTTATAGATAACGAGGGATACATAATCGTATCAGACTTTTACAATCATAGAATCCAAGTATTCAAGCCCGATTTGAGTGAAGCAACTGTGTTTGGCGAGGAGGGAAGCGGCGAAATGCAGTTCAAATTCCCAACAGGTGTCACACTTACCAATGAGGGTAGAGTCATTGTGGCGGACAGACACAACAATCGAATTCAAGTCTTTTGATTATTCGGAATATCAAGGAGACTTGTTACAGCTGTGAAGTCAGTGGCAACAGGAAAGAAGGATGACAAATGCAGAACAACGAAATAAAAAGATATCCTTTAAGGTTTCGAATAAAAAGTCTCAATTGAAGGTGTGGCTCCTCCACAGACACAAAAAGGACAGGTTTGATTGGCAAGCAAACAGATAGTGTCTAGTTGCTGACAACTTATAAAGAGCATCTAAAAACCTGGAACGCAATTTTCTCCCTGACATTGGTCCTTACTAAAGTTTCCCACACCATTTATGTTATTTAACATTGATCTGCTCTTTTGAACTGTCTTCAAACTCAGAGGAGAAGGTGAAGAAAACATTAAAGGGGGTATTCAACGTTACCATAAAAGTGCTCTTCGAAATGGTGCGATCAGGGCAATAAATTTACAAACCTTTGTTAATATAAACTATATTCTTCATAGGCTGAATGCAGTAGAGACGCCAAGTGGGGACTGGGGTGTGGGGCACGTCCCCCACTTCTCTGAGGGAACGATTTTGTATTTTGTCTAAATTTGATGAGAAAATGTTGGGGGAGAGGTGGTATTTCGGAAAAGTATTTTATGACATAACTCTTTGATTTCTAAACTGCCTTTATGTAACAAAATGTAAGTCATAGGTGTTGGCAATTGGTAAAATTAGCGTTCCCTGCTGGTTAAAGGGAGTTTCCTGACAGAACAAAAGAGTGTGGCCTAGATTTTTTAATTTTGTCCCCCAAAGCCTAGTGGCTGGCGCAGTCACTGGCTTAATGTTCATTAAACAAGGCTGATTTTATTGAAAAGGGTGCAGATACTGAGAAACTCAACAGGTGCCATAGAGACTCTAGCTAGGCACGCCGAAATGCAAGGATGAAAGGCTGGTGCAATGGGTTGCAAATAAGCTGGCATTTCTGTGTCTGGGGGTGCTTAATATTGCTGCCTGCCCCTGACCTGCCTGCTCTAGTGCGCAAAGGCTACCCCCGGATTCAGTATGGTTTTCAGCCAGTATGGTCCATTGGTGACCAAGTGACTAATGAGGATGAAAATGAAAAAGTATCCGTTTCTGAAATCAAATTTTTGCATATTAATCGTTTATAGACGATGAACAACCAGTACCCAGCTGATAGAATATTAGTCCATATGTTGTGTTTAACACTGGTCGAAATGAAGAAAGATTAGTAAAAGCAAATAACAATTACATTATGGACATAGCAAACGAAAACTGCATGATTGGTTTGAATACACTTATCTTGAAGGAACTGGGTTTATTAAAAGAACAATCGTTGACTGTAGCTAACTTTTAATTCACATTTGTTATAATTGCCTTTCTTAAAAATTTGTCTTGATGTATGATGTGTTTTGTGAAATAAGATATTAATGCCAAAATTAGATTATCAAAAAACATACCTGCCATTGCCTCTTTTTTATCCAATTTCTTCTTTTAACGCTTCATGTGCTATATCACCTTAAGAAAATTAGAGAATAACTCAGCTGTCTGCTATGTCACCTCAAAAGGAATCTGAGATATGGAACGTGCAATATATGGAAATAACGTCTGTGCATGCAAACGTTCTGTTAGATTCTCAAAGAAAAGTCACCTCAAAAACAATATGGAAGTAACACAAATATAAATACAAATATAAAATATTGCTCAAGAAGATAATTTAGAATGAATAAACAAAATGTCATATCTTTAGTCATATTTTTACATCTATAACAGATACAATTCTTAAGAGAGGCACATGTCTAAGAAGATAATTGAGAATTAGGGCTGAACATCCAAATAGACTTTCTAGTTTTTTAAATAGCTACACTCTAAATCTCTTCATTTTCTAAATTTTGTTGAGGGAAAGGCTCCGAAAAGGATGATTTTTTCATCAGCTTTTGAACTCGCCACCTGTGATTTTTTGGTCCCATCCAACGATGAGGAAGCTAGCTGGCATGCAGTGCGTTTTAGCGACAATTTTCGATCAATTTTGCTAAAAGAAGCATTTTTTGGTGATATGATTCATGCAAGAGTTGGGTGTTACTTTTACAAAATTGCAAATAGTTATCATCTTCTTCTCTCCCAAGGTTGGCATTCAATAACTTGAACCTTCAAAGTCGTTATCAATAATAATAAACCAATTAATCGATATATTATTTACATATCAAACGATTTCATACGAACCTAAGGGGGTAACAAACAGAACCGCTCAACATTTTGGAGTTTCTGTAAGCATTTTTCAGGTGACTATGGGGTAAGAGAAAAATTTCTAGTGAAACTTTTAACATTATAAACATTTCACCGTACTAAAAGAACGTAACCGATTCTAATGACGTTATATTCGACTTAACATTGTTGCTACTTAAAGTAGAATGCTTGATGACGTAAAAAGACTGAGATAAAAAAGGCAGAAAATCAAAAAGAGGTTGAATGTTGTCTTTTAACAATAAAACTCTTCTATGCAATGCAACACAGTGTAAAGACAGTGTAAAGATAGTATAAGACATCGAAATAGAGAAAAGTTTTAGCAATTAATAGCCGCCCGTATGTCTTACCGTGATGTTCATCTTAAAGACCAATTCTTTGAGATTCTCCCTCTTCCTTTTCCAATGAAAGCCTAATGGCGGAGTACTCTGTCAGGTTTGCCAAAAGAGTAGAATGTTAGGGGCGACATGCCTCAGTTTAGGGGTTGTGCCATGGACTCTGAGTCAAAAGAGCTGCTGTTGTCAAATAGTCGAGTCCAAATGTATGGAAGATCGGGATCTTCCACCCTCCAACAGAAGTATTTATGGAGCTATAGCCTTCTAACCCTCCTCTGGTGCCACTCATGCCTAGGATAACTCTCGCTGTAAAGCATAATTTTGGGTCCTTATATGTGTCAGTTTGTCTCTAAAAGCCTGAAGGTAACAGGTATTTCAGCACATGTATGAAAAGATGCTCAAATCTGTGTTCTACTGGGAAAATGACTCAAAATCTTTAATTATTTGAAAATTGAAATGTGTCTTGAAATCGGCGTAATGCGAAAGTTTCTGTTCACGAAAAAGGGCGATATTCTAAATTCTAGATTGCAAACATCATTTAAATTATATGAAATTGCTTCCCGGCGAGATCCCTACCTTCGTGAGGTATCTGTCAGGTTTGATACTTGGTTTGATACCGAAACCGGACCTGCTAGGGTGACCAGCTCCTTCTGGTCTGCACATTGCCTCCGAAAATCAGTTCGAGGACGGTTTTTGTTGTGGTTTTAGAAAATACACTTTTATTTAAAGGTGTTTATCACAATGCTTGATTGAACACCATTTCTGTGACTGAACGTACTATTTCAATAGCATTGTTCTTTGAGTTGTTTTGTACTTGGATGTTGAAAGTTTGATACGGAAAGCGTGTGGTAAACAGTTTTATTTTTCTTCTTTTATGTCTGTTGAGGCGAAAAACACAACAGTTTTCTTATCCAAAAGCGAGAAAGAGTGGCTTGAAACCTACTCTTTCACTGTTTTGATCACCTTTCTGTTACTAGCATTGCCCCCCCCCCCACTTCAAAGGAAATGCCCCTGAAAATCCTGAAAATTCCTGAAAATATCATGAAAATTCAATTATGTCCCAAGCTCATATAATACTTCTTTATTTTACATCTATTTGAAAAAATAACCCACAGAACCATCAGCTTTTATCATAAAAGTGTACTGAAAACAGTTTACAACAAGGCAGGTTTATCTTGTTTAGCAAACGGGATAAATAAACAAATATAAATAGTTGATACAATATAGTCGATACAATTGATAACGCTAATGTATTTTAGAAAGTCGTGGATGCCTTGGTTTTTTAAGGGCTGACCTAACAAAACCGTTTGCAATTCTTTTATGGTGCCTAGCTATGTAGCAAACAAGGGCTTCAAGGATCCTCGGTGTCAGGGGGTATAGTAAGAGTCGGGCATTTAGGAAACTTTTGCCTCTTTGTGAGGGAAATACACTGAAGCGAGGGTAATCAAAAAGGCCATGCTTCGTTCTTTTCATGAAATATTTCTAACAATTTCAAAACCACTTAGACTTGGATTTATCAGACTTAGCATTTTAAGAGATAGAGGGTCCTGTTCGAGGTCTTTTGACGGAATTCAGCCAGTCTTGTCTAGCGTCTCAGCAAATATAATTTGCCTATCAGGCGAAAAGCCAATGCTAAATATTTTAAAGGGAATTCGTGAAATCGGGCTAACATTTAGATTTGAAAACAGCAATCGCGATGGTTATGGTTTATTAGACTGTTCACCGGTGGTTTGGGGACGGCAAGGCCGAAAACGTTTGCGAGGCTCTTTTTCTTTTCAGTTTTAAAATTTTCTTAAGTGCGGGACCCCTTCAGGCTATAAAAAGTGCAGGGCCTGGGATCATGGCCCCTCTGGCCCCCCTTTATGCCACCACTGAGGCTGTTCTATAACGTCGGTGTAAGTGTGTCGTAAAAACGTAGCTCTGCATCAGTTCAGTGACGTTTTGGTACCCAGGGCTCTTCTGTATAATTATGTATAGATATGAAATGGTTTACATTAGCGATGCAGTACAGTTAGCAATGGTTATAGAATACTTTTGACTTAAAGAATCTTCAACGAAACAGCGTGGTTAATATATGTTAGGTTTCTGCTAATTGGGGCGTATAATTTCCAAACTTAGGCCTCTTGTTGAAACCAAACACAGAGCGGCAGAAAAAACATTGGAGATCCAAAAGAATCATAATGGCGGTATCTGTTACTAGGAGACGTGCTGCTTTGAGTCTGCGCTATAGGACCTGCATGACACCCGGTTTGATTTATGCACAGTTTCAAGCGAAAGGTCATGATCATTGAGCGCTGAAGTATACAAAAGTGCAAATACCTGCAGGTATACAAAACGCCTTTTTGACGGTTATCAAGAAAAAGATATCTCTGCTGCAATAATGAAAGAAGCATTTCTATAATTCTGGAAAATCTTTTATATGGAATGGAATTATAAGATTGCTCCACGGAATGGATTGGAGAGTTTTAAAAGTTTAATGCATGTTGATTTAGAAAGACTTTGAAAACGTACGTAAGTATGTTATCTTGCAGAAGCGAGGTTGTAAAAGTAAATGGAATGTTCAATGATATTGCACCGTTGATTGTGCAAAAATGGAGATATATCTTATTCTTGTTAGCAAAGCAAATCACAACGCACAAGGAATCGGTAGGGATATATGGTCACAGCGCGAGTACTGGAGAGTTAAGGAAGTTTGAATGTTTGTTTATGGGAACATTATGCACAGCAGTGAGCTTACGAGATACCTCGCAATTTTCACATGCGCATTTACTATGATCCCTATTTTGCTCTTTAGATAATTGTTCAACAATAACAAAGTAAGGCAACTTAATGTTACATAGGGTATGGTAGATGATATTTGATCCGGTTGGTTATGAGGCGAATCTTTATGAGTTCCATTAGATTTCCTTTTTAAACTTTATAGCAGCTCACTTGACTGAAAGAGTATTTGCTACAATTTAAAGTATAAACAAATCAGTGTAGGTCTTCTCTATCTCAAGAGGAAGAGATAAAATGCCAATTTTAACTTGTTATTGCAAATAAAGTACCTGCTTAAAAGATAAAATGTACAGATTTTCCGAATTTCTTAACATGCAATGGATGTTTACTGGTATATGCATTATAATATGAACCATGGCACTTATGGAAAGAAGTAGCCACCGAAGGAATACGTATTGAATGAGGATGAAAAAATCGATCATAGGAAAGTTAATATCCATCTGAATTGAAAATCTTATCTCTTGACATTGGATTCTTGTCGTCGTATTGCTTTGTTCCTGTATATCTTTAGTAACAACAATCATTGCAAGATTCACAGAATCCGGCGGACAGCCTATTCTGCGGTTCCTCTTTCTTACACATTTTATATCTAATTCTGTTTGGTGATATCTTCTGTCTAATAGAATAGCTGCTTGGTGATCGCATTCAGCGTGAAACTGTAGCGTGCTCATGGAGCACTTTATGAATAGTCAGTAAACACTGATTTTTCTGATACTAAATGTTTTCTTTTAGACAAAAGTACGATGTTCGATCATACCAGAAAATGGATTTTAAACACACTCTTCTGTTACTTTGTTATCTCTGCAACATTTCTATTAGGTAGGTTGATAACATACTGAATTTATCCTTGCTTAAAAATTTAATGGTACAGAATATTTTATCTTTCCTTTAGTCACAAATTTATAACTTGCTCACCACTAATACGATTTAAGCCAGAATCCCCATAAATTCGTTAATTTTCACCGCTGAAAATTCGTAATTAGAGAAAAATCTGATAAGCCACTTTCAGCCAAAATATACTAGCTATTTATATTAGCCCCAGTTTTTTATAATGTTCAGAGAAGACAGAAATAAAACTGATTTGAAATTTAAGAAGCTTTAGGACTGGGCTAAAAAAAAATTAAAAAACTGTAAAATTCCATTTTTAAAAAACGAGTCCAAAAGTTGTTATTTTGTCGATTTTTCTTTGGGAAGGATAATATACTTTGGATTTGGAACTGCATGGGTTTTTTATATCGAGCTTATCAATGTCAGGTTTTCAAATATGCATAGAGAGAAACTCGTACTCTGATATAGTTGATCTTTTGAGCTTTTATAGATACAAAGTTTGTCTCTACCTAGCATCTATAAACGGTTAACGAAAACTTGTCTCGACAAAAGGCAATTGACAGATTCTAAAGGGCCATCTTTCAATCAAAAATTGACCAATCAGCGAATGTGATTCCACTTACACGCTCAGTGATTGGCTAACATTGATTGAAAGATGGCTTAAGCCACTTTTATATCTGCAAATTGCATTTAAGAGGCGAAGAAATGCTAGGAGACAATCTGGAGCTGCTAGTCGCAAAATTTGATTTAAAAACTGAATAGGTTCCTTTTTATATTTTTTCAATCAGTCGCAGCAAGTAATGAAGAAGATGATTTACTGGACGAAATAATACCTCATCATGTTTACAAGAGAAAATTTACAAACTCTTCTCCGAAACGTCAGTCGATTATGACACCTGACTTCGGACAAGGCGAGCAGTTTTTGCAGCAAATGCCACAGGGTGGAGTGTCTCAATTTGCCGGGGGACCAGCAGAGGAACTAACAGACAAAGCTATGCAAATGCCTGGGGCAATGGTACAAGGTCAGAGTTTCGGCCAAGAAGCAATTGACCCCCTGCAGGGTTTTGCGGAACAAGGCCAAGCACAAGAAATGCAAGCACTAGGCCAAACCCAGTCGCCGGTGACACAGCCGGGGGGCTCCTTCGAACAAGGAGTTACGCAGCAGGTATCAGATGGAGGTGTTGTCACAGAAATGCCTGAAAACGCGAAGAACTTTAACGAAAATGCGGCAATCGAAACAACGCTATCCAATAACGGATTTCGAGTAACAACAGACACAAAGGAGAAAGCGAAAAATTTCGCAAAGGATGTTAAGAACTTTGGGTTATGGGAATATTCGTCGGATAACACAGCGGCCTCGACGGACCAAACGGCGAAAATACTTCAAAGTAAGCTGGAAGAAGATGATGCATTGCTTAAGGGGAAGGATTCGGAAAGCTTAAGCACAACACAAGTCGCAAATGCACAGGGAACCAAAGTGGATGATTTGCTGAGTCTATTTAACAAAAACCCAACAGAATCATCGCAATTCAAGGGGCTGGAAAGTCTACAGGAGGCCAGCAAAGGGCTGGAAGCAATAGATTCTGCCACCAAAGGGTTTACGGGCCTTGGGGTGAACGATAAAAGTTTAAGTTTTTTTGGTGGGGACAAAAATGTTGATGGAAGTTTATCATCGTTGTCAAATGATGTGGCAACCTTAGAATCGGCGCTGGGCAACCAGGGGTTGAATCTTGGTGGAGGAAGCAGAACACCGGAGGCTGTTTCCGTTGTAAACATACCGAATACATATAGTTTAGAAGACGAACATGGAAACTCGTTGGACGCTAAGGCTGCAGGGGTAAGCGGAAATCACAAACCTGACAAGTCAAAAACAATGCGGCTTCTAAAAGCCTTACTAAAAAAGAAGTTACGGGCGCAAGCAGTTAAGATGCTTTTGAAACAGAAGGCTCTGAGGGCTGCGCAAAAGTCACGTGCAAAACCAACGAAAAATCTGAAGGAGCAGTTGGCATTGTTTTTGAAGCAAAAGGAGCTGGGAACTAAGGAGGAGAAAAGTAACGAAAAAGAGGATGCTGGGAAGGATGAGGCAAGTGGAGAAAAAACTGAAGGTGTGTCGGAACTTGATCTTAAATTGCTGAAGTTCATTAAAAATATGCTGAAAAAGGGAGCGAAAGAACAGAAAGGAATTGGTGAAAATCAAATGACTCAATTCATGACTGCGTTGGAAGCTGTTCAGAAAGGGAAGGGAGATGACGCAAAGCCAGAGGACAATGGAAAGAGTGGTGATAAGGGCAAAGAAGGTAAGGATTCTGAAGCCAGCAAGAAGCCTCAAAAGGCTGTACAAAAAGAAGAGGCCGCAGAGGAAGGAAAAGAAAAACAAAAGGACGATGGGGAGGAATCCAAACCAGAAGAGAAACAAAAAGGGAAACAAGAAGATAAACAAAAAGAAAAGGAAGATCTTAAAGCGAAGAAATTAAAGGCAATCAAGACTCTTTTGAAACATATGAAGCCAACAACAAGATCAAGCCATGGGTTCTTTTTCGATCCAGAACAACCACTGAGTGAAACTGGTGGACTGGCGCCCAATTCCTTGATGAAATACCTGGAACACGAGTCCGCTTTGCTAAATCAATTCCAAGAAGGAAGTCAAATTAGTGATCCAGCAGCGCAGTTCAAACAGTTGGCAAAGCTGATGATGAAAGCAGCCAATAACGCTAAAGGAAAAGACGCGTTGTTGATTCGAGGAGGACGACTGTCAGCCCTACAGGGAGCTTGGCACAGAGTGATGATGATAAAAAGAAAGAAGATGAAAGTGCCAGCAAGGACACTAGCAGTAAGAAGACAGAGGGTAAAGAAGAAGAAAAGGAGAGTCAGAAAGAGGGTGAAAAGAAGATTGAGAAAGAAAATGGAAAGGATGCAAATGGTGACACGGGAAAAGAAAGCAAAACTGAAGAAAAGAACGAGAAAAGTGAAGGCAAAAAAGAAAATTCAAAGAATGGAGACAAAGAAGGAAATTCATTGAATGACTCTAAGGCAGAAAAGGAAGACAAAAAAGTGAGCTTTACAAAAGAGACAGGAAAACCGGAGGATTCCAAGAAGGAAGATGATGATAAGAAGGCTTCTTCAAGTAAACAGGAAGAAAAAACCAGTAAAGTGAAGGAAGGAGAGTCAGAAACAAAATCTGGAAAAGAAGCAGATGATGGAAAGAAAAATGAAGAAAAAGTAAAGGAAAATGATAGCAAAAACAAAAAAGAAGACGAGAAAGAAGAAAATTATAAGAGCAGTAATAAATCCGAGGAGGTGAAGGAAGTTAAGGCAGTTCCAGAAATAGATGGGGCAAGGACTAATAAGAAACCTGTGGAGAAGATGGATGGGAAGGCTGATAAAGAAAGTGACAAGTCTTCAAAGTTTAATGATAGCAACGAAAAGAGCGAAGAGAAAACAACTAAAGACGGTGAAAGCAAAACTGATGACGATGATAAAACGAAAAAGGTTAAAAAATTGCCCGAGATGACGAAGTTGAGAAATAACAAAAAGATTGTTAGCAAAATAAACAGTGCAACAGAAAATGAAACAGTATCGTTCAAAGAAGAGGATGGCAAAAAGGAGACAGCTAAAGAGCACGGAAGCAGTTCTGCTAGTCACGAGGATTCTGTGTTGAAGGAAGCGAAGTTAAAAGAAGAGATGAGAGAAACTGAAACCGGAAGTAAAATAGCGGAAGGTCAGAAGAGTGTTGAAAAGAGTGAAGAGAAGGAGAATCGTAAAATCTATGGTAAAGAGGAAAGTGCAGAGAATAAAAATGCAGAAGGAAGCGAGGCTCATAGCAAACAGGAAAAGGAGTCATCAGAACAATTCGACCTTTACGTATCAAGTAAAGGAAAAAGTAATTCAGGTTCTGAAAGAACTGGAGGCACAACCGATTCTACGATTTCTGAGAGCAATAATCTAAAACCACAGCTTCCGTTTTTAAATCCAGGAAATGCACATTTAGATGTACTTGAGAATGACGCAGGATTAAAACAATACTTGCTTAAGAAAGGGAGCAAGACGGGATCCTTGCAGAGCAAACAGTCAGATGAATCAGAGAGCTCAAATGAAAACAGGCTTCTGCAGCTTAAAGACAGAACTGCTGCTACTAAGAATAATATTGAACACAAAACTTCACAATACAATACTTTAGGGATGCAGCAGGGGGTATATACTCATAAAGCACGACCAAACGCAGTACCTCCTGCTGGTCAGGGAATCCCTATTAACAGTTACGGCAAAGCAATTAAACCATTGTCAAGGCTTCAACTGAAGAATAAACGAATTGAGGCTTTCAGGAAACTTATGCGGGAACGAAATCGACACAACGCAAACAAAGAGGTAATGGAAAGTGGCTCATTACGTCATATTGCACCACTTCTAGCCGACCGCCTTGTGGATGCTCCTTCAGTGCGGTTAGCAGCGTTGGCGAGATTGATTTCAATGGCGAAATACCATCACAAAATGATTGACGTGGTGGCTTCAAAGAAAACACTACCATCGTCAAAATATCCACTAGAGAAGACCAGCCAAATGTTACCTAAGTCAGTTGAGTCAGCTGATTTGTCGTCGGATCTCATAAAGCCTGCTGTTGAATTACCAAGAATGACCACTGGAACCAAGTCTTCATTTATACTGACGCCATCCTCCAAACCAACTGAAAGCGAATCGCCAGAGTCGAAGTCCAAAGTACACATGATCAACCTTCGATTGCGAGCAAATTCTGTCCTAGTTCCATCAAGGACTTACGATACAGAAACATCGAATCTCAAATCCCTGCTGCATGAAACCGAGTCAGCTCCATCTGCAGTGGGATCGAGACTCATATCGAAAACAACCCTTGAAGAAACAAATAACCGCGTGGATCCAGCTGACGTAACTCGGTCGCGGTTGGCAAAACCAAGTGAAACATCAATCGTCCAAGCTATGAAAATATTGGGAGACAAAGAAACAAGCAGCGATGAAAAGGATAATGTAGCAATCAAAGATGCATCTAGTTTACACGAAGAACAACATGGAGGTACCGAGAAAACGTCCGAAAAAGGACATGCAACTATAATGAACAGTTTTTTCAAGAAGCCGACAGCCAGTATGCGAAATTCATTGACAGATCTTTCTAGTACTATGAATTTCAATAAAAAAAGACTAATAGTATCCCCACCCACGGATATGGAAAAGTTTTTTGGAAAATTAAGTAGTCCGGGTTTAAAAGCTAGAAGTTCGGTTCATGAGGAGGAAGCTGGGAAAGCTTTGATCCGGAAAGCGGATACCAAAAACATTGTAAGGACATTAAAAGCGGATACTGAAACTGCTAATCTAATGCTAAGAAAGCGGAGTAGGATTCCAAGAGCTAGAAGTATGAAGCGGTTTAATTATCTGAAAAGGCGGGTATAAAGGCTACAAAGTCGGATACTCAATTCTGCAATGAAATCGACCGGAACAGGTAGCAAGCCTTACAAAAATGGAACAATGCACACTTCACACACGCCATCATCCATGCAATGCATAGTGATGTCTAGCAAAGTCATTTCAAACCGGAAACGGCATCCGAAACCGGAATCTTATTTCAAAACCAGAGGAGAGAACCTGGACGACTTCCTAAGTCGGTAGCATCATTGCTTTTATATAGAATTCCGATTGTTAAACAGTATACTGCCTAACGATAAAGCAGTGCATACGGGATAAAGTACTGTCCCGGTCACTTGTCACTTAACGTCCCGCGGAAGGATCAATTTTTGTAAACAAAACATCGTAGATGACTTTGTAATTCCAAGCAAGAAGCACAAACGCGAAAACAAGCAACAATTTAGGCGGACCATTCCTAATAATAAAACCGGAAAACAAAAGCAAACCGGAATTTGTTACATGATAAAATAATGTTAGTTTGACGGTACATTCTGGTAATTTCGAATACAGGGTGTGCCTGTTGTATTTAAAATTACGTTACATAGTTTGTGGGTTTGGATTCCCATTGAAAAGAACGTTGTGGCAGATACCTTTAGGGACTTATTAAAAAGAATCAAAGTTTATTTAGCAATAATTAGAAAAGGCTAATAACCATTCATGAGCAGTGTAGCAAGATCAATCTCCCATGGGGTATGGCATGAAACTGCTAAATTGCCAACGCGCTTCAGCCAAGGGAAGTAAAAAATTTCCTGCTTCTTTCCGCTGACGTACGATCTGACAATCAGGAAGAAAGTTCTAGAACTAGTTACACACATCAATACCCAAAACCTGATGAAATCTGGGAATCAAATACCCATTACCCATGCTTGCAAAAAATTAGTAATTAGTAATTAGAAATGGTTATCATATAACTGTTAAAGAAATTTGGTAGAGGTGTTATTTGTTAGACTTTCATTGAAAATCAAAATAATTGTTTGTAAAAAGAGAACAAAAAACAAACCGTTGGCAGCAAAACCCAAGTATGATTTTAGACAATATTTCTTCAAATAGTCTATATATCTATGTTGATGTGTCAAATTTTAAATTGATCACAAAAGTTCGAGGGGCGTTTCACTTTTCCTCTCAAAATGGCTAAAGGACTCTGGAAATTGTTCTTTTAAGTCTGCACGTAAGTGTTTGTTGTTGATTAGCAAAATCTAGTAAAACTTTAGTGAAAGCCAAATGTAGTCGTTTTTATACGAGTTATATTTGGATATGTATATAGCTTCCCATTCAAAACAAATCTTACAAAGGAAATGCAGTAATTTTAAACTGAACTTTTATTTTCAAATTAGAGTATTTTGTAAAATGCTGTTGTCTTTGTGATTGTGTCTGTTTTACGAGCTTTGAATTTAAACGTTTTGAATCAAACAGAATGGATCAGTATCTTTGACACGTTCGGCTGGTTCAAAGCCCAGGGTCAGACACATTAGAAAGCGATCCAAGTGGTTAATACAATCAAAGGCCCTCTCCACACGTATACGGATATTTTTGATTCTGTAAACTTTTCTTTACGTATAGGGCTCATTTCCACACGCTGCCGATGACTTCGCTATCGTATTCGCAACTTTTCAAATTCGCTCTCCAAAGTGCAAATTTTTCACATTCGTTACGAATCCGATTATGTGTGGGCGCTCGAATCTGGATTTATTCTAATCCGATGACGTATACTTGCTAAAGTGTCATGGCGCATGCCCTCACGGAAATTGATTCGAATACGCTACGTGTGGACGCGAATTTTTTTGAATTCGCAAAGAAAAGATTGCGGATTCAAAATATCGGTATACGTGTGGACAGGACCAAAGTGTAAGCAACAGTTTTTGGAAAGCCTTTCATTTGAGTCAATTGTTTCTAATTGATCTTCGTTCAAACACATTTTCATATGCCTAAGTAAATTACTATTTGCTGCACGAATAATTGCTCGTGGAAGAAAGTTTGTTTGACCTGGTTCCGGATTGTTGTTGTATATTTTTAAATGATATAATAAAGATCACACCGAAGGGGACACCCACTTATCATAAGGCACTCAAGAGCTTGATAAGAAAGGGAGCAGAAGTAGATCCTTGCAAAGAATTTCTTTTCTAATCAAGCTCACGAGGGCTAAGAAAAAAGAAAAACGAAAAATAGTCTTTTCGTTAATTATATATCCATGGGCATCTAAACCTCCCCTGGCATGGCGTGGTCACAACACTTTGGCACAACACATGTCCTCAAATGGCGCTTCGGATAGAATAAATCAAATTTTTTAGAAACACCACCCAATATTTCATTCAAAAATAATATTTCATTCTTTCTGGCTTCTTTGCATATCAATTGGAAACTTCGCTATTGTTTGGAAACAAGACCAAAATCCTTCGAAGTTAAACAATGTGATGTGATGTCTAAGTAAAAGTAATGAAAGGATCTAGCAAAAGGAAATTCTAGTGCGCATGCTTAAAAATTCGATATTGGCAAAACTGGCTCAAAACAAGTTTAGAACAAGTTTCAAGTAATTATTTTCGAGAAAAGTTTTTAATTCTAAGGTAGGGGCGAAATGATCTTTTTATAACGATAAAGGTCAGAGGTAAATTCAAAGAAAAGGTTAAGTTGAGATGGAATAAATGGCCTTTTAAGTAACCAACACTAAATGGATGCAACAATTACATACGCATTTTGCTGGTGATGAAACAATGATAAACAATATACATAAAAATGTAGGTTCCATCCGGCGACATTAATTGAAACCTAGTTTAAAGCTTTTGGCACGTTGTGAAAATCTATCAAAGCAGAGTTCAAAGGTGATGGTACGCGATATGGCAGTGCAATGGCTTCAAGAAGTCCAAAGGTCATGAATCATGAACTGACAAAAGTGGTGTTAGATATAACTACATTTTGATGGAGTCTTCCTTGGAGAAAGCATAGCTAGACAACAGCGAAGTTAAGTCTCCATGGCATTTGGGTTATCAGCAATGTCCTCATGAAACATGAATTCTTGTTGATATTCTTTGAGGAACTGAGTCGACCTGCCTTCGTCGAAAAACAAGGAATACACTCGCTTGATATCTTCAACATCGACCTCGGTTCCCTACAAAACAAAGAATT